GATGGAAGGGAAGCGGGCTGTCCTTGGGGCAGATAGTGCGCTGATGGATTGGTATGGGCACTTGGCCCAGGGATGGCCCATGATGATTGCGAATCGCGAGGAACAGGTGGCGCAGGCGCGACTACTTGGTTGTTCCGGCGCGATCGCCTCCGGCCGGATGCATTGGATACCACTTGACCATAACCTGGTTGGTCTGGGGAGAGGCATGTGCTTGGGAATGTGGGCCTATTAAAAATGAGTCAGCTGTCGTAGGATAGCAGTGCGCGAAAAAAAATGTACCCGAAAAGCGGTACCAGATCTTCACGGATTGGCCAACCCACTCTGAAACCCAAATCAAATAGTGTTCGTAGGTATGGAGCTCGCAAACTTACCGTCGTGAAAGCCGGAGAGCAACCTAATATGGAGTGAGCAGTGCTTTATATAGGAAGCGGGAACGCTCACCTCGTAAGGCATCCATGTTCCTTGAATTTTTAAATATCCTCCCCGCACGCGGCGGATAACGGGGGCCAAGTCAGGCTGTGAATCGATCATTTTCACGATGTCGGCTTTGTTGCATGTGAGAGAGAGGTTTGAGGCGGAGTACCATGGCATACTCACCCTTTGAATTACCAAGCGCTGAGAGAGGTAAATAAATGGATGAGCATGTGAGTGTGAAAGTCTCACCTTTCCAAATGCCCGTCCAGAGAATGTAACCATCATCGATGTCCATCATAATCCATTGACCGTTTAGCGGGTATTCATATACAGGACTAAGAAGATGAGGGTTGTTGTGTGAGAGAAGAGAGAAGGGGTGCTTACATGTAACCTCTTGGGTCATTGCTTGTGATATAGCGACCTTTGCTGACCTGGTGGTTTGGACTTGCGTACGGACGAAATCGGGGACCTTGCTGTGGGATTGAGGGAGAAGATGCCATGAAGGATGAAGGTAAGAGAAAGAGATGGGGAAAGGCAGATAATTTTGAAAGAGTTATAAGTTATGTCTGAGTCAGAATTGAATTGATGGAAGTGATGATAATATTGGCCACGTCGTCTCTAGTATCTGCCATCGACGCTAGTAGTTGACATATATACCTAGATAGCATTACATGAATGCCGTATATAGACCTGTTACATGCGTTGAACCGGCCCAAGCAATCTCGCGAGGCACGCTTCCCCGACGGCAACCCTCGGCACCGGCAAGTTCAAAAAAACGATCATTAACTAAATTTAGAATCAGAACCTTCTCGAGAAAGAATTCTTCTACATAGTAATAAACCTTGACGAGTGGCTTTCAAGACACGCGCAGCCGTCGCCTATCAGGAGGAAACGGCACACGCATGCACTCAGCTTGTCAACTAAACGGCCGCATCAGGCACATTTGACGAAAAGACAACCGAACAAGGTTTGCACACTATCCCGGCAGAAGCATTCACCCATGATTTTCATGGAGACACTGCGGACAAATAACCCCAATTTTGGATGCAATGAGCGTTCGAGAGGTACTCTGATCCATGCGACACTCGCGTCATGTTTGACCAGTGACTCACATGGACAGCTGCCCACGAGTTCAACCAGGCCGCCATCAGAATCCCACATCAACCGCTCCATCTTCGAGACACCCTTTTCTATTTATTTTTACATAAAAATGAGCCCACCCTCGGAAACGTACTACATAATCCCCGACTATTCCTATTTCAATATAAAATTATGCTGACAAATGATTCGATTGGACCTGAATCAATGAATGCTCCCTCGGTCGAGGTTACTCCTCATCTCGTTATGAGAACAATATATCCTTATTTGGAAGCGAGCTTCGATCAGCTCATGGGTGCCTCAGAAGGGCGAAGCGTCGATCACAAATTGGTAAACCTCGATTGCCTCGAAACCTTCCGGATTCATATTTGAGATCCAGCGAGACCAGGCGAAACCCCGGAACAACGACCCGGCATCCTGGCAATTGCCTTCGGTACCGAAAACACACGCAAAAATAAGCGTGACATAGGCACAGTCGCATGACACTACTCCTCATACAGACACTTTTTCACGTCGACTACCATCAACTCGTCATAAACTCGTCCCAATATACATCACAACCAACACAGGTTACATCTATTTACAATCTAGTAAGGTCCACCCCCATGGCCATATCCCTTGGCAGCAAAGTTCCGCAGTGCACGCCGTGCCTCATCTCCACCTCCTTTGCTTCGTAGTATAAATCACGTTGCTAAACTTGAATCCGTTGAACTGGCTCGCAGCGCATATAGTGTATGCGCCCATGTCGTCAAAGCCAAGCCAATCCCCAATTTGAAGCGCACTTGGCAATTCAACTGCCTTGCACACGCAGTCAATAGAGTCACACGTCGGCCCCCATACGCTGCACAGTGACAAAGGCTCCGAAGGAGAGATGTGGAACGATCCGTTAAGGGAAAGCACGTAGGGGTTCACGGTCTGGTGATCAAACATGATGCAGTTGAACGCTCCATACACGCCGTCATTGATGTAGTCTGCTCCACCACCGTAAGTTTACTGACAGTATGAGAAACTTATCCACGTACACATGACACTTGGTTCATCCAAACTTGGCTTCGGATCCAAGGGCTCAGCAGAACCCTCAATCTTTGGCGCCCTGCGTGCAATGATGTTCGCAGCAAGACTGAATGCTCTGGACACATAAAAACGTCCAGGCTCAGCGATTAGCCTGATACCTTTTCGGTCAGGAAAGTATTGATTAATGGCGTCGGATAAAACAGATGCAGCAGCTTCAAATCGTGCATCTTCAAAGCCACCGCCGACATCTAGCAAGCTGAATTGATAACCAACTTGAGATCCCATGATGAAAGCGTCCCGGGCGCGCCTAACGGCATCTCCGTAGATAGTTGGGTCATAGCAGCCACTTCCAACGTGGAAGCTGACCCCAATCACGTCTAGCCCGAGCTCTTTAGCCTTCGACAAGAGGCTGGGAACCACCTCAAGGGGTGCCCCAAATTTGATACCGAACCGGCAGATACTTTTGGAATCATCCGCGAGAATACGAACGATGAGTTTGGCACCCGGGTGTGCACGAGCGATTTTGTACAACTCATCGTCATTGTCGAACGTCATAGTGTTAACACCGGCTCTTGCAGCGCTCCGCACGAAAGACGTTGCTTTACAAGGGTTGGCGAAGATGATCCTCGATGGATCGACGCCGCCGACGTTGAGTACCTGGGAAATTTCCCCGTTGGATGCGCAGTCAAAGCCAGCCCCCAAAGCAGCGAGAAGCCTTATGACGTATGGATCCGGGTTACACTTGACCGCTATGGACTTGGTCAGAAGTTTACAGGAACGATCCCAGGCGGGCTACAGACCGTAATGTGGGACGATCTCTGGGAGATTCTTCATCCATCGCTCATGTTGGCGATAGACTTGGCTGAGATCAGCCACGAAAAAGGCGCTTTCGGCGTCAACTTCGTTGGCCCCAGCCCGCATAGCGGCATCTATGATGCCCTTGCGAAGATGCATTTCGGGGTGTCCCCTAAACAGCGGGGGAAGAGAAGAAAAAATTTTGTCATCATCTAGCCGATTCTCTCCTGGGATGTCATTGGTTGCGATGTCAACGAGAGGTGACAGGTCCTGGACCAGGGGGTCGAAAGAGGCGTCTGAATTTCCTGGTAAATTTTGGAAGTTGCTTGAAATGAAGTGGTCGAGTGGGTTCAGAGCAGAAAGAATTTCAACCTGAGACATCGGAAGATGGTCCGCGGGTGACAGCAGTGTGTGATCGGACTTGTCTATAACGGTGTTTTGAGCGCAGCCGGTGTGTATGGCTGGAGTTCTTTTCAAAACCTCGAATTACCGAACCAGGCCGCTGGTGTCTGAAGAACCACGGGCTAGTACGGCAGTAAAGGGTCTCTTCAGTAAGTGATGGGTTCCTCGCTCCCTGTCCAGCGAGGAAAAGGCTTGAAGGGTAAAGTAATAATGGAAAAAGGAAACTTAAGACGAGAGTGGAAAGATGAGGTAGGAGAAGGAAGAAAGAGGGCCTGTCAAGGAGGTTCGCCTGAACCGAGGTTTAAAATCAAAGAGCCACCACAGCATGGAGCTTTTAGCTTACCACGAACAGAAGACCACCTGGCAATGCGGTGGAGGGATAGTATTGGATGATATATTAGGATACAATAGAAAATGAAGGACGTACTCGAGGGTCAAGAGGCGGAGATCACTATTCCTTTCCTGATCAGTAATGATGACACCGAGAGTTTCTGGAGTCGCTGTAATAACGACTACAGGGAAGAAACGCGATTTGCTGTTGGCAAAGGCTGATTTGCGGTTGGTCTATAAAATTGCCAAATGACTTGTTGAATGGAAAGAAATTTTGATGATGGAAGTTCTACAGTACCTAAAAATTATGTAATGCTTACGATTACATGGCTGACGTCATAAAGACTGCTGGTGGATTTGCGTCTTAGATCTATTCCTCGGTGGAGAACGAGGCTAGGTGAAACCCAGATTCCCAAACCCCATGAGCAAGTTCGTTGTAAGACGCTTCTTCGCCGCGTGTTCTCGTCGCCTTGGTCGTCCCCACGATTATAAAACTACGCCCTCCTCGGCGAGCTGCCATTGCAGGGCAGCGTGAGCTCCTTGTTTAGCACCAAACCCCGATCGGTAGGCGATGACTAGTCTTCTTTCCCATGACCTGAACTTTGATTCTGACATTCCATAACAAGCAAGTCTTTCCTGTTACCTTCATCTTGGGCATTATGCTATATACACAGCAAAGAACGGAACTTGCAGAAGAAGTTCCCTTCGCCAGCCTCGTTCTCGGCGGGAAGAAACGTGGTTACATAGCCCCATCCGGCGTATTGTTCAAAGCGATCTTAGCCCAAACAACGGACCGAAGTCCATCCATATGCTTTTTAGGTTAAAAACCGCCGTTAAGAACGTGAACGTCGTAGGAACCCTCTAACGTCGTTTTGGGCAATGCGCAGCCTTGTGCAGCGAGGGAAGAGAAAAATGCTTCGGTTATGTAGTGTGTTATCCCCAGGGTACACAGCCGACACACGAACCCGGGTCAAAGTCATTTAACGGAGTATCCATATCGATCATCTCCATTGCCATCACTTGGTCCATTCTCGACTCCAAATGAAATTAAAGGGGGTCACCACTATCTAATACGCAGGTCTCCTGCGATGAAGATTTGCGCCGCCTGCCATTCACACGCGAGTGGTGTAAAACATCCGATCGACTGGAATGTTGGCCCTTTGTACGCCGTAAGATCTCCATCACATATTCGCGACTCAGACAGTCTCTTGACCACTGTACGAAAAGTCTGACAGATCAGAACGTTCCGTGGCGTTAGGGCCAAGCGAAACTAACGAAACAACATCTGAGTGTCTCAGGATATTCCGTAAAGCTGTTAGGGACGCGGACCCCCATCCATTCCGCATCTACTTGACATTGGCGAGCATAAATACCGTCAAAAAATACTTTGTTTAACACGTCGGATATATCTTCATCGCTAGCGAGGATGTGTCCAAGGAGCCCGGGTATCCACGCTGGCAGGTGCGTCGCGCGACGTTGACGGCGCGTGACGCTGATCGACGTGGGTATCCCATTCCATCAGCCCGCCCAGGGGTAGATGCTGAACCACTACCCTCTTGCCCAGAACTTCTGCCTGAGTATAATTCAATTACAGGGTTCAATGCGGAGAATAAACGGTTGTCACCTCATACATCTTGAACAATCCATTATGAACTTTCCCCCAATTAGGAACCCCAACGGCGATTGAGTGAAGCTGAGAGGAGTGTTCGTAAAACGGTCCGTGTTTCACCTGATGAATCCGCATAATGGACATAAAATATAGGTTGCTTTGGGGAAGCGGGGGGTTTAGTACGGAAGCTACAGTAATATCCGTCTGGTCTGTGATAAGAAGTCACCTAAAAATTAGAAAAATGGACTAAATTAGAAACTGAATTATCATGCCTCGTAACTGTCCGCTTCCGAATATATAGCCAAGGAAGGTGTAATCGTCGAGTCCCCAAACACCATGACTCCCTGCGGGCTCCAACCTGTAGACGTCTTGGAGCTTCCAGCATAGTTGCAGATAGCGTACGAAAACGCTGAGGACCATATGGCGCTCTTCATTCGGCTCAGGTTTTAAGAAGCGTATAAGAGTTAGGCAAAGAAGGAAGATAGCGAATGATAATTCATGACCGGTCCCATAATCCATTCTCAGGAACGACCCAAATGACGTGAGCAAGTAAGGCTTCAGATACAGGGAAGCGGAGGCGAACTTCTCGCCAAGCAAGCCCGAAAGAAGCTCGTCAGAGCGCTGGAATGTTGTCATCGCAGTGAGACGCTGTTATCATACATGTCCAACAGAACTCGCCTCCTCCAAGCGAGCGCCCCATGTACGGAACGCAAGATTACCAAAACGCTGAGGAGTCTGAAGGGGAGGGATTTCATCAACCCAGCTACTCAAGGTATCCAGGAGAGCAAGTATTCGGTCGATTTCCTATGAACTCGATGAATCAGATAATGATGGGCGCACTCATGATTGCGGACCTGGCTCTGTTTTGGGAGGTTCACTAGTGGGAGCGTGTAATCAACCACTGCTTCACTCAGCCGGAGGAGGAACAACAAATAATCTGCATATCCCTTGGTGGATTTCCAGATTTCCACATCTTGATCGGTTCGGATTTTCAGTTCCGGGGGGACTTGTATAGTGGGCAGCTCAATCTGTCTCAATGGCAACAGCCTAGTCTGTGAGTTTAGTGGCATATCGATAGTCGGTGGTTGTATGTTGTGCAAAATAACGAGCACGCATCTCTTACGTAATACGCGTTTCCTCACCTGACATTTTGCCACGTTCTCACCCTTTACTGAACGCGACGCTCCGAGCTCCTGACGACTTCAACCAGAACTGTAACGCGCATAAAGGGGCTTTCTACAGAAGCAAACTCTATCCAACTTACTATGCCTCCATTTGACGACTGGAACATCATCGACGAAGAAGAAGAACAAGAGCTACAGGATGCCGCAGTGAGTGCTTCCTGCCAAGTCACATCCAGAAGGCTCATGCGAACTCCTTCTAGTTTTTCGAGGGGAAGCGTGATGTTATCCTCTTTTGCATTGATTGCTCAGAGTCCATGCATGAACTTCGAGATGACCCTAATTACGAAGACGTCAAAACATCTCACCTGTTCACTGCCCTTGAAGCAGCCATGCAGATTCAGAAAAAGAAAGTCATAGTAGGCCCAAATGATTCTGTTGGCATCGTGCTATTCAATACAGTGAGGTTTGCGCTGTGCCACATCGAGTATATGTTCACAATTGGTCATGGAAGACTCGCTCTTCTGAGACAAAAAATCACGCTACAGAAATCAAGAAGAACTCCTTCGTTTATCAGCCTATCACGCTCATAAGTGCACCAGCCATTCAAGAACTTATTCAACTGTTGGATGGTTTGTCATGTGATCGTCGTGTAACGCTTGAAACTCAACGATGTGCTCCAAGCTGCCCGAGAAGATCCGGATCTACTCAAATCCACGTTTCCACCACTGAAAGGAAAGAAAATGCCTATGGGTGACGTATTCACGAGCTGCAACTGGGTTTTGCGTGACGGGTGAACATGACGCAGTTTAGTGAACGCGTATTATCACTTACCCTGTTCATTCAGAGCACCAAAGACAGCTTCAAAACGCGTTTTTTTGATCACAGATGACGACAATCCACACCCAGGAAGCAAGCAGCTGGTCACCTCTGCTCGAACCACCCTTCTAGTGTGTCTATCTCTATGAAAGTGCACGGATAGCTAATTCGAGTTATAAGGATTTGACACAATCAGGGGTTCAAATTGAACCGTTTTTCATTGCCACTCCTGAGAAGCCATTCGAGACGTACAAATTTTACTCGGTGAAAAGCACCTTGATCAGTTTTCATGGTTGGCTAATGGTCTCCGAAGTCCGTCTTATTGCCAAACGTATTGAATGACGAAGACGAAGATACTGGCGTTCTTCCCGAATCCATATCCATTACGCGTATCGATGATCTTCTCTCTCAAATGCGCTTCCATGAGGTGCCGAAACGTGCCATCTTCAGCATTCCTTTCCAACTAGCGGACGGATTTGTGATTAGCATCAAGGGGTTAGTAATTCTTATATCACCTTACGAGACTAACATACTTGCTGCAGTTATGGTTTGGTTACAGAACAGAAGAAAGGTTCATACAAATACTTCGTTGACCTAGGCGATCGCATGGAAGTAGCCAACAGCCGTACGGTGTACGTTGACGAGGTAATGCATTGATTTGACATCATGTGCTGAGGCTTATCATTTGCATGACAGGATCAACAAGCGGAAGTGAACAAAACTGAGATGGTCTATGGGATGGCCCTTGGTGCCACCCCTAATGAAGGTGGCAGCGATGATGAAGGCGAAGGAGGCGACACTGTTTGTCGAGCTGTTCCATTGGGGAAAAGAGTATGTGTTTTTGGCTCTCTTGCTTTAGTACTAATCTCGCGTAGCCCTTTTATACCGCAGATGAGATTAAGTCTTTCCGCACGCTGGACCTTGAACCAAGTATGTTGTGAATATCAATCTGGAGTTTGTTTCTCACATAAGACCAAAAGGCATCAAGTTGCTTGGTTTCAGGGATCGTAAAGAACTAGCGTTTGAGGACAATGTCAAACACTCTGTGTTTATCTATCCCGATGAATCAGTGCGTTTCCTTGTTCTTTAGCCTGTCCCGAAATGACTAGGTAATACAGAAATACTCAGGAAGCAAGCGCACATTCGCCGCTCTCCTTAAGAAAATGATAGAGAAGAAGAAGATCGGACATGTCTTGGCACTCACAAGAAGTAATGCTGCTCCGGTTTTCTGCGCAATGCTTCCGCAAGTAAGCTTTCGTATATTGTTATTTATTGTGCGTCGATTGTATCTCTGCCTAACTAGGCAGAAAGCGGCGAAGAAGGGGGATGGAACGATCCTGCAGGGTTTCACCTTATCCCTTTGCCATTTGCTGACGATATTAGGGGGGCACCACTGGATCGAGCGTTCCGAGGTTTGTCAGGATACATCGGATTCTAACCTACAGCTAAATTGCCGCATATAGCGTCAGATGAGCTAAAGGACGCCGCAAGGGTTTGGATTGACAAGCTATGTGTCAAGGACGGAGCATACCCACCGGACTCCCATCCTAACCCCGGTCAGTTAAACTTCCTTCCGATTTATTCGCCATAATGATCTCGATCTGTGCTTACAGCCCTTGCATACCATAATGCCCAACTACAAGCAAGTGCCTTCCGTGAAGAGTTTGATCCAGAAGCCTTCGAGGATCTTACACGTCCGAAATATGATATGATTCACAAGGTGCGTGGATTATATTCACAGGTAGGCGTTTGCCAATCTAATTTTGCACTAGCGTGCTGGGAATCTTATGAAGGAGTGGAAGAGGTCTCTTTTGACCGACGAATCCGCGAATGTCGTGCCCATGACCACAGGATCCAAAAGAAAGGCTGTACGTCCACATGTCCGTGTAACGAGACTACCTGCTGATCAGACTATGTAGGACATATCAGTTGACGAGGCGGAAATCCGCAGCAAACACGAGGTTGGTGCCTTGGCCAAGGTGGGTGCTTTGTATAATGATCCGATAGTGTGCCTGATCTCAACGTTACTGCAGCTCCGTGTGGATCAGCTCAAGGTATCAGTTGCTTGTTCCTGGCCAAGCTTCATCCACACTAATTTCCTTGTAGGACTTTCTCAAGAGCAAGAGCCAGCCGGTGTCAGGAAAAAAGGCTGAACTGATTGAACGTGTTAATGATTGGCTGGATGCCCACTGAGCAATCACATGCACTCCCACAAATCAATCAGGAGGAAGTCGGCTTTCCTTCTTATTTATGGCCATCCGTGTTATGAATCAGCTTTCTAGGAAATTACCGTCGAGCACCTTTATTCTTGTACTTACTCAGCTACATAATATCCTCGTATACATGACGCAACTTTGATGTTGTCGCTTTGATGAGTGTCCTGAAGAGTGTGCCCTTGAATGCCACGGCCAATTAGCTCCGATGACGCCAAAATATTTCAAAACGATCTAATCAGTCATAATTATCAATTTTATTATCTCACAAGGACCATTGCAGCTAGTGGCGGTGACACAGTCGTTACCTAGCTCATCGATCATCCTCGCTTTTACGACCCGTCGATTCACCAGTCGATCACAGAATCAATGTCCACACTCGAGAATCTCGTTAATATCCCGAACACCCCACAATTTCAAGAGTTGCTCTCGAAAGATCTCAAACGTATATCACTAATCTACTTCTGGACGTCCTGGGCTGAGCCATGTGTACAAATGAATCAAGTTGTGGAAGGGCTAGCGAAGAAATATCCAAAACTACTCGCACTCAGGGCAAGTACCCAAGACCCTATCAGGCACCATAAGATTGACAACATACCGCTAGGTGGAGGCAGAAGAGCAAGCGGACATATCAGACTCCTTTGACATCAACTCCGTTCCGACATGCTTAGTTATTCAGGTGAGTATTCTAGAAATCTCCTCTTCCCTGAATGTATGACTAAGTGAACGTCAAAGGGTCATGCGTTACTTGCCCGAATCGAAGGCGGAGATGCGACACAGCTTACAGAAACGATCACAAAGTATTTGGGAAACAACTCCTCCGTAGCTCCCAAGGCAACGACATCTCAACTCCCTGCCTCTCCTCTGTCTTCTGAGACGGAAGAACAGTTAGAAGCCCGTATGCGCGATATCATGAATCAAAGCGCAGTAGTCCTGTTCATGAAAGGGGAGCCAGATGCGCCTCGGTGTGGCTTTTCCAGGAGTGCTGTGGCGTTGTTGAGGGAGAAAAGTGTTACATTTACCCATTTTGACATTCTCAGTGACGAGAATGTGCGGCAGGGTGAGTTTAAGCAGGTTTTGAAAGATATCAATCATTTAATTGTCAATTCTCGGATAGGTTTGAAGAAACTGAACGATTGGCCCACCTTCCCGCAATTCATAGTCAAAGGCGAATTTGTGGGAGGACTAGACGTCGTGAAGGAGATGAAGGAGTCGGGGGAATTTGAAGAGGTTTTCTCTACTTGATTTGTGTGGCTGATGTGTGCTGCCAATAACAATCCAACCCTTGAGCAGATGCATCTCCATACTGTCCTGCCGTCCTGCGACAGAAACGGTATGTAATTTGATTTGAAGAGAGTTTGAATTTTTCAATCTACGCAGATACATTGAATTCGAATCACCAAGGCATCAGACATGTGAGTTGGCTGCTCATACTAGGACGATTGTTCTCACAATAGGGGTGCAGCTGCCAAGTAAAGGTCGCTTATTTGATGAACAGTCCGGTAAACGATCCCTGCATGTCGGAAAGTACGAGCACCAGCTATCATGAAATGCGTCACCCGCACATCGCCGCTCATTGCGCTTAATCCCCTCAGTCTACTACCAATGTGCTTAGGCCTTGCCTGAAATGATTTCTGTTCCTGAGCTTGTCCCTCGAACAATTCACCATTCCGGATTATTTGGTACCGCAAGTATGCAGCTAGAATTCGCCACTAGGATCTTGGCGGAGCCACATCATCCACCAGTCTGTGTAGCCTCACGGTAAGGTCGCATGTTTCGTAACATTGGTTCTAAAGAAGAGTCCCGGCTTGTAAGGATGAAAGCGTCGCAATTTTTGGCTTGGGAAAACACAGATCACACCGAAAATATCGATACTTCACTCATCTTCCGTTGGGTTCGCGGGTCTGCATGGCCGAGTGTGGGTTCTTAGCTGTGAGATCATTCGATTACGTTCCCCCATTGGTGGAGTAATAATGACCTACCAAGTCCCGTAATGTGGAGCAATGTTATCATAATTAAGCATCCACCTTCCTCGAGGCATTCGCCATCAAAGAGGCTTCGGACCCTGTTTATCTAATGATGGCTGGGATCCAAATGTATATAAAAACTAGTGAGATATGTGAAAAATGCCGCATAATTTTCCTAAAGGTACTATATCCCGCAGTATTGAGGAGGATGGGAAGCTTGAATATTATGTAATTATGCAATCGCGTGACGTCACGCGATCAATAATTCCTGATTGATAAATAAAGGTAAACATGCGATAACCATTACCAAACCCATGCGAATTCATCTCAGCCCTGTGGCCTCAAGGTTTTCACCCGGGCTGCGATCGGTGTTTATATAAAGTATCGGATTGTTTTGGGATTGTCCGTGACTTTCTCGCTCTCATTGCATGTCATGCCCCGTCATCTCACTGATAATCACCACAGCCTGCATTCGAGTCATCAAAGTCCCCCATGTCTCACTTGTCGCGTCCTTTTACTCCTGGACCTGCAAGTCTGTATGCTCAGGGCCCCAAAAGAAGGCGGCGTCCCTTCTTCAACAACTGTCTATCGGAACATTGAACACATTCTTGACCGTGCTCGCTCAGCAAAGCAACCACCTCGCATCATTCATATCCGCAATTCCGGAGAGTCGGGTGATCCAGACGCACCGAACTCCCCCGGCTGGCAACTCGTTTTTCCAACGCTTGAGCACGAGTTCATTGTCGACAAGTTAAAAAATAACGCCTTTGCTGGAACCAGACTCGCTGAACTTATACCACGTGACGCTGAACTCATAGTCGTCGGCATGCAAAGCGATTACTGTGTGCGTGCTACTTGTAGCACAGCCTTGAGTAGAGGAAACACTGTCATCTTGATCAAGGAAGCACACGCAACCTACGATCGCATTGAAGTATGGAACCGTGGCATGGTTACAACTGCCCGTGACGTGGAGTCGGAAATAGAGGCGGAGTTGGAGGAGGCTGGGGTCAACCTTCTGTGCATGTCGGATGTGCCGCACTTGTTTAGTGACCGGTGACGCACATTTGCGAGAGTGATCGCTGAGAACTTCCGCTCCCTTTTCCAGCCATCATGGTAGTTTGGCATTTGCGTTGTGAGTTTTTCTCTGGTCCACGTCTCGTCGTACCTAAATGAGGAGGGCTGATTACTCACAATGACTTGAAGCTTTACTCCGTTGGATATTGGTTCCCGTTTAGAAACTTCCCCATGGCCGATATGATGGTTTGGATGATGGCCCTGTCATGGGCATGTTGTGTTTGGTATCGATACTATAACCTTGTCATCTACTTACAAATTTATGATAACTCAATATCACGTGAGTACTATTGAAAAACCGCTGCCAGCAACCACAGTAGCCAGCTGCGTACCATGAGTTGTGGCGCCTGCAACTTTCCACGGGTTCATAATTCAGCCTCAAGCTAACCACCTACGTAGTGACTCAACGATAGGTCTAAGATTTCACTGCCAGCCTCCAGGTGTTCAAGTCCACCATCATGTCCGCGTTAACCCAAGTTGATCCTTACAAGCCTCTGGCTCTCGGAACGGTGCTTTCATCTCTCAATCCAAGGCTGTGTCGGATTGACCTAAAGTGTTTGGTTTCAGAATCAGCGAATGAAGCTCAACACCGACGCACCCTTCACGCCCACATATATCCAGGCCTCGATCACCCAATCAGGAGATCCACAAGGAATATACACGAATCGTGTTAAGAATAGGCACATCGTCCTAGAAAACCCTCCTCGCGCCAGCAACGTACAGAAAGAACACGACGCAAAGAAAGGAAGAAGGGAATTGGAAAAGAAGAAGAGAAAAACTGCTGCGCTAGGACGGAGACCCGCAGACGCAAAAGGCCTCTGGAGGCTTGAGAATGGAGCAAAAAAGTGATCATTGAAAACTTGAGCGCTGTGCGCTTGTCTGCTGACCATCCATCTGCAGATTTGATCTATTCCTCCCACTCCATCAGTTATGGATGGGATATATGTCTGAACTCTTAGGGCTGTCGCCTCCGTCCTCCGTTCCAGTTGCCGAAGCAATGCCAAACGCATCATCAATGCACCCGAAGCTGGTAAAGGCCGACTTCCACGGCTCTCTATTGACAGGTATTCAAGTCTAGTCATTATTTGCTCATATACTCACATGGTCTGTTCACTTCCCAGTTCGTCAGAGTAAGAATCCTTGTCTAGTCGGTCTGTCTGGTATCGTGATCCACGAAACTGAGAATGCTTTCAAAGTAATCACTCGCAAAGATCAGCTCAAACGTGAATGAGTACTCTCTTTTCTCGTCTTTCAGTGTAGTTGTAACGCAAACATTCAGTGATTCCGAAACATAACTCGATCTTCACGCTGGCGATCCCCCTATACTCTACATTACCTCAAACGCAATTCGAGCCAGCTGAAGCTGTCAGTTCTGCGCTGAATGGACAACGTTCAGGAACTGTCCTGGATGCTCCGCATATCGCTTTCGATCTATATGGCAATCAATTCTGTTTTCGATCTGCAGATCGTGCTGGTCGGAAGTTCAAGGCAAAGGAAACAATCGAGCTATAAATGACCCTCTAAGGTCCAAGGCATTTGCACCTGATAAGCGCTTCTAACCTACGATAACCGTTCCGTGGTATCCTCCTGCATCGCTCGTCCTCCGATATACTCTCAACTAGATCCAGCCTGGTACACCTTTCCCCAAGCGAGTTCCTGGAATCTATAGAAGCATTCGGAGTTAGAGATAGCAAGTAAATGTAAGATAGCCATGCCATACTTGTCGTACAAAGATAGCACACCCGCGCCGGCCACACCACGAAGGATATTTGCGCCTGCCCCAGCTTATATCGTACGTGTCAGACCGTTAACTGCATTCCATCAGCGTACTTAACCTACCGAACAACGACCTTACACCCTCTTTGGCCATGATATGCCTTCCGGCCTCAATAAAGGACCTGTATTGTACCTACACCCATTAGTAGGTCGAGGCGCGCTTAGAGATAGTCTACCTTTTCCCCAGATGTCATCATCATCCGTCTCCTGATGGTGTCAAGTGGGTATGCAGCCAATGCCGCTCCCTAGAGATTTAGATTCAAGGTCATCACAGCTATATACCTGTCGACTCACCGTCGTGCACATCCAACCCACAGCAAAAGAGGCAAAAAAGTTACCACGCAAATTTCCTACTAGCAACGTGTCTCTAATCGTGTCATACCCTCCAAAGCTGTTCAAAGTATTATTAAATATTATGCCGGAGTAAGAATGATGAACGCACTAGAGGCCTCGATACACGCAGATGCCAACTACGCTGGGCACGAATCCTCTGTACAAGCCAACAACCCCATCAGAACGGAGGGTCTGCCTGTATACGTCGATCAAACCGGAAAATTGGCGTTGGCCTCCTTTAGCGGAACTCTTGCCGTCAGCAGATAATCGTGTGCGGGCGCTGCATCATTATGGTGTGCATCATCATATATCTATTTGTAATCCACAACGTCATGGACGTACTAGTCAAGTGAATACACGAAGACAGAGGAAGATGCTCCAGCAGCTGCTCCACTGGCGATGTTTCCTGATAACTCGTTTCGGACATTTGTTCGAAAATGCAAAGGAACATTTTACATACCAAGAACCCATAAACCGAATTGTTCTGATTTTTTGAAACCAAACATTTGTTTGAAGCTGTCCTTGAATGCAAAATTCAGGGCCTGGGTAGGGAAGTATCTGAGCACATTCGTCCCATTACCCCTCCACACTGTCCCCATTGACAATGAACATTATGAACGGCTAGACTATGAAGTTCACAGCGCACAGCTGATGGCCCCTTCTTCGGAAACGGTCCGCTTGAAGCAGTCAGCGATGCCCTTGTAGGGACGGTCTAGCCTTTCGGAAGCAATCATAGCTCCCTGGTTCTGTATAAGAAGTTTAATGCGTTCAATGGGAGCGGCTGCAGTCTTCGATATAGCAGCTGCAGTACCTCCCATCATGAAATCAACTGATTGGTCGAGTCAGTGAGGGCGTTGACATCAGCTTGAAAGGCGTACCAAAGAAAGCGGTGGCATCGGTGGGTTTTGTGCTGGTCATCTTGAGGAAGCACTTCTCAAGACTGATAAAACTGGTGAATACTTCATGACTCTCCACGGCGTGCTTTTATAAGGCGGAATGAAGGGTATGGAGTGTGTGTGCTCCAAGAGGGCAGTGTTCATACCAACGTCGTATTCCGCATTCCCCCGAGCTGGCTGTTAATGCATTGTCTACCTTTCAGGATAACGAGAAAGTAATTTTAGTTTCACTTACTAACTTACAATCACGTTCAGGCACTGGGTTCATGTGAAATGGGATGAACAGTGTGCTAGCTCTCCAGATTGCCGTCAACAATGGCATCCGTGGTATCCATTTTGGTTGTTCCAAACGCGGGATCAAGTCAAAATTTAGCAGTGATGACAGAAAGCCGGTCGCAATAGGGACCGCGGCAACATTGTGCCAGTAGTTGCTATCATCGCGATTTCCGGGGCCAGGTGCATCAACTCTCAAGTTGTGACTGTGACGGATTGTAACAAACTGCATCAGATCATGATGGTGACTCGAAAGTTCGTTGGAAAGCGACCGATAGTTGATACAACGATAACTTGAACAGCCTCAAAATATGTGTGTGAGTAATCTGGCCACATAATTCTGCCGATGAATCAGACGCTGGCTTGGATTTCAAGTATGCATGACAGACCTGATTCTTTTACAGAAACGGAACTTGGTTTGCGTTTGGATAATATGGCGTTTTGAAACAACGCATTGAAAACACTGAATAGTGTCTCCATTTCTCAAGTTCCAAAGTTTGCCGCCACCATCAAACATGTGGCGGATACGCATTTAGAGCCTGAGGGTTGAGGGACAACGGTGATTTGGAGAAGATGAGGTTAGTGACTCCTACTAGTCGATCCGTCGGGGCCATCCGGTAATTGCCCAACCATGTTTGGATAGCCCAGTCGTCTTACCATATTCTCAGGTCTAACCCATCCTGGCCTGCTCGACCATCTTCAAACCTCCTTCCACTCAGAATTTATCCTCCACTACTTCTCCCATTAGCTCTCTTATTCTTATCTTACCTCTTCGCATAATCTTTTCAGGCTGTTAGAGTGCGATCGATTTCAGGTGCTGCTACAATGACATCAAATATGGGTTTATCAAGATTTTGATGGATTATATCAAGTAAGGCTTCGTCATTGAAGCCTGCGACCATTGCAAGCTGATCGAACTCAGCGAAATATTATCCATCTGCTGTCGGCGTGGAAAACCCCTTCAGCGCGCGAAGTTTAACTACCCACTTCTTATTCGGGTCATCGATACCTCCCTCAACTTGTACATGGCCATACACAACGCTGGGATATTCACCATGACTTATGCGGAACAGACTCGACAGCGAATAGAGCAGCTAGTAACGAAGTAAGACGAGCGGATCAAAACTGCACCAAGCGTGCATGACGTGAAACTATCCAGGGTTCTAGACTCGATGCTGAGGAACGCTCGCACAACTGGTGGCAAAAACTCCGAGCGTAATACCAATTGTGCTATTTGCGCGTGTCCGGAGATCCAAGAGCAAGTTAGTCTCGTGAGGGCTTGGTCCATGTCTCTCCTATGGCTATGTAAGTTAGACCTTATAAGCTAACATCTGATATGGTCAGATATCATGAGATTCACCCTTTGGGGGCAGCAGCCAGATCCCACCAGCCATCAGACCAGATTTTTGGTCAAGCCACGTCGACTATTGACGACGCCTATGACAGCCACGCAAGTGCCGATCCGGGACGACGTAGCGGATTTAGGAGCAATGTACATCCCGATACAAACGTGGCGTTAGCTCCCAACAGGTTAATCGGCGAGACGGTCATGGATGCGTGGTTCCAGGTCTCTGGGATGGAGCACGCATGCTCGCCAGTGTCAGTGAGGGTTCGGTAACCTTGAATGAAGCGCGCACTTAGAATGGACTTTTGGTGTTTTCACCGTGGACTGGGTAAGGATTTCTATGCAGCTCGCATTAATTATCACTTCCAAGCATTACTCAAGAATGTTCGAAGAAACTATTGAAAACATGGCAAGGCTTGTAGTCGAAGGTATGATGTTCGAACACAATATTTACAGAATAATTTTGACAAGCCGAAAGTACTTCAAACAGGCGGGGTGAACCTGCAGGCTTCTATCCTCGCAATGCCGCTTTAGCTCCTGCAGTGGCTTATCATTAGCTTGTGGTGCCACTGACAGAAGGATCCACTCGCCGCGCCAATATTAACAGGAACGGCTATTGCCTGTCATTCAGGAGAGGAATCGATCCAACACTATTACAATAATTTGCAACAAAATATTCCTCTCTATGTATACTCCAACAACAATGACTTCTTCCAAAAAAACCGCTGGAAATTTGAACAAATGAAGGTATGCGACGAATGTGAACGAAAAGAAGAATAATTGAATGAACGAAGAGATGCTATGTGGTGGTTGCATGCAGAGTACAAATGTCATGGTATATGTACATCCGCGAAACAAATTTCGAGGCATAATGTTGCCTGCGAGAGTGCTTGTGGTGGTATTGACGATGAAAATGATGTCGTTCATAATACTGAATCATTCTTAGAGTCTGCCAATGTAGAATGAGGACCGGTGACCAGCGCGATAATTTATGGAGACATACCGGAACTCAATAACATGTTACCTATATGTTACATAGTGTTACGATCACAGAGACACGCTTAAGCTACCACACAGTATGAGCCTCCGCTGCTACTACTGGATTCTTCATCAGTAGGCACCGAGGTAATAGGTGGTGATTCCTCAAGCTGAGAGGTCGTGAAAAATGCAGTGAAAGTAGTGAAGGCGTCCATGTTTTTTATGAGCGGGGAATGGCTTTTGAATAGAGTCAACGAAAGCAGTACGGTGCAATTGCTCTGAAGGTCCGAGATGGGCGAACGAACCTGGACAAAAAGAATGAACAATCACGACATTTTATATATTCGCAACTGTCCATCGCCAAGGCAGATCAAAGTTTGCGAGGAGGTACAAAGTTTATCGGAAGCGTGTAGTGAAGTTTTGGTCTAATTGTCTTGGCCGCGTTGCAGCACATTTCAAGCCTCTGACGTGGATGTAACAGATTAGGTTATGGAAGTAGTCCTGTGAGCTTATTAGTTCAAAAACAATAAGAATCACTCGAAGGGGACCCACGGTGACTGAAATAATTTGACAATAAGCTGGTATCGAGGGTGAGAGTTTCCAAATAAGGAAGTGGAACACCAACCGGAAACAAAAAGCAGCTCAGATAAAAAGCCTCACCAGCTGTATACCGCGCTGAGCGCTACGTCCAGGAATGAAGCACATACACATAATGCACCACCACGATGTCGAATAATCTGAGAAATCTAGCTGTCACTACTACTAGTATCCCGATGCTGAGGAGCAGAGCATCCGCGGACGGTCGGGGTATGCATGTATAATAATATGTATCGAAAGGCTTGAATGGATGCTTGTCGGCCCGGTATATTAACTTCTAGCACATATGCTGGAATGATGGCAGTAACGAGTGACCTCTCCATGCTGAAATGGAATATTTTCTCTTCGCTTGTCATTGGATCACTCTGAACTTCAACGTTCGGAGACTAGGCAGCGGGATTTGAATTGTCCGCAAGGACTTGTTAGCAAGTTCCGGAAAATACAATAAGTCGTACGGAAAATGACATGTCATCATCCCGACTTGATGAACCTAGGCAGTCTTATAATACTTTAACCCCTTGGCGTCTTGGACGGTGAGTGATTTGTAGCCCCACATATTTTGTTCCCGAGAAAGTCTCTGATGTCGACCTTGTATGCAGCTGTCCTCAATCCGTGGACATTAATATATCGATGAAAGTTCATGATAACATCAATAGTTGAACCTACTTCACCGGCTTCTGATGGGTTTCTCAATCAATTTAGGTGTATTAAATAGATCAAAAACGATCTCGTGTATGACTTATCTAACAATGCAGACACAAAAAAACAATAAATTAAAGGAACAGGTCCGACGAGCCATGATTGGTTGCTGATCAAGTTACGTTGCCAGTGCGGAGGATAGCCATCATGCCGCCGCTTGATTACTCCGTGTCTTCAGTAACTCTGCTTTCCATTGGCGCAGGACCAGCTTCACCGTTCTTGGGCATAGATCCACGTTCTTCGTGCTCACTAGGAGCTTGACCCACAACATCAGATGAACGTTGGCCACGTGGAGGTTGTCCTTCGGGTGCCTTCTCCTGTTGACGCTTGCTCGGGCGTGACGAAGCCATGCCATCATCATAGCTCATCGACGATGCTCGTTTGTCTGGCTAAGCGGAAAAATTATTAGCGGACACGTTAACCAAAATCAAGATACTTACCATGTAGCCATTCTGATGAGCACCATTGAAAGAATTCTTGGTGTGATTGGAGTAAGAATGCGCAGCCTTATGATCGTCGTCGTCGTCGTCAACAACAGCGTCAGCATCTTCATACAGATCGTCCTCATCTTCGTCCTCCTGGTCCTCTTCAACGCTAGACCCATCTTCCTCGTCCTCTTCGTCACTTATATATCCAGCAGAACGGACTGCCGCCTCAACAGGACCCCCACGGTCCATTTGTTCGCTAGCAACGAGATAACGAGCACATAACATTCTGACATCATTCCACCACTCCATCATATCCTCGTGACTACGAGAACGGAATGACCAAGCATGATGTCCACCCGTCATGGGCAGTTTGAAAGAGCCGTGCTTAGTGCTACCATTGCCGTCTTTGCGACCCTCGATATGGAACTTGTGAGATTTCGAAGATGGCGTTGATGCAGGGCCAAGCGTGCACCCTGGAAGGAATAACGAAAATATTGGCGTTTGACTGCCTGATTGAGATGGGTCAGACGTCGCAAACTCGTGCAAGAATCCTGCGGGAGTGAGGACATAGTAGGCCTCGCGATAGGTCCTTGTAAACCTCTTCTTGCGTTCAAGATGCCCAGTATGCACGGCAATCACCGATGTGTCTTCTTTCGAGGGGTACTGAATAGTTTCTGGGTTTCGCAGAGGGGTTTCGGGATCAAGAAGATGATCAGACCTAGCTGAAAATGATATCCACTCCCGGTCGGGCTCAAGTGAGACCATGTTTCGACCCATGGTATGCCACGTATCTTGCACTGAATTAGTCATTCGAGATCGCCACTCATCATAAGTTTGCCACGCCGACTGGATAGCGCGCACAATTCCTTCCTCGAAGTGGGCAGAATTCTGTTGCATGATAACAATGGATTTCTGAAGAGCATTTTCTTCGTGAACCTGTTTTTGCAATTGTCTCATGACTGCTATGTTGGCAACATAACTGCGACGCGTCAAAAGGTGGAACTCATCGTAGGAAGCCTTGAAATGCTCACGGATCGCTTTTATTAGTCACGTTCATCGGAGTATTCTTGAAAATGCTGACACTTGTTGCTAGTTCACCGATCATTTTTCCGGATAGCTCGCGTTCTTTGGCAACACTGGTGGCCAATTTACCAGTGTCATTTTGAACATTCTGGCCAAACTCAGGGTGTGATACGTACACTATTTAGGCAGAGTACGCACCTTTATATGCGCTTTAATCTCTGCGTGCAGTTTCTGTAGATGTTGCACGATAGAGCTATCGACGGTCCGACCCAGGTTTGCATGTTGGTCTGCGATCACACGTGTTTTGTCGCGAATTCCGTAATATACGTCCTGATGCATCGTCTGAAAAATAAAGTGGAACTAGCAAGGGTCTTCATACCTGCAGACCTCCCTCGCCTAGAAATTGATTTCCTGAGCGGAAGGGTACTTGAATTACTGCGCCAAGCTTTGTGTATTCTTTAGCGATGTTGTTCTCAATATCGGCAACGCCCTCAAAGTAACTGATAAGTTGCTTCACAATAGCTTTCCACGAGACAAATCGTTCGATAAGAATATCGGATGGGCGGAGATCCTGTGGGGCAACGTTTTTCTTGATGAGAGATTGGTTGCGCGATGAGGCTGTCGAGCCGTGCTTGCTGGCACGCGAAACAGAGGTCGCACGGGATATGGTTGCGGCCTCGTTAAACATCAGAGCTCGAGTAGAGAGATTCAATGGAGTTTCGAATTTTGGTCTGCTTTATTATGCATGGAGTTTGACGTCATACTAAACAGGAAATGTGATACTTGTCACAAGCGCAGGCATGTGACCGAATGTTGTCACGCCGCCTTCTAATCCTCACTCGGACTCTCAAACTCTTCAAACTTCATTTTTAGAGGACTACCTGGTCGACATCAAAATGAACGCCGGAATACAGAACATCGTCATTTCCCTTGGCGCGATGCAAGGTCAGCATATACTGTTTCATTCCGGAGGCTACTGACTTTGGTAAAACTCATGTGACGTGTTCTCAGTTGCCCGTCGAATTCCATTCGATGACCCAGAAGTTCTCAACTATGTACGGATAGGTTATGTCGCAAGTCAAGTCATCATTTTGGGTGCATACTTCTTTGTTTCCTACAAGGTCAGTGGGAGAGTTTAAAACACATACGTGGCCCATCTGAATGCGTATGATAACACAGGTCAGGCAAAAGAATGACCAGACCGTCTTGAAATATGGTGAGTTCCTACCTTGAAAAATTTTCGACGAATATCTAAGTTGCTTGTACCAGTCGATGCTCAAAATCCCATGGTAATATTCCATTCATTTGACGAGCGGCACATGTTGGACTTACGTGTATAGTCGCCCGACTCTGGAGGACTCGTGACTACGACGGTCCGTGATTATGACCTGTCCGAAACGTCGAAACTAGTGCGTCACATTTTTTTGAAAGAAAAAGGACTGGCCTTATTCTGTAATTTTATAGCTTCGTGCTGCGTACTTTGGTGTCGCCATGATGGCCTTCTTCCATTTGTACATGAAGTACACCCAGCCTCTCTTTATTCAAGCTCTTATGGGTTTGAAGAACCTATACGATGCAAAGCCTGTCGCTATTCACATTCTTGGGAAGCCCGCAGAGGGCGATCTTAAGAGACCATTCAAAACTCCATCAATGTTTGGAGGCACGTGAATTTCCCTATGCACTATCATATCACCAATTGACTATTGTGTTCTCAGCTGCCGCTGGTCCTCAAACAGACGCAGCATCAATTACAGAAGCAGAGAAGAAGATTGGCGGAAAGAAGGAGGATTAGGGAGTCCATACTTTTGATCTCTTGCTATATGGATATCTATATCATTGTCCGTGACTTGTCAATTCGGTGCAACACATGCACTGTCTGTCATGCAAATTTGAATGGACGGAAAACGGCATCAGCATAGGAAATATGAGATGTCTATGCAATAGAATCAGTGTAAAGCATAATAAATGCTCTCAGCGATAAATAATGCGGTCTAATGAAGGTTGTATCCAACGACGCTTCTCCGTCCGACAATTTCTCCAATCTGCCGACAGTCAATAATTGTAACATCATAAACCTACGTCAAACGAACCTTGAAGATACCGTATGCTTCCACAGCGTATATGGCGACCTTGGCCCACTCCCCGGAACTGAGTATCCCTCGCCAATATGCTTGGCTGCTAGCACGACTCCATAATGTTGAGTATGCGCTTCTCACCACCCCAAGGTCGGTGGGAGGTTGCAAACGCTCCGCCACATATACCTGCTTCAACAATTCGCGTGCAACAGATAGGTTGTACATGACAGGCTGACGGTATGCTGAACACAAACAGAGCTGCATCAGTGTCTGCAAAGGTGAAAGCCCAGGAGACGACATACATCCGAGCATGCTTCCAGCGCGCTCGCCGAGGGGACCGAGGAACTTTTTTGAGCTCTCCCAAAGCTTTTCTGCTGTCTTTTGGGCGGACCCGAGCGCGTCCTGAGTTTTCTTCTGGGCTGTCTCCACATTTGAGCTAGCAAAGCGTGAATACTGGGCGGGTAGACGGCGGGGACGAGCAGCCTGTCTGAAGGCAGATGTAGAGACTGTAGACCGCATTCTAGGTGTCTGCGAGCAGGTTGAGTAAACTACTGAAAGGAATGTCACGACGCGGAGACCTGAGGAAATAAAGGGTGGGAAATTTGGCAGAACTGCTCTTACCCGGGTATGTCCGACGCGCTTTATGACTTCAACTGAGTGTTAGGCTCGAACACAACTCGAACAGGTATGTAGGCACTAGAAAGCATCACGTTCTACATGACGTTTTGTGCTCACTGTGCGGACCTCCATTTATATAGGAAACTTAGAGCTCTTGAAGCTCATGGATTAATAATCTTGATTCTTCGAATTGAAGTTTGCAATCTAACAACTGTTAGGTCAAACAGGAAAAAGAAACAATTCAAGGCAGCACGTCTTGACCATCTCCGCAATGAATTTGATCTCATGCCTTGCCGTTAATCCCCTGCCAGGCAAGTTAACTGTTGGTCCGCATGTTTAAACGCAGTGATCGAAGCGATGCCGCCCACAATTCCTGGTCAAGTGATTCAGCTGGTGGGTGCACTTCCTGATTCTCTTGCAATTGTGACAGAGTACCCTGAACCTTTTTTAAAAGGTCACCGTGCGAAGCGTTATGGTGATTCCTACTCTTGGCATGGTGTATTCATCTACCGTGCGTCTGGTTTTGTAAATTTCCGTCGTATTCGAGATATCCGCGAGCGTCTACCAAGATTGGGAATCTGCCCGCATCTGCTTCATGCAGCTTATAGAATAATCCTAAATGCCGTTGCATCAGCTTCTGGACTATTTTCTTGCCCCCAAGATGTGAGTTACGTGGGTGTATTGCGTCATAAATGTAGCTCACGATCACTTCAGGAATGGTTGAAGTTAGAGCTTTTCTACTTGCTAACACGGAACCTACACTACCCCTTTCAGTCCATGTTTTTCTCAGTACCTCGAGATAATCATGCTTCGGACCGAACGCGGTAAAGCATGAATGTTGCTTCTTCCTCTCAAGAGCATACGTGATATCATCTTCCGCCAGTGCTAGCTTCATGCTAACGACATCTAGTTCTGTGATCTCCGTATGAGGATATATTGAGAGGCATGTGGATCATCGACTTCGGATCACGTCATCAGCCACGGAAGAAACGTTCCAGTACCGAGGTCCATTAACTTTGTCCAGGTCTCACTTGTGTTCACCTACCGCTGTAACGCCACTGAGTGACATTGAGTAAGTCCTCGTTCTTAGCCATCTATGTCTCATTTCCTTCTCTGTATATTCAGGCATCATCCGATCAGAACCCCGTAGCTGATGCCGAGTAGTCGACAACGAATATTAGTCATGCCCACCCGTGGGGCATCAAGGGAATCTGGTATATTGCAAGACGTTCCAAATGATGCTATACATAGCTCGCCTTGTTAGGTAGGCGAAGTGAGTCTTGAAAAATTCACACCGTGAAATAGTCTCCTGTCGTTTGTTTGTCGCAGTTCACAGTGCAAGGATATCCAACGCATCATTGAGTACCCAAGGCATAATATTCCCATCGATAAATATATCGATGGATGCCACAAAGGACGAGATACTGATGAGCCTAATGGGCCTAAGTATCCATTTTAGAGTTTACCCCCTGTAATGTTTCCGCTTGATATTACGCCAACAAGTGTGCACACGACATAGCCGGGGAGATAACAGGGAGAAAGATGAACAACTTTCTGGATCGCTGATACATGATATGTAACCGAGTGATCAAAAGGCCTCGCATGACATTTCGTTAATATCAGTTAGGCCTACTTGCCTCTTATCCAAATAATGTGAGTACTGGAAATATGATAAGCGAATTTCTGATACGCTTTCTCACCCCAATTGTATTTCACCGTAGCTGCCCACACGATGCCGATGTCACTCGACCGGCTGTCCACGAATCTATAACTCTGGTGATTTTCGAGGGATGGGTGTGAACGAGCGGTGAACATGACGAACATCTACAAATTACGCCTCCATCCGGTACTTTTATCGCTGGGATAACATACCATGGACATGAGAATTACGTCCTGATTGACCGAGGTTGCGAACCTGCAAAGCGGCCATAGGTGTAGACACCGCAAAGCTTTCCGGCAATTCATGTTCAATGTCATGCCTGGGGTGTTCCTGCCATGATTGCCTCGATTCAGGGGTTCTGTCAAAAGTTCGAGTGTTTGTCGACCTAACATATACCCGGCATGTGTGCGCTGCGGCTGCTTGCATAATTCCCAGTAAGCCTATTGCAATCCCACATGTAGGTCACAGCAAAGTGAAATGAAACAAGAGGTTGATTTGCAAGGTCACCTCTTCCGGCTCAACTTCTAAAACGCCTCAGGGCACACGGTTGCACTTCCAAAGCGTGCCGCCTTTATCGTCCCAAGTCCTCGGGCCTGTCGTTCTTCACACGGCAGACGCTAGGCAATACTGTCGATATCGGTGTTAGAACCGTCTCTGATATCACTCACTGACTGTTGACATCATCTAGCAACTGGGAGAAACAAAGTCCAGGCGAGGTCCTTGGTTTGGTGGCTAATTTATGCTGCTATAATCTTTTTCTCTGTTTTGCACGTCCAAGTACAGTACTGCGTAGTAGTGCAACAAGATACAATCTGCTCAAAACTCACAGCTCGAATGATGAGGAGAAGGACGGGCAATACACTTGAGAACGTAGCTGAGATAAGAGATCTAAACCTGCCTTGCCGATTGCTTCGCGTAGCTCTTGAAACAAAGCATCTGAAGAACCTTGACATCCAATCGCCTACGACGAGGACTTCATGAATAATATGACGCCATTTGAGCCCGGGAATTTCAACTGCGCGCCGTTGGCCACCAGGAGCTCCAAGAGAAGGCGATTATAACACTAGCAACCTACTGCAATGGCATTTCCAGTGGTTGCCTGACGATCCGTGGACATTAAATCTTAGGTCATACAAAAATTGATGGTAAGGCTGGCAGATTCGAGTAGCTTGTCCAGAACCGCTAGGCTTCAGTTAATATTCGCACCTTTTCGCAATTTCTTTTAATTACCTCTTCGAACTCTAATCCAGTGAGGGGGAACGAGGAAAACACCAAAGAGGAGCGTCAAGCCAGCACGTTTCGGAGAGCTCATTAGCCACGGGCGTCCAGTCAGCCAACTTTTGGGCCACATGCACGTGGCACATCTTCTGGTAGAGGAAACGCGTGAACAGTTTCCGACGGCAGTGATTGATGATAAATCCGCAGCGAGTGACGTAGTTGTTATCCTTGGAAGGCTCGTAGGATCGGAGGGTAGTCCAGATCTCAGAGATGTGTTCATTAAGGGAGACGTCGTCATTGATATTGACGATCAGTAGTGGTGTGCTTCAGTCGATATTCGCATCTGTTCACAAATTCTTCAGATGATTTTCGAGATTTAGTTACTTCGTCGAACTTTGAGCCAGTCAGGGGGGGGGGGGGGATGAGGAAATTTTGGGTGACTACATACCTGGAACCTCTCGTCAAGTATACCGTCATGGATGATATCGTCTGTCACCGCTATAGCTTTCTTCACTTCAGGAGTGAAAACGTCACCGAGGGTGAGAAGATTAAAATAAAACTAGTACTGCGCAAGAGGGAAGTGACCCATTGACATATTTACCAATATGGTCGAAGGGCTAGCGCTCAGATGCGCTTCTCGACAAATTTCCAGGGATTATCCAGGATGTTACTATCCATGAGATGAGCCGAGAAAGCCACTGAGTAAGGTTGGCCGTAAGCCCGGATCAGCAGCAATTGAAGAAAGGTTCATGTCGAGCCTCGGCAACTGCCGGATTCTTTGCTCGTTTGCTTTGTTCCTCGTTATTGCTCGTTATCGTCGTTGGCTGCGCAGGCTACGACTAATATGAAGCAGTTGGTCTATTACTGTCGGTGACCAATTAGGCGTAGACAAGTACACGATACTGAAGTGATAGCTTGTTTGTCTGTACGTATGTGACGGTATGTTTACTGTCCGTCATCAGTCACCATCTGATACCAAAGCTTGTGTAGCATTGGCAGATGGGTGACGCCTGTCTGAGATCCGTAAGTGTTGTGCTGTCAGGTGTCACTACATAGTTCACTGACATCCTGCCAATCTTGAGCTTAAGCATGGGCTTTCGGAATTCGGCTTCTGTGACTACGATGCAATATGCACAGTGAGTTGGTCCGGCCACGATTCTTGTCTCCGGCGAAAGCCTTCCGACGGGTGCGCCTTCGCTATGGGGGTCATCCTTTGCAAATTATCTGGTTCATTCCTCATGCGACAACAGCTTCTACACAGGCCACTAGCCTAGCTTGGTCGTGCATCATGTCCCAACATACTCCGATCCGACCTCAGCGGCGCCACGTCACTAATCACTCCCCGAGCAGTAGCGCAGGCCGCATCTGAATCCTATATCCTTCGAATATGAAAAACCTGAGGCAAGATTCTACACGTGGGTTTGATATCCGACTTTCATATTCGCTCATTTTGAAGATTCTTGATAATCAGACTCTCTAAATGTATTAGCGACTGATGCGAGCCAGCGCCTGCTTCGAAGTACATGCCTATGTGGTCATACGGTCCCAGTAATGCCAAATTTCATCAAAGGAAATAGAGACTCCGAGTCCAGTGTATTGGTCACCAATCTTATCTCGTGCAATTCTTCGGATGCGGTCTGTTAGATGAGTTAGTCCAAGGCGCTCACCGTGCAAAATGGACACTATCTAGTCAGGGAAGGGCAACTAATTTGTTGCCTATCGTTTTGCTTCATTGGTCTTAGCTGGGTTTCTATCACCACGGCAACTTGAACCAATGTAATTGAACTGCCGGATATAAAGTACTACCTACTTTGACTGCCCATTGTGACAATGTTTATCCGGGCACCTTATCACATCATAGCTATCTACACCAAGATTGCTCAGTGCAACGCGAGATCCGAGGCATTAAAAGCGACTTGAAATGCTCATCAGGGCACATGCCGACGTACTCGAACCATGAAGGGGCAAATCCCAACTATTCCCAATCTAACATATACAGCGAGACCAGTGGTCACGAGTTATCGAAACGAGGAGCATCCGGGGGCACGCGTTTTATGTACTGAGACACATCCAACTTATGGTTGAGCCATTCCGTCGGACCCACAGCGTAATGGTCTTATGCAAACGGTGAAGCTGGCCGATATGACCGCTCAGGCCTCAGAGCGAAGCTTGATTTACGATAAGGACAAGACGATCCCAGCAGCTGGCCAGTTCATCCCATGGCCATGTCTGTGTTGGAGGAGGCATTCACGACGACTTGTCGCACCCCAGGAACGAAGAATGGTCAAGTTGATCACTTTCGTGATCGCTTCATGAGCATACATGTGTACTGTGACAATCATGTTTGGGAAAAACTCGTGCACAGTGATCCGTGGAGTTCTCTTAGACGACAATCTGCCTTATCTGATCTCCTGATCGTCGTATTACTGGGAAGGGTTCCTTGGGAAAAACCGAGGTGATTCAATTTCAAGGGTGGTCGCGTACAATGGATAGCATCACGGAGTTTTTCAGAATCTCTCCCGGCTCAAGATAAGCCGTTCGCACGAGAATAGGTACCCGTGGGTTCGCTCCGTCAACGTCGAACAGAGATGGCAGAGTATCACCGTCGGTATAATGGAAGATCGAGCAAAACCATCTGCGGTAGGAAAACGCTGCTGCTTCAGAGGACGTCGGACTGAGATGTGGAAATAAAGAGGCAAGCGGCTTTGTAGGAGATATATCAGGACAATTAGACGCTGACTCAGCTTGCTAAGTCGCTTATCTGTCTGATTATAGTAACGTGTGATAGTCCGTTACAACAGTCTCCCTGAGCTGAACGAGGTATTTTGAACGTTTGGGAAGACCAACTGAAACTGCGAGCCTGGTACCGTTGTCGATTATGTCTGAATCAGTTCTAACAAGCGCTCGATATGGCAAAGACCTCATTCGGGTCTTTCGTGTTGTTCGGGATGGCGAATTTCACCAAGTCGTGGAGTACAATGTCAGGGTACTCCTGGAAGGCGATATCGAGACCAGGTCGGTGATTGATACAGTATATCGTAAACTCTCTAATAGATGGATATGCAGCTACCTGGTTGCAGATAACTCCGTCGTTGTCACAACCGACGCTAGTATGTACATCTGTACGATAGTCTGGCTAAAGCTCACCACCTCACGCATTATGCAGTAAAGAACATCACATATTGTACGTGTACCGCTAATAGAGGAGATAACAGCTAACCAAGTTGGAAACTTCGGCGATTCCTAGATCTTGCCAAGATTTCACCCCACATCCTCAGTCCGGAACGGTTCGCATTGCACCTCGGAACTCACATAGTTTCCAAGTATGCACACATACACCGTGCATTCATCACCGTGGAGAAGTTGCGTTGGTCTCGCATTGCATTGAGTGCAAATGACCACCCGCACCCGCATTCGTTTGTTAGGGACGGGAACGACAGACAGACAGTCGAAGTCGAGGTACGAAATTTAATTTAACGCCGAGGATGCTTCTTGGATTCCGACTTGGTGGAGTGAAGCATAGTCGCTGAGGTGGAGCGTTTCCTTGCCGTCAGTTGCCGAACTGCGGTAGCTCGGTCGAGACACTCGCTCCCTGCCGCTCATATCACCCTTCCGATTCTAAAACGTATATATAGCTTATCAAACACTCCTTTCTTTCCTCCAGGTCGATGCCTCTGCTGGCAAGGACAAGCTCTCAGCTAAAGTAACTTCGGGACTTACCGATCTCTTGGGTGAGCTTATCCTTGCACTCTCGAGCTTGTACTTACACATTTCTGCGCATCCCAGTGCTCAAGTCGGGTGGTTCTGCGTTCTATGGATTCGTTCGCGATGAGTACACTACGCTGCAAGAAGTGGACGATCGTATTTTATCAACCTCTGTGGACCTGACTTATACCTTCGCGCCCTTATCGCTCAGCTCTCCCACTGATGACAAGAAACTCGATTTCACTGTCCCTGAAGGCTTCGCCCTCGGTGACGTCTGGGACGCAGCTAATGTTGCGACGCGGGTGAGAAATGCAACGCTTGATATTTTTGCTCTTGATGCCAGCGCTAGTGTGCAAGTGCGTCATAGGCTTCTATCCTCGTGTTGTGCACGTTGCTGATGGTTCTATTTAATAACAGGCAACGTTGTTTAAGATGGGGCAACGCGTCATCGCGGAGAACGCGGGTGTCGAGTCCGTCACTTACGAGCTCCCAAACAAGCATTATATCCCAGTCGACATGAAGTACATTGGGGTGGATAACACTACACCGTTGAGTATCATTTCCCTTCAGCGCCCATTGCCTTTTTTCCTCCTTTTCCTTGACACTACTTGGGGAGCGCCGGCTTTACCTGTGCGGATGAGGCCAGTGATCGCACCTGCGATCCAATCGCTTAATCTCGTTGTTAGTTCTGATTCAAAAATATCTTATGACGCGACACGGGAAGTGTCTAATTAAGGGGAGGGCCAACTAACTTGGCATCAACCCCTGGGTTCTTAAGAATGCCGGCACACTCTGACGAGGAAGCGATCCGCAGCGTTGGGCGTGAGATTGCCATCCATCATCGTCATGAGTGTGAGGTAGTTCGCACTGTTCCTGTCGCGGAGATCCGTATCACAGGGCCAGGACAACGAGGGTGGTGATCACGCTCATTGCAATGCCTTTTCATGACGCCAGTCGCTTCTCCGGAGCCTGTTACCAGACGCCCGGCAGCGATCTGCTATTATAGCCCTATGACGATTGAAATGGAGAAAGATTACTGATTAAATTTACGGTGATAGGGCGAACGCTGAAGTATTCGTGCCCGTATCCGCCCCAAGGTGAAAGACACGTTTCGTAGGAGTGTTCTGATGAACTGACGTCAGTGTGCGTGTTTGTAGCGGATTGATCTCCGCCACGATCTCTCGCAAATAGGTGACATCAAATTGCGTCACACGCTAAATTGCCAGCATTGTCTTGACGACGGGGAAGGTCAATTTGTTTAGGTTTTCGAACTTTTGCTTTGAATATTTTGGAGACAAGGGGATGGAGAATACAAGGGATGTGGAGGAAGGTAGTGGAATGGTCGAACAGAATAATATAATGACAGTTAGGAGAAATGTATGTAAAGAGATTTGATATTAAGTAAGTGAAAAGCAGTGTGGACCGATAAGGTATATGACATCATTGACACGGACAACGCCGAAGACTTTATAGATCCAGGTGTTTTGGTAGGGATAAATATGTGTACAAGGTTTGTGTCATCGGATAGCATCATCCACTCGTCCACGACTAATTGGACTCTGAACTCCTTCTACAACTATCACCTCAATTCTCTAGATTCTATACCAATGGGCGGTGACCATCAATGTCCTGTCTGCCAGGCGACTTTCACTCGTCCACAGCATGTCGCTCGTCACATGCGATCACGTATGTACATTTTTCCATTCTAGCACTAATTTCGCTCCACTTTGCCACGAGAAGCCTTTACCCCCTGTCCTTATAATCTCCCTCATCATCAATTCACTCACTCCCATCGGTTCGCTCCTCAACAGATACAGGCGATCGCCCCTACAAATGTCAGTATTGTGGAGACCAATTTGCACGCAGGTAAAGTCTTCAAGTACATGGATTACTCGATCTCGCTTAACTCAATTTCCTCAAGCGATCTTCTATCGCGACATGTCAACAAGTGCCATGCGAACGAAAAACCGCCACAAACCGCCACTAACGGTCGTCGCAAGGGCTCTGCTTCAACCTCTCGAGCAACTACTTCCAAGCAAGCATGTGACCAATGTGTCCAATCAAGCCTACCGTGCGACGGTTGTAACCCTTGTTGTACGTTTGCGCCCCAAAACCCACGATTCTATTCTTACTTTGATACTAAGCAAAATGCGTACAACGCAAGAGTCGATGTACTTACGTCAAATTCCATCGTCAAACCGCACCAAGCGGCCCTGGTCATCATGTTCCTCGCCCCACTTCCCTCGTCTCTTCTCTTGGGAATGGACGGCTATCAATGGACGACTTTATCCTTGGGCCTTCCCCCTTGAGCGTACCCAGTATGGATCCTTCTTCGGGAGATCCGCTTTACACAACCCCGTTTTCCTTCAATCATGTGTATGCTTCGTCAGCAAACGCTGTACATCTTCCCATGTCGCTCTCTTCCGACTCCGAGATCTCAGGAAGAAGTCGGGCACAAGCTGAGCTTTTGCGTCATGCCGGAGCTCCTATGCTTGCAAATCCTCAAGGTTCACCGGCACTTTTGCCTGAGCTTTACACGGACCATAATCAACCTTCCAACAATTGGCTTGGATGGGGCGAGAGCACAAATCCTGGTTTGACTACTGCGCAGACCGGTCAACCCCAGTTTGCGTCTTTGGACGAAGCTTTTTCACAAAATCATTATGGTGCGGACGGTTCAGATAACTTCAACTCAGAAATGTTCACTGGACCCTTCATTGGATTAGCCTACCGACCTCGTAGAGACTCCGTTGACTACAGCGACGGCAGTAGCACTTCGCAGTCCATACCTTCTAGCGCTACTTCGTCCAATGTCCATCTCCCCCTCTCGGCGGGGGATATGTACCAGGGCGCCTCAGAGGACTTTCAACAGCGAATGCTACTTGACCCTCAACGCCGAAGAGACTCGGTGTCCTCTACCTCTGCACCTGAATCCCACGACCAGCAGCCCGATGAACATTCTGGAGTCGGTGAAGGCGGGTTCTCCTCCGCATTTGGACTCATGTCTATTGACGATCCAAATGTCCTTGCTGGGCTATCAACAGATGGTGTACCTTTCTTTTCAAACGCTGCCATGAATATGCGACCTCATTCGCCGAATGTTACTCCGATGCCGCCCAAGGCACTATCACAGCAGCAGCTCAGAGATCGTGGCATGTCGCTCTCTGCGTTGCCCACACCTGGTTTGGGTCGTGACAATGACTTCATGTGGAGGGCGTTCATACGCACACCTATGAGTGGACCTCAACCCGTCGGCCCAGAAACGCCAGGCACAATGCCGCAATCTCCCTCTTCACGCCGAAGAGTTCGTGTGTCCTCCCTTCCAAGTTCCAAAACGCCTACAGCAGAACGAGCCCTTCCTGGTGTAGCAAACGGCAACGGAGAGGGAGCGCGCATGACGCCCCAAGGCAACCCTGAAGATCTTCGGAGCTATGAAGCTGCTGTCAATGCTCGCAATGCATCGCTCAACCTCAACCTCCCTAAACGGCGAGGTACGCGGGCAAACCCACCTGCATCTGTCTCTTCCGGTGCATGTGGCACTAATTGTCGCACAGATACCACACGTTTGCACCCGAATGTCGATTTTGATTTGAACGCCAGCCGTCCCTCGAGCTCCTCGTCGACATCGTCGCTTTCGCAGGCATTCATGTCACCTCATCTGCCTCCCATGAAGGGAGCTGCGCCGCCTATGAATGGGGTGTCCATTTCGTTGCCTGTGCCTCGTGTGAGCAGCATGGGAAGTTCAAGCACTCAAAGCGGGTCAAGAGATGGGTCAAGAGAGTCATCTGTCGCATCTGACTGTACAGGAAGCTCTGAGGGTGAAATATTCCGGCCTGCTTTCAAACGTCTCCCTTCGCAGACTCTGGGTCCGGCCAATGCCAAACGTGCGCAATTCGAGAAGAACGGAGTTGCTGATAAGGGATCTATCATTGTGAATGGTGATCGTTCCCTGCTAGGCGTTCCTAATGGCAGCCCGCGCCACACCGCTGCACTTCCTGGACGTGCTTGCCAAATGAGCGACAAACGTTTGTATCGCAACGGTTTAAGCGTGCCACGACAATGAAGCATCCATCCTCCTTATTTTCTTTCCGTCATACTTGTTCTTTTGTGTAGTGAAACATACCGTACGTTCCTTCCGATACCTAAGGCTATTCATTGGACATAGTTGATTCTTCTTCGGGCATTGTCGTTTACTTTTCTTTGGCTTCTTTGTGGTGCGACTTGGATACATTATTCTCATGTATACTACGCAAGTAGTACTTACTGGTCAGTGAACATAGCACACGCTTCCACCATCATGGGCTAGTATATTACAAAATAAAGCTTGTAGTAGAGTCCTGTGGTAATTGGACGAATCGAGTTTGACGTAATGTCTGTCATGCTGGAGATTTCGCCAAATTCGAGGGCCGCGGCTTGGGAGACAATCGCGAGGACCGGTAGTTGGTTGAAGCAGAGTTTTATTTGAATAAAATATTAATTATTAAATTGGTAATGGTGTGAAAAGCCCAGTTCCCATGGGAAGACGCCGTGTCTTCAGCGCTATGTACTTCGTCATTTGTCAAACTTGTGAAATTGTACCACCTGGCAGGCGGTTGTTCATGCGTTCATGCGCACGTTCCTGGTCCACCTGGTCTTGAGTTTATCATGAATGATTCTTACAGCAGTGATGACTATCCACAAGTTTGCTTCCGGACGATCCATGACAGGCCTATCGGTGCTTTTGTGTCGAACTTTCTGCTACACCTCCGGCGATTTCTCGGTAGGTAAGGCGTACGCCAACTCCAGATCGCCAACATTCAGTGTGTCACAGCTTTGGTTACTCGATGCCGTCGTTGTTCTAGCGCAAGATATCGTTCCGAGTCGGTCGACACACGTATAGTCAGTGAGTTCAGCGCTTTACCCTCGTATGTGACAGATTGATGAACAAATCTACCTGGTGTCGATGATGCGCCAGGCAAATCTATCTATCGATTTTTTTTGCCGATGTACACGGATCTTGGTCACGGCATGACAGAGTGCGTACTTTTCGCTGGATTGACGTTACTTATCAACACCCTGCCTGATCTGCCAGTTCATCATCGGTTTAAAGCCATTAGCGGACGGGACAGGATGTGATTTTGCCGACTAAGCGTGTAGGACAGATAATAGGATTTCAAACTTGATGTGATGAGCCATTGTTACTCGGATGGGAAATGTAAGTCGATCGTTCATCTTGACATTGTACTTTTACGCAACCTTTGATCACTGTAGGAACCGGACATCTGCGCTGACAATGAACACACGTTGGATTGTGTAGGTGTATTTGATTGCCGCTTTCACATGGTACGACGCAGATCCCTGAAATTGGTTTGACTCGCGACATTCGCGATACGTCGATTTTTTGAACTTCATCTACTTGTGGCAGTGGGTGCGTAAACCCAGGTTTTTCTCTTTATACGTTATGATACCATATAACAATCTAAAGCAATGAAATCACACTTGGTTTGGGCGAGTGATGAGTGGATTACCGGCCTCTTACCCTTCCGAAATACTTTGGTTCCGTTGAAAGCTCCCAATGATTCGTATACCTGAAAGGCAGCATATAACCCTGGCTCAATCATCTGTGCTCATCTAGGTCTCAAGTTTCGTCAGTGTATGCGGTGGTGTGCACCAAATTCCACTTGTCCTTCACCTTCGCTGGCTCATCCTTCTCCAGTGATTGAAATCGCGCATTTTGGCACCCACGCCTTCGGACATCATTCTCCACTAAAGCCTGCCTTTACTTTATCTCGCTGACGCTGTCGGACACAGTGAGTTATTTTCAATGTCTCTGGCTTCGGCTGTATTTTCCCCAGGTATAAAGGATTGTCGGGTATTTCAAAATATGAGTCTGCTGCCGATACTACCTCGATTCAACCATCGCTTGTGAACAGCAACAATGACTTAGCCATTTGAAGCTGCACGCTTTAAAGACATGGAGAGTGTAACAGCATCTCCGTTTTTTCGGATTAAAAATTTCTCCTCATCTTGTGTTCTGTCAGATCGTAATTACATAAATTTGCTTGTATTACGCTGTTGTACTACAGTCGTTTGCATTAAATAAAAAGTTCACCCCTTGATTTGGACGCAACGTCTTTGTATGTATTTGTGCCCACAAAAAAACCTCGAATATTATTCTCAAATGTGTTTGCCGGGTGACCTGTCACATGAGAACTATACGATATCATGTCTCCACACCTCACGGAACAGTTAAGGGAGAGGATTATTGTCTGGCATTTTCAGCGACAGAAGAAAATTGCTGAAATAGCTCAACTTGCTGGGTGCAGTTGGCGAAGTATCTACAAAATTTTGACACTTCACCGAGATTTTGGACAGACAAGAAATCCATTTGTTCGTCGTCGTAGCAAGCCTCGTACTCTCAACCAACAGAACCTGTCATTTATCACATTCATTCTCGATGCCAATCCAACCCTATTCCTTGACGAAATTCAAGAGCAGCTGCTTGAAGCACGAAATGTTGAAGTCTCGATTCCCACGCTCTCGCGCAGCCTTCATCGGCTTGCACGCACAAACGGACATCAAAGGCAGCAGCAGAGCGAAATGAGTTGCTGCGTGCAATATTGCAATATGGCTGGCAGAAATTTATGAGCACTTGTCAAAGAAAAATGAAGACTATTCAATCAGCTTAAAACGAGGCTTGGTGTCCGATCGATACTGCGCAGTATGACAGTGGCCGTTGTGGTTAGGGTTAGAGGTGTACATTCAAATTTACACCCACCAAATACATACAAAGACGTTGCGTCCAAATCAAGGGGTGAACTTTTTAATGCAAACGACTGTAAGTATGAAAACGGAATCATCGTTTTCCTTGTGAAACACATCTGGCTCGGAACCAATTAAGGCTCCGAGTTTAACAGGACACCATCGAACCGAGCCGGACTTGAATGTTACCTCATGTCGGAACCAATCCAGAGTCCGAGTAGGAACATACTACTACTTGTACTGAAGGTTTCTAGCAGTTAACTAGCCTCTGCAATGAAATCTTGCAGCTGGCTATACAAAGGTTAATACCAGACTTCTGAATCCGCTGCAGCTACATACCAAGTGACACTCATTTCCTGCATAGGTGAATTTCATGTTTCGAATGCTATCTCCATGCAATGAGTCCCGAGCCCAGTCCATTTCAAGTTAAGGTAATAGTACTAATTTCGCAGTCTTGCTATTGTTCCATTCTGCCGCTGCCGATCAGAGATTTCGTTGGTCTCCCCAGGGTGCTTTACGTTGATTGCGGTGGTTTTCCGACGTTATACAGGTATCCCCGACCACCATATAAAACGGCCCAGCTAGAAAGGATGCCACCAAAAACTTCAGAAAATGGTTTCCTCCGGATCACTTGCGTCTCTGGCCCTGCCGGCACTTGCGTTTCTATCGCTGTCAGCAAATGCTTTGCCTCATCATCGGACAGCGTCAAGCACGGCTGCTCTCAAGCTCGCCGTTAGGATAAACTCATATGGGATCAAGAATATTGCGGCAGCAGATCAAGCTCGAGTTCAAGCCCTACAAGCTGGCGACAGCTCTTCCATCAGTGCAACCAATGCTATGACGACCTATACCGCTAACATTGGCGTGGGGAGTCCAGCAACGTACTGTAAACTCCTCATGTTCCTGCAATTTCTTGATCTGACACATTGTCAATTTCACACACAGACACACTCCTGATAGACACTGGAAGCTCAAACACCTGGATCGGGGCTAACAAGTCTTACGAGAAGACTTCCACGAGCGAGGACACAGGCAATCAATTCGTGAGTATTTATTTCTACGTGGCACATACACTTTTTAACCCGTTTCCAGTATCTTCCATACGGCGATGGGAGTTACGCTTCTGGAGAGGAATTCACAGACACTGACGCTCAGCTCTGATCTGGTAATCGAAAATCAGTCTATTGGCGTCGCATCTGAATCGAACTTATCGGTAACTGATGTGGATGGACTTCTTGGCCTTGGACCAGTGGATTTAACGCAAGGCACTGTCAGTGATGAAGATGAAGTTGCGACTGTGACGCAAAACCTCTATACGCAGGGAACAATTAGTTCGGAAGTACTCGGAGTGTTCTTCGCACCTGCTTCCTCTGATGATACCAGTGGCGAGCTCACATTTGGTGGTTATGATGCCTCCAAAATTACTGGAGACGTCAGCTATGTGCCGATCACATCAGCATCTCCAGCGAGGACATATTGGGGCATTGATCAATCCATTAGCTATGGGTCTACGATCATTTTGGAAGAGACTGCTGGTATCGTCGATACCGGAACCACACTGATTCTCATCGCCTCCGGTAGGTGGTTTGGTGTTTTGTACGACATCAAAACATCTCTAATCCACTATTCAGATGCCTTCGACAGATATCAGTCTGCGACGGGGGGGACCCTCGATGAGGAAACTGGCTTGTTAAAGATCTCATCTGACCAGTACGAACAGCTCTCATCCTTGTATTTCACTATTGGTGGGGTTACTTATGAGCTCACTCCGAATGCGCAAATCTGGCCTCGATCGTTGAACAGCGCCATTGGCGGTACCACCGATGACATATACCTGATCGTCAGTAGCACTGGAAGTTCCAGCGGTTCTGGTTTGGATTTCATGAATGGTTACTGTTTCCTGTACGCTGAGCTGCTCTTTTTCCGGGAAAATAAATTGCTGAATTGTTCTTCCACAGCGAGCGGTTTTACTCTGTGTACGACACCACAAACTCCCGAGTCGGGTTCGCCACCACTGAGTACACCTTTGCCACGACAAATTAAATCCCTCTTCTTGAGAGATCGCGACTCTATTCGTATCAGCGTATTTACATGTGAAAGGTACTGATATCTGAGTGCTCGGAAGGATCTACCCCACACGTCTAGCTGAGTGATAGCTCGCCTTCCCTTCCTCATAATTTTATTCTCCCCCACTGCACCAAACAACCTGACTGTTCGCTTTTCACAATACTATCGCTCGTTCACTCACTCGTTTTCTTTACAATACTCTCGCTCACTTGCACACACTCATTTTCGCCTGCCCTCCACTCCCAGGATTTATTACAGTCACGTCATAATATTCGCCTCAACATTAGTATACATCTGACAATCATTCACTAATTATACCATCATGCTAGTGAGGTCATTCATCGAGCCCCACTTGTCGAGTTTCTCGCCTATCGAGCAGCGGAGAGCTCTAGTCCGGTCTACTGACGGAATCAAAGACCACGGCATGTTCGATATAATGTCTTGGCCCCGCTGCGATTTCGGTGTCGATTTTGCCATATATGTCCGGTATCATGCTGTCACGCTTGGGACACGATCTCTACCCATATTTCACTTGACAGTATAGTATATAGAACATAGTGCCCAGTGAAGTAGCTGACTGCAGACGAAAATCACCAAATAATAGACCGTGGTACAACCCATAGTATACAGACTGGTCACGAGTCTATCCCAGTTGTGTTGTCCTCCTTAGTTAAAGACAAATCGAATTCAGTTGTATTCCCTACAGCACATTCCGTCTTATACTATCTACGAAGTGGAACGCCGTGGGCTTAATTCGAATGACCACTCCATCGTTTTCCTTGTGACTGGCCGATTTAAAATGAGATTCTGGCTCGGAACCGACCAAGGCTCGGCCGAGGTGGAACAGAGCACCACCGTGATACCACTAGTACTGAGGGTTTCTGTTAAACAGGCTCTGTAATAAATCTTGCAGCCCATTCAGAGGTCATTGCCAGACTTCCGCCATCATTCTCTGCATAAATGGGAGTCAAATGTATCTCTATGGAATCAGAGCCCCGCCGGGGCGGCGGGGCCTAGTCCATTTCAAGTTAAAGTTGTAATTTTGAAGTTGTTCGCTTTGTACTATTGCTGACCACCACATAAAACGGCCCAGCTATGAAGGATGCCACTAAGAACTCCAGAAGATGGTTTCCGCAAGTTCCAGATCGCTTTCATCTCTTCTTGCCCTGCCAGTACTTGCCTTCTTCTCGCTGTCAGCGAGCGCTTTACCTCGTCCTCGGACAGCATCAAGTACGGCTGCTCTCAAGCTTGCCGTTAGAATAAACTCGTACGGGATCAAGAACATTGCGGCAGCAGACCGAGCTCGAGCCGAAGTCCTACAAGCTGGGGGGAGCTCTTCCATCAATGCAACCAATTCTGGGGTGATATACACCGCTGATATTGGTGTTGGGAGTCCAGCGACATACTGTAAGCTCCTCGTGCTCCTGCAACTTCTTGTTCTGACACGTTGTCAATCTCACATAGACACACTCCTGGTAGACACCGGAAGCTCAAATACCTGGATCGGGGTTAACAAAGCTTACGAGAAGACTGCCACGAGCAAGGACACAGGCAATAAATTCGTGAGTATTTGTTTCTACATGGCACATACACTTTATCAGTCTGTTTCCAGTTTGTTTCATATGGCGAATGGCGGCATCTGGATGGAAATTCCATGTCTGGAGAAGAATACACGGACACCGTAACGCTTAACTCTGATCTGGTTATCGACAACCAATCTATTGGTGTCATACCTTGGGACTCAATGGTGCAGGGCCCGGATGGAATTCTTGGCGTCGGACCAGTCGATTTAACACAGGACACTGTCACCAATACATTTGAAGTTCCAACTGTGACGAACAACCTCTATAAGCAGGGAACGATTAGTTCGGAAGTACTTGGAGTGTTCTTTGCACCTGCTTCCTCTAATGATACTGGTGGCGAGCTCACATTCGGCAGCTATGATGCCTCCAAAATTACTGGAGACATCAACTATGTGCCGATTACATCAACATCTCCAGCATGTCGTTATTGGGGCATTGATCAATCCATCAGATATGGGTCTGATACCATTTTGGATGAGACTGCTGGTATCGTCGATACCGGAACCACCCTAATTTACATTGCCGCCGGTAGGTGTACTGTATAATATCAAACACTTCTAATCCACTATTCAGATGCCTTCCTAACATATCAGTATGCGACGGGAGGAATCCTCGATGAGGAAAGTGGCTTGTTAAAGATCTCATCTGAGCAGTACCAGCAACTCTCATCCTTGTATTTCACTACTGGTGGGGTTACTTATGAGCTCACTCCGAATGCGCAAATTTGGCCTAGATCGTTGAATAGCTACATTCATGGTACCGCCGACGGCATATACCTGGTCGTCAGTAGCCTTGAGAATCGCAGCGGTTCTGGTTTGGATTTTATAAATGGCTACTGTTTTCTGTACGTTGAGCTACACTTGTTTCCGGAAAAATAGTTTGCTGAATTGTTCTTCCACAGCGAGCGGTTTTACTCTGTGTATGACACGACAAACTCCCGAGTCGGATTCGCCACCACTGAGTACACATATGCCACGACAAATTAGATCCCTCTTCTCGAAAGGCCGCGGTTCTATTCGTATCAGCGTATTAAAGTGAAAGGCTTTTGAATGCTCGGAAGGATCTAGCCCCAGACGTCTAGCTGAGTGATAGCTCGCCTTCGCTTCTTCCTCGTAATTTTATTCCCCCTCACTCACCATGCGACCCAATTGTTTGTTTTTCGCAATACACTCGCTCACTCACTCGTTTTCTTACAATACTGTTGCTCACTCACCTACTCCTTTTCGCCCCCCTTCACTGCCAGGATTTATTACATTCGTGTCGTAATAGGAATTTATCATTTTTTCAAATGTCCCTGAAACAAGTGCTATAGTATACGCAGTCTTCTACGCCAATTTGCACATCAAGAGATTGACCCTTCCATGTCACGAACTCGTTATCGACATCATCAAGCAGCAGTTGCTTGACTCCTGCACTATTGCAGGTGCTAGTGCCTGCATGTCCCGTCCCTGGGTGTGTTACTTTTACCGTTTAGAACCATATCAACAAGCCATTCTATGTTCGGTGGGCCGTGGGCGATGCTCAGATGTCAGCACCCTGGTTTCTTTGAAAGGATCTGTGCACGAGTCTGGGTGGGCAGCTAAGTATAAGAAATCACTTAACTAAATACTACAATGAAAACATTGTGTCTCCTTGATCAATACCATCACGAAAGTGCGAGTAAATATCCTTGCTCCTTACAGAGCGCTAAACAACCGTCAGCTTCACCGTGTATTACACACCACTGCCAGTCGATGTATGCACATGCTCTTGGAAAGCGATCGAGGTCATGCCGGTTGCTGCGTCGGAGTCGGTCACGAGGTTTGCGTAATATTCTCGAATGCTAAGGATCAGGCGTGGTCCTAGCACAAACAGCTGCATGACTGTGAAAATCTGATGCAACCCAGAATAAACCAGAAGTTCCAAGAAATTTTGGTCCTATAGAAATGATGAACCATGGTCGCATGCAGAGGTCGGTAAAAGTTGACATACCGTTAAAAATGGTCTAGAGAAATTAAATACGAGCTGGAAGCAAGAAATAGCAGCAAAGCTACCACGTCCGACCCTTCAGTGGAAAAAAAGGAATGATAATCACAGCATGAGCTCACTTCGCAAAGTAAACCACGTGCGTTTTCATCAACACCGTGAAACAATCCCCGACAATATCTCCTGACGAATATTGTCGTAATTTGCTGAAGTGTTTTATAGCGCTCCACATTGCGAGACATAGTACGAGGACCTCCCACACAGTTCCGAGTATCCAAGCAATGGAATCCAGAAGCAGGCCATCTTCCGCAAGGACAGTCGAGCATTGATAAGTGCCGGAGAGAATAAATTCCTCTAGCATTCATCAATGAGCCCCATGCACGTTTATTTTCATCCACAATTAAGCGTACCTCCTGAAAGTTGTAGGGTTATTATCACGGCGACTACTTCGCTGAAAATGTTGTTGGCCAGGAAGATGACAATGAGAAATATCAGGATCTTCCTGGATCGTCGATACATGGCATATAACCGGGCGATGGTGATGACTTGGAGTATGTTTTGATCAAGTCAGCATCACTGAGGTCTTACAAATGCCAGGCTCACCCCCAAGCATTGAAAATACCACAACACTCGTCCAAAGCGGTACGGCGTACACAATAGTGCCTGATGGATCCGGTCAGTGACCAGCCTTGGATAGCACACACTCCGAACAAACTCACATCTGTGGCAGTATAGTGTGGCATCAGTGAGCAAAGAAATTAGTAAAGAACAACCACACTGACTGCTACAGGACACCATAGTCAATTGTAGGGCATGGTAGGCATCTGTGCACAAAAACTCACTTTATCTGTCAGCGAGATGGTTGGAACATAGCCTGTATGCCGTCAGTCAGAAGAAGTGAGGGTACTAAGGAGACATACCCAGTATACTTATGCTGATTATAAGAGGTAGACAATCAATACGACATCGATTGTTAAGCCTTCCAAACATACGCAGCGTAAAAGATTCCAAGATAGCGCACCTAGGATTTAAGTCAGCACAACACGGAAACTAGGGCAAACAAGCTACATACACTGAGATACAAAACCGTCATTAGGGACCAGCGTTGCATCTGGAATTAGGTGTACTTTCATGTGTGTTCTTCTGACATAAAAGTCTACTCACCCAGATCAATTGCACCTGTAAGACCATTCTTAGCGAGATGGCTGCCCCAGTCATAGCATTGACACACCTCTTTTGCGAATGTAAGTGCTGAAAATACTTGTAAGATATCAGCAGTCCTTTAATATTATCATGCGCACCCCAATCATGCGTCACCATAACAAAGGCAGCGACTGCAAAACCGCAGCCAAGGTTAGATTGAGTCAATTTCAGCATCCGACTACTCTCCACGAACCTACAAAATAGCTGAAAAAACGATATTCTTCGATGGCCGGCCACAAAGTGGGGTCGTTTGAGACTATGGTCATACTGGTAGAGAATGGGCGTGGGTGAGAGGCGAACTTAGTGGACGTATGACAATAGCATTCGTGCTAGATATACCACAATCATGTGCTTCGGTTACTGAAATAATACCGAGAGATGATATTCATTTCTGCAGTGATTACCCAAAGTAAGTGTTTTCGCATGAAGAAAGATAAAATTAATACAGGCTGACGTATATGTCGGTCGTGAAGCAGCTGCGGTGACCATCAGACTTTCGTAACATAGGGATGCCAAAAATGAGCGCAGAATCTTTAATTTGCAATGTGACGTCTGTGCGGTGGTGACAGACATAAGTCCGTCACCGTAAATTTCTTGACATAAGTTTACATAACCAAAAACATACTAGTTGGGGTGCGGTGGTAACAGGCATCGCTTTGCATAGACATTCTGGCTAAGAATCCATGACTGATACCCGGTGATACAATGACATCTCTAGATTAAGACAACGCCAAGAGGACATGGTAATACCTGATCAACAAGTATCAGCAGCGTCTATATCCCAGGGTTCTTAATCGTATAATGACTCACCCAGCCACACAACTTCCAAGGCTCATCTCTCTATGCTGAACCAAATCAACACGATGTAGAACTTTGTCTAACAACGGCCTATGTGCAATGTGACCTTTGCCATCTCAATGGCTCCCGATGAGCATTAGCAGTCTCCGCTTCACAGGCGTGAACGTGACAGCACCTCCGAGGTCGTTCGAAAAGGTGGGCTTCTGTTGGAATGCAAAAAGGACAAGCAAACAGATCACTCACCAGTACAATACCTTCAAGCACGTCCCTGCTCCTCTGTGTCCTAAGCATGTGCCACCTCCTGTACACCTTCTAGCACTCCACCTCGGTAATCGGCTATTCGTATCACGAGGATGTCATTGAACAGGAGGTAAGAAACTGATACAAGGTGTATACCACATTCAATGTGCGTCAAATGTCCCAGCCTGATTCAAGATCCATAGTTGATGCGCGGAAAATACAACACCATCCCTAAATTAAGTTGGCAGGCCATCATAAAGGTGAGAAATGAAGTCAATACCATAAATTGATAGTCACCTTACCTCCGGGCCGCAATTGCTCACCCCTCAACGTTCACCGTTTAATCACATGCACTGCTTTCCTCATTCCGCACAGGTCCTTGCTCCGGGAATTGATTGCCGCGTGCGCAGTTGCGCGCCACACTTCAGAGTTCCATCCTTGAACAGCATCCTAGGAAGACTCCATCGATTGCACGATGGATTTAGCGTAGCGCATTGTTTCATCAAAGTGACACTAATAACTCACCGCATTGAACTCATTCCTGTGATAGCCCAATATGTTGATATCAAAAACAGATAAAGGTCGGAATAAAGTGAGCAGAACTTATAGTTTGCGCTGTTTGTTGTACGGGGCTGTGGAGCAACAGAATTTGTAATGTTGAATCCAGAAAAAGAACTGACTGTTTTGAAGCAGGAGGCTCAAGACGCACACGATGAGTACTAGACACGGTGAATCAATAATCTCAGTGCTTTCATGCGCGCACCATTTAAATATAGTATGTCGAAAGATACGGCAACGTCGAAGTGGACTCGGAGGTGGCTGCCAATACATTCTCACAGCCAGTCACGGCTGCGCTCAGAGTGTGGTACACAATGAAACACATATATGTGCATTTGCCAGGACTGACTGACGGACGTAGCAATTCGTGCATGGAGCCTCCAGGCCTAGCTACATGCAGCTAGCTGAGAGGGTTGTTTGTAGTTGTTTGTATTACTTTTGTCTGGTTGCCGTACTGATGGTTCATTTCAATGGGTAAGTAGCCGTAGTCGTCACCTTTCCACCTTGATCGGCTGTCCGTATGTTATAAGATGTGACTGTCCATTATTCTGATCCACTGGCAAAGCCTCTGAACTTTCTACACATGAATTCTACTCGTCCTCCCGTGCTAATCGTAAGTGAACTGCCAGTACATATGATGAATGCGCATCAGCTTAATTCCTTTTTCTTAGGTAGGCGCTGGGCCAGCGGGTCTGGTAGCAGCGTTATCACTCCTCCAGAACGGCATTTCAGTTCGCATCATTGACAAAGACCCCAACCCTCGAATCGGACAACGTGGTCCTGGAATTTGGGTTTGTCATGACACCACTTCTCTGATGCCCTGTAGTTTCATTTAATTAATGTACAATCTAGCCACGCTCCCTCGAACTCTTCAATTTCCTGAATGTCCCAGAAGTTAACGGGCTGGCGAAACCCGTCTCTATAATCCGTTCTTACAAGCCTGGGACATTGGAATCTGCGACAGAATCTTCGATGATCCCGCATATGGAACCTACCCCTGCAATACCATTCGTACGTACTAGCATTTCAGAACCGTCGTCTCTCAAGCAGTCATGCTGATGATTTTTTGTATTTTAGCACGCTCCGAAGCTAATAGGTCAACAACTCCTAGATGTGATTTTGCGACGCCACTTGGCCAAATTCTCCTGCTCTGTCGAGATGGGCACAGAGCTGTGTTCATTCAATCAGTCCGACGAAGGTGTCACGGCTGTGCTAGCAAAGAACGGTGTATTGGAGACTTTCGATACTAAGTGGATGATCGGCGCTGATGGCGCTAAAGGTGAGTTGCGATCAATTCAAATGCAGGAAGATGAGTTTGATTTATTGTTATTGTTTGCAGGCAGTGTGCGCAAACAGCTCGGGCTCACATTCTTGGGCGAGACTAGAGACGATGTCCGGCTTCTCACAGGAGATATCCGTTTATATGGCGTTGGTCTTGATAGAGCGGTGCATCCGATTTCTACTCACTCCATGAAGAAGTGCTCCTAATACTGTCTTGAAAGTATTCACACCGATTTGGAACCTTTAAACGAGGGTATGTCCAGTCTCTGTTCTTGGGGCTTGGGGATGTGTATATTGAAGCTGGGCAGCGTCTCATTGCGTCCAACAGACGAAATTGGCGAGGATGGCTGGCAATTTGTCATTATTGCTAACGATCTAGACCTGACAAAGGTAGCTCAAAACGAGGAGCTGATCTTCGACATCATTGCGTCATTAATACCTGCTGAGGTTACGTTCAACAAGCTCGTCTGGGTGAGCGAGTTCAGGTGTGTCTTATCTTGTTATATCAGTGCATTTTCAATGATCATTTGTTTACTTTAGGGCCAACATCCGCATGGTAAACAAGTTCAGTGAGGGCCGAGTTTTCGTTGCGGGCGGTATGTGGTTATACTTTTTGGATATTGTACCTGTGCTGATGGAATTCTACGTAGATGCTGCTCAGTATGTCTATATCGACCGCTTTCTTGCCAAGCTGATTTTGACATATTATCAGTGTCCACAGTCCAACCGGTGGTCAGGTGTGTGCGCTCTGAGTAAATGCTGATACTTACTCATCTATATATGTAAAGGGACTCAATTCAAGTATACAAGATGCTGTAAGTCTTCCTATCCTAGTATGTATGACACTACTGACTATATGTCAGTTCAATTTAGGTTGGAAACTTGCGCTTGTTGAAAAAGGACTCGCCGACAAGTCTCTTCTTGAGACGTATAATGCCGAGCGTCTACCTGTCATCTCCGAGATGCTTGAGGTGACAACCACAATTCTTAACAATGCAGTAGAGACAGGCAACATGCCCGCTGCGCGAAGTCCCATCCTTTTCATGCTTGGTATCAATTACCGATTCAGTGACATCGTTCTCGACGAGTTTGCAATTCCAGGGAAGCCTGTCAATGCGTACGGGGTGCTTGACGAGGGACATCTGGAGGCTGGGGACAGGGCACCTGATGCGCCAAATATGCTCCAGGTGGGAGAATCTGATGAGACGACACTTTTTGGTCTCTACAGACCTTGGTATCACACTGTGCTTGTATTCGCACCAAGTCATGCAGATGCTACCCTGATCTTGGGTATGCTGGAGGCATACAACACAAACATTGTGCGACCAGTAGTCGTTCTTCCTCCGTCCGCATCAGTGACGCCTATCGCATCCTCTGCTTTTCTCGTTCTTGTAGATCAAGAGGGCTATGCTTATTCGGCTTACCTCGTGGAAACTGGCCAGACGAGGGTGTTTGTGATACGACCGGACGGAGTGATTGGGGCCATCGTACATGGTGCAGAAGGCGTGAAGAAGTATTTCTCTAGAATATTTTCGGATGTTTAGTGGTCCGTTCTTTTTGCTTCTGCTCTTACATCGTAACTCATTCGTATCTTATAGTCAACGTAGTCATTTAGTGTAGAGATCAATGTGTTACTTGAGGGGCGCACAGAAGTTAATGTAGTAATCTCCAAGTCTTGCTATTGTTCGTTTCCGCCATCAGAGATTTTGTGAGTCTCCTTGGACAACGTCAAGTACGGCTGCTCTCAAGCTCGCCGTTAGAATAAAGTTCGCTACTTCTCAACTTTATTCTCCCTCATTGCACCATACGACCCGCTCGCTCACTCGTTTTCGCCCCTCTGTTTATTGCATTCGCATCGTAATATTCACCTCACCATTAGTATATACACTAATTCTCCCAATATGTGAGTAAAGGTCGAGCCCGCGTGTTGAGTTTCCTGCCGGCCACCTCGCCACAAGAGACCAGTGGGCCAGCTTAGGCTCAGCCTACTGCTTCCCGGAGCCACATAACGTCAATGTGAGCTAGGCATGTGGTGCGTAATCGATGATTACAATGACGACTTGACTTGACCCGTTGAAGGAATTTAATAATATTATTGTTTCAAATGTCTCTGAAACAAATGCTATAATACACGCAGTCTTCTACGCTAATTTACACTCCTTCTCGACATCTGCAAGGATCTGGGCCCATTTCCCTCCATTCCATGAACTGATCCTGACCCACTCATCCTCTTTCAGAACTCGTTTGAACCACAGCAAATAAGAAGCAACAATGATGTCTGCATACGAAAAAGCGTCGCCCATGAACCACTTCCCGTGAGTCTTCTGGTACCACTCGCACGCAGTATTGTACCCCTTCTCTAGTAGGGCCCAGTCTTCATCATAATTTTCATCCCAAGGCAGCGGGATGTCCATCGTGCGAGATTCAATGAGGGACTTGGCACTGGCGGGACTGAATACTTCTATGGTGCGTACAAAGATAGACTTCAAAGCAGGTTGAATGAGTCTGAAATGGGCGGGGTCAAACTCGCGTATCAGGGATTCTGAATTGTTGGGAAAGATGGGCTTCTCGGGATATGTCTTTTCGAGGTAGGAGGCGATTTCGAGGGAGTCAGTGATGAGGGCACCGGTGTTAGGGTCGCTGAGGACGGGGACGGTATAGACATCCGAGCCGTCTTGGCGTTTGTTTGGCTTTGCACCGATGGCCCTCATAGCGATTGAGATGTCTGAGTATTCGACCCAGAGGGTTACGAACGGGAGACCCTTGTAGCTCAAAACGAACCTGGGGCGCAGTAGACTTTGGTCAGATATCAGACTATGGCGTGCAGAACATGAATTACTGACCTCGGCTTTGCAGGGTTGGGTGAGACGTTATGGCCTGGTAAGTTGGAGACGATGTCATACAGGACAAGTGGTTGCATTATGGAGTACTAAGACGTGAGCCCTTAAAGTTTGAAGTGCTGCGACCAATATTGAAACTCTTTTAAAGGCTGAGGTTCATTGGTAAGCATCTGTCCTTGATTACTGCATTGATGAACACTGATACTGTGTGTATGCAGGTAACCGTGCAGCATGGATTGCGCATGACCGTGGCATGCCGCCACGGTTGCAAAGTTTGCAATCAGTGGCGTCACCGGATGCATGTATGTCAGAGTGGGTGACATGTTACGGTGGAGTATAAGTTAGAAATGCAGCCAAAGGCCTCATGATGCATTACATACATAGAGGTACAGTTTGGCGCTGGTATTGTCCCTTAATGCATATCAGTCCGCATCGGGCAAAGGTCCAGGGCATTGCCACATCTATGAAACACATCAGGAAGAAAGTTCATGTACTACGGGTCTCAAGTGCTCACCGGTGCCACCAGAGACCAGCTCCAAACCAGCCAACGACACATAAAGAAGGCAGCCATTCCTCCTATATAGCTAGTATGCAGTTGAATAACGGGTGCAAGGTTGTGATGTGTTAGGGGCCGGGGCGTTCTGACACTTGTACCCAAACTAACCCTGACAAATTTACAATTATCTTGCTTGTAAGGTCATGCATATGGTATGCGGCGAAATCTGACGAAATCTCTAGCAGCTGAATCTTGATGCGTTAATTAATTTATCAAAAATGAAACAAAGGTTTTGACCGATGTAGCCGGTATTGTCGATACCGAAACCACCCGTATTCTTATCGCCTCTGGTAAGTATCCTGTACAAGATTGAAACCCTGCTAACCTACAGGTCATATGCCTTCGACAGCCCTAAGTTAGGGACGGGTGCAACCCTTGTTATTCCACCGACTTGATAAAAAATCTCATCTAATCAGTACAACAAGCTCTCGTCCTCGTTGTTCAAGATCGATGAGAAAAGTTATGAGCTTACCCCAAACGCACAAATCTGGATTTCATTACTGAACAGCGCCGTTAACGGTAGCACCAACGGCATATACCTAATCGTTAGTGACATGGGGGCGCAGTCCAGTTCCAGCTTGGATGCTATCAATGACTATTGCTTCCTGAACGCCGCGCTACATTCTTTGCTAAGATTGGAGTTGCTTAAACATTTTTTCACGGGGCGTTTTACTCGTGACGCGAGGAGCTCCCAAGTTGGGCTCGCCGAAACTGAGTTCACCTATGCCACATCAAATTGACTGCAATCCTTCAAGAAGATTACATACCTATCAGCCTCGGAACCTCCAAAATATGACATGTGCACGTGGTCGCCATTGTCGCTTTGAGCGTCTGAGTCACGGCACGGCACCCAGAGATAACGCCATTGTCTTTCTCCTCGATACTATGATATTACCATAGAATACTGACGTAGTATTCAGTGAAAGACAAAGGCGCTCATCTCGATTAAACTGTGGTACTTACGTGCTACTATATGACATGTTCTCTGTTAATTTCTCATCTGTCCCACATACTATGAAGATCTTCGGCAGCCTGCCAGTGGCAGTCCCAGCTGATCTCTTCACGGTGCGGCAGAAGAAGTACGAAGCGCTGCATTTGTCAGTTGGGAACATATGTGCCGGATTACAGCATTCATGATTTGCCTAAAGTCGTATTGACAGATAATAGCCTGAGAGCGGCGGCGCTGACTCGGTCTGAAGTTTGAACAGGTTCACCTGGTGGTTAACGGCATAACGCGGGTTCTGTAACTTACATGTGACCATATTCGCGCCTATTACTACTAGCAGAATCTGCATTCTTCAGAATGATGAACTTTAAATCGAGTAAGTGCAGAATGTTATGTAAATAATGCTCAAAGAGTCCTTCTCACTGATGCTGCTGTGACCTTCCTCAGGCTATACGTATTCGACGAGGGTTTCTAGCAGCTAAACGATAAAATCCTGCAGACCATTCCGGAGTTGCCCGGGCCAGAGTTCTGCTGCAGCTACATACTAACCGACACTCTTTTATAAGACTCGAATGTAGCTCCACGCAATGAGCCCCGGGCGGGCCAGTCACACTTCAAATTAACGTATTCAATTCGAAGCCTTGTATTGTTCGCCTCCGTGATACAGGCCACCATATAAAACGGCCAAGGATGCCATCAAGAACTTCAGAAGATGACTCATTCCAGATCGCTTTCATCTTTTTTTGCTCTGCCGGTGCTTGCCTTCTTCTCGCTGTCAGCTAGTGCGTTGCCTCATCTTCGGACAGCGTCAAGCACGGCTACTCTCAAGCTTGCCATCAGAATAAACTCATATGGCATTAGGAATATTGCGGCTGCAGATCGAGCTCGAGTCCAAGTTCTACAAGCTGGCGGCAGCTCTTCCGTCAGTGCAACCAATGCTGTGATGATGTACACCGCTGACGTTGGTGTGGGGAGTCCAGCAACGTACTGTAAGCTCTTCGTGCTCCTGCAACTTCTTGATCTGACGAATTGTCAATCTCACATAGACACACTCCTGGTAGACACCGGGAGCTCAAATACCTGGATTGGGGCTAACAAAGCTTATGAGAAGACTGCCACGAGCAAGGACACGGGCAATCACTTCGTGAGTATCTGTTTCTATGTGGCACATACACTTTTTCAACCCGTTTCCAGTCTGTTTCATATGGCGAAGGACTGGATGGCAGTTACGTTTCTGGAGAAGAATACACAGATACCGTAACGCTCAACTCTGATCTGGTCATCGACAACCAATCTATTGGTGTCGCATATGAATACTCAGATATGGGCAGTCTGGATGGATTTCTTGGCGTGGGACCAGTTGATTTAACGCAGGGCACCGTCAGAAATACAAACGATGTTGCTACTGTGACGGACAACCTCTATAAGCAGGGAACAATTAGTTCGGAAGTACTCGGAGTGTTCTTCGCACCTATTTCTTCTGATAATACCGGTGGCGAGCTCACATTCGGCGGTTATGACGCCTCCAAAATTACTGGAGACGTCAGTTATGTGCCGATCACATCAACATCTCCAGCAAGTGCATACTGGGGCACTGATCAATCCATCAGTTATGGGTCTACGACTATCTTGGATGAGACTGCTGGCATCGTCGATACCGGAACCACCCTGATTCTCATTGCTTCTGGTAGGTGTCCTGTACGATATTGAAACTTTTCTAATCCACTATTCAGATGCCTTCGACAAATATCAGTCTGCGACCGGGGGGACCCTCGATGAGGCCACTGGCTTGATACAGATCTCATCTGGCCAGTACCAGCAACTCTCATCCTTGTATTTCACCACTGGTGGGGTTACTTATGAGCTCACGCCGAATGCACAAATCTGGCCTCGATCGTTGAATAGCTACATTGGTGGTACCACCGACGGCATATACCTGATCGTCAGTAGCACTGGAAGTTCCAGTGGTTCTGGTTTGGATTTTATAAATGGCTACTGTTTCCTGTACGTCGAGCTACACTTTTCTTGTGGGACAATTAATTGCTGAATTGTTCTTCCATAGCGAGCGGTTTTACTCTGTGTACGACACGACAAATTCCCGAGTCGGATTCGCCACCACTGAGTACACCTATGCTACGACAAATTAGATTCCTTTTCTTGAAAGATCGCGGTTCTACTCGTATCGGCATATTTACATCCGAGAGGTACTAGTTTCTGAGTGCTCGGAAGGGTGTAGCACCACGCATCCAGCTGAGCGATAGCTCGCTTTCATTTCTTCCTCGCAATTTTATTCTCCCTTGCTGCGCTATACGACCCAATCGCTTGTGTTTCACAATACTCTCACTCGCTCATTCACTTATTTTTACCCCCTCCACTCCCAGGATTTATTTTATTCGCGTCATATACATTCAGCATTTGTATACCAATTATACCATTAAGCGAGTACAGGTCATTCATTCAGCTCACGTGTGGAGTTTCCCCAGCCACAAACTTGCTAGCGTTCGAACCGAGCTAACACTCAGTCCCAGCTCGACTACTGTGCGTCAGGCCCTGAGCAGGCTACCGCAGAGAAACGAGGGTGAGCGAGCAATGTATGGCAGCAGAGAAGGCGATAAAGCTCTGGTCTGAGCTACTGATGGAATGAAAGATGCGTGGTTTCGATTGCTATCATTCCTGGGAACGAAGTACAAGAAGCATAAGGTATGTTGGAATCACATAGCCCAAACCTGGGCCCACTTATTTCTAATGGTTGGTTTCTTCGAAGTCGTAAGTTCTTGAGTGCTGGGCCCGCTGCGAACCAGATGTCGATTTCGCCATACGACTCCGGTGGGTCAACTTAGGCTGAGCAGGTGCTGGGTTTCTCGGGATATGTCTTTTCGAGGTAGGAGGCAATTTCGAGGGAGTCGGTGATGAGGGCACCGGTGTTGGGGTCGCTGAGGACGGGGGCGGTATATACATCCAAGCCGTCTCGGCGTTTGTTTGACTTTGCACCAATGGCCTTCATAGAGATGGATATGTCTGAGTATTCGACCCAGAGGGTTACGAATGGAAGACCCTTGTAGCTCAAAACGAACCTGGGGCGCAGTAGACTTTGGTCAGATATCAGTGTGGCATGCAGAACATATATTACTGACCTCGGCTTTGCAGGGTTGGGCGAGAAGTTATTGCCTGGTAACTCGGAGAGAACATCATACAGGACAAGTGGTTGCATCATGGAGTACTGAGACATGAAGTTACGACCAGTCTTGAAACTCTTTTATGCATCTGTATGCCGAACTTCATTGGTAAGCATCCGAGCTTGGTTAGGCATCGACGAACAGTTGATATGGCGTGTATGGAAGTCACCGTGCGGTACGGATCACGCACGACGTACCGCCATGGTTGCAAAGTTAGCAACCGGGGCGCTATCGGATGGCGGTATGTCAGATTGGCTGACGCGTCATGGTGGAGCATAAATTAGAAAAATCAGAAATGCAACCAAGGCCTCGACGCTTACCTCCAAACTCAGAGGCACTGTATAGCACTTACATTGCTCCTTGATGGTTACTAGTCCGCATCAAGCAAAGGCCCCGTGCTTGATCAGCTTCCAGTCCACGACACATAAAGAAGGCAACGATTCCTTCCTTTACAGTGGCCTGCACTTGTACGTTGTACAGGTGTAAAACGTGATTCAGCGACGCGCGCTTCGTGGCGGTACAAGTCTGGATGTAACTACATCATTAATTGGTAGGCGTGTGCACTGTGATGTGTCATCCATCCGCGTCGGTGTCCGTCAGAACATCGCCACCTCAACTTTGACGTTCACAATTACTCAGATCGTATCAGTGCTTACGCACGAAGTCCCCGACTTCTCTGAGTGACAAATAACATTCGCACGATGCAGTCGAATAAGACGGAAGAGGGTTTAGACAGATTGGGGAAAAACTATGTGGATTGATTACGAGGCGGATCAGGTTAACAGGACCCGAATCGTTCAGGATAAAATGGTTCTGGACCGCACGTTCAATAGGACAAATCTAAGAGTGAAAAATCTTACCTCGCTGATACAAAATTCAAGCCAAAGGTCATCGTATATCGCTGTCCTCCGCTCAAGGCAAACTACAAGGTCCGGAGTTAGCTTGTTCTGAACCCGAATTGGTACAAGACGCATGGCCGGAATTAGAGGTCGAGTCGAGGGACATATCCACTTTGAACACAGCTAATAATTAGATTCATCCTCTCTGAACAAAGTAACCTGGAGGCCTCATCACCAAAAAGCAGTCCCTCATTTGAGACACCACTGAAGCGGAGTGTCATGCGCCAACGATCACAAGAAGCTTGAAACGCGCGAAAACTCCGAACTAAACCAAGAGAAATATGGCTAAGGCTAGGTGCCAGGGTTTAGAGTCTTAGACACGTATTGTCCAATTCTGCCCGTGCTGGAGGCGCCTCCCAAAGTGGCTTGAAGAAACAGAATGATATTTCTTGGGTGTGGGAAGAAACGGTGGAGAATGAAAAGTAATTGGGAGATGATCGATGATGAATGTTGTAGTACAACGTCCTCCCCCCACTGATGCGGCTGTGGGAGTCGGAGATGACCTACAGCTTGTTTCAACGTTTACCGTCAGTGTGTCATCCCCAAACCAGAAAAACCCAGCAGCTCCTGGGAGGTCTCGTCGAATCGCTGACCTGCAGCGACGTCAGGGAGTACTCGGTTCGACATGTGACCAGGCCACGTGCGCACGACTGTTTCATAGCTTGGCGCTTCTGACAGAACTTCCAGAATATATGTAAATCAAGTATGTAAGTGCAGAACGTTATGTACATAATTAATGTTCAAATGAGTCTGAATTTGCAGAATCACGCCCTTCAAGTCTCAGTGACACTGCGGCTACTGAGGGTTTCAGCTAAACAAGTTCTGCGAACCATTCAGGGGTCAATGATAACTACTTACTAACCGACACTCATTTCCTGCATAGATGAATTTCATAGGACTCAAATGTATCTCCACGCAATGAGCCCTGGGCATCACATTTCAAGTTAACCGTTGTAGTGAATTCGAAGCCTCGTATTGTTCGCCTCCGTGATAACGACCACCGTATAAAATGGCCAAGGATGCCATCAAGAACTTCAGAAGATGGTTCCCTCCAAATCGCTTTCATCTGTTTTTGCCCTTCCGGCGCTTGCCTTCCTCTCGCTGTCAGCGAGCGCGTTGCCTCATCCTCGGACAGCGTCAAGCACGACTACTCTCAAGCTTGCAGTTAGAATAAACTCGTACGGGATTAAGAATATCGCAACAGCAGATCGAGCTCGAGTCCAAGCCCTACAAGCTGGCGACAGCTCTTCCGTCAGTGCAACCAATGCTGTGATGATATACACCGCTGACGTTGGCGTGGGGAGTCCAGCAACGTACTGTAAGCTCCTCATGCTCCTGCAACTTCTTGATCTGACTGATTGTCAATCTTACATAGACACACTCCTGGTAGACACCGGGAGCTCAAATACCTGGATCGGGGCTAACAAAGCTTACGAGAAGACTTCCACGAGCAAGGACACGGGCAATCAATTCGTGAGTATTTGTTTCTGTGGCACATACACTTTTTCAATCCGTTCCCAGTATGTTCCATACGGCGATGGGAGTTACGCTTCTGGAGAGGAATATACAGACACCGTAACGCTCAACTCTGATCTGGTCATCGACAACCAATCCATTGGGGTCGCATATAAATACTCAGGGATGGGTAGCCTGAATGGACTTCTTGGCGTCGGACCAGTTGATTTAACGCAGGACACCGTCAGCAATACAAATGATGTTGCCACTGTGACGGACAACCTCTATAAGCAGGGAACAATAAGTTCAGAAGTACTCGGAGTGTTCTTCGCACCTGCTTCCTCTGGTGATACCAGTGGCGAGCTCACATTCGGCGGTTATGACGCCTCCAAAATTACTGGAGACGTTAGTTATGTGCCGATCACATCAACATCTTCAGCGAGTGCCTACTGGGGCATTGATCAATCCATCAGTTATGGGTCTACGACTATCCTGGATGAGACTGCTGGCATCGTCGATACCGGAACCACCTTAATTTACATCGCCTCTGGTAGGGGTCATGTACAATATCAAAACCCTTCTAATCCACTATTCAGATGCCTTTGAAACGTATCAGTCTGCGACGGGGGGAACCCTTGATAAGACTACTGGCTTGTTACAGATCTCATCCGACCAGTACCAGCAACTCTTATCCTTGTATTTCACTATTGGTGGGGTTACTTACGAGCTCACGCCGAATGCGCAAATATGGCCTCGATCGTTGAATAGCTACATTGAAGGTACCACCGACGGCATATACCTGGTCGTCAGTAGCAACGGGAGTCCCAGTGGTTCTGGCTTAGATTTCACGAATGGCTACTGTTTCCTGTACGTTGAGCTGCTATTTTTTTCGGGAAAATAAATTGCTGAACTGTTCTTTCGTAGCGAGCGGTTTTACTCTGTGTTCGACACGACAAACTCCCAAGTCGGATTTGCTACCACTGAGTACACCTATGCCACGACAAATTGAATTCCTCTTCTCGAAAAATCATGGTTTTATTTGCATCAGCATAATTATGCGACGTGCCTTACCTGAATTTATTGTGTTCGATGTGCATCAGTGCATGGATGAGAGCGATGGTGCTGTGGTAAACCAACCGGACTCTGATCATGACGACTTTCTTCCAGTATGTCATGTGTGCTCAGGATAAGGTTGGCCTCAGTATGTCCGCTATATAGACGAAGTCGTGGTTCTGTGCGCACGAGGAAGATTCTAATTGAAAGTATTTTGTTATGTTATCGGACATGAACTGCCGATAGAATCCCGATGGGATGTCTCCTTGTGCAAGTGGAGGAAGCTTTGCCCCAATAATTCAATATTAATGGAGAGCTATTGATTCCCAAGATTCTGAATCGTGTCTTCAACTGAGATTCGTGCTACTTTGTTCTCCAAGATCATAGTTAGTCGAACATGATCTTAAAGCAAATATGTCCAATCAATAATTATTAATTTGAACTATTATGACTACAAGAAAAGACGCACAACCAAACATACACTGACATATCTAACTCTAAATCTCCCCGACGGTCTTGATGACGTTACCTCGAACCACAATGCGTTCATTGCGCCTCCAGAAATCTGCCAGAATCTCTGCCAGTTTTGTTGGATCATCCTAATTTCACGTCAACAAAGTGTCTATTGCAAGTAACCGACGAACCTCGTGCAGGAGATGTCCCACACCCGAACCAGCCATGACTTCGAGCCAGAATTTGCCCTGCATCTGACCGACCATGAGTGTCGTATCAAGGCGCTCTGCACCTGCTAATACTAAGAGCCGTGCGGAGCGGAGCCCGAGGAATAAAGATGAAAGCGACGGGAACCAGCCTAAAAGAAGATCGGTATGAGCGGTGGTGCATGTCAAGGGAGCAAGCGTAGGCTTACTATCCCAGTATGGCGCCGTCGACCTGAGTGGTGTACGCCACTTGTATTTGAATCCAATATTCGCGCGCGTGCTGGGCGTCAGGGGAGAATCTGCAGGAACAACAATAGATGGAATCGAAACACGGGCAGAAGCGGGGTTATGGATAAGGCCCGTATTGACGCTGTATGAGCAAGCGTGAATATGATATTTACGAAAGGCAACATTGAACACGGACTGCCACTCGATTGCTTCTTCAACGCTATCGAAACCCTCGGGTCGAGAATTGAGAATCGCGTGCATGTGAGGCAGCGCTTCTACTGCTGTGCCTATTGGTGACGGGTCAAGCTCGAGCAAATTACAGAATTTGATGTAGCGATAAGTACCTTCTACTACATCCAAAACGGCCACTCCTGCGATGTTATATTTGCGTTGTTGAAGTATGGGACAAGCGCGGACGCAAACAGATCCTCCCATGCTGTGTCCAACAAGCTAGCCAGAGTGCCGTCAATTCAATATGCCTAAAAGGGAGCATAAAGCTCACCATCAAATTTGGAGCTGCTGCCACATCTGGGTAAATCGTCTGTAGCAGAGCACAGAAATCCTCAACAAGGACATTAATCGATAGATCTTCATCAGACTGAGATGATATCGTCTTTCCTGAAAAGACGATAAATATTCTGCGTTCCTCCGATGCGAATGCATACCATGTCTTCTGGCATCGAAGGCCAGGACACCGACATTATCCCTCATGACCTCACCTATCTCTTTAGCGAGACATGCAAAGCTTGTTCCAGCATATCCTGCACCGTGATGGAATACAATAACACCTCCGCCGTCATACTTCGGAGGAGTGTAATATACCCGAACGTCGAGTGCTCGGGTAGGGAGCGATATCTGCAATGCCTGAGAAAAGTATGAAGCAGGACTTAATGGCTTGAATTCAGAATTTGGTGGCTTTGGTTTTCGGTTAGATGTGCTTGGCCGTGGTCTATCCAACAATGAGCAAGAAAGGATTGGACTCTGGATGGTGACATACATTGGAGGTGGTCCCATGCCGGTCGAGAGTTCGCCGATTCCATCAACAATCTCAGATTCTTCATCGTCGTCCTCGTTGCTTGGTGGTAACTGTGGTAACTTTGCTATTCGAGCACTGATTGCAGAACGATATAGTGAGCTCATCTCGACAAAACGCAATCGTGAATCAGGAGTTCGAACGCGTCCAAATTCGGACCAGAATTCAGTACTTGTTGATTAGTAAGCAAACATCGAAATAAACCAAATTTGCCGCATTGACCGAAACTTTTGCGAGGACTATGGCGTCGCTGTTCCGCATAACATCAAAGAACTCATTCAAGCCTTTGGCGCGGCCATTCGCGACAGCGGCACGAAAACAAACAGCGTCTAAATCAGAACCAAACACCCACTTCAAAATCACTCTACGCCGCTCCGCAATTGCACTAGGCGAACGGAAGAAGGAAACCTTGGTAGCACTCGGTCTGCATAGACGTATGCAAACTGTGTATCATGTCCACAGCCCAGAAGCCGCAGGAAAAATTCTCAAAGTGAAAGAATTAGTCGAGGTTGAGAATGTACCAGCAACGGCTGTACGCTCTCAGTCAGAGCAGAGGAAGGAGAGGAAAGCGTCGAGAGGGTACCAGGTGCAGGGCACAAAGCTGGGAGAACTTGCATGGGAAACTTCATGACCAGGTCCGCTTATCTCGTGCTCTTTCGTTTTTGCACTCACTCGCTTCCCAATCCAAAGGCCACATCATCCCATTGGCTGCAGTCCTTTCTCGTTATCTTGTCTACTACTGGCTTTCCCTTACTTATATGCTTGCCATCTATCATTATCTAAAGACTCGATAATATTTCCAGGTTGTGTCTACTTTCGCTCTCTGCCATCATGTTGTTTTTGATTCACTACCATCGGAACAATGAAATCCACGGTGTGGCTTTTATCTTTCGAAACAGATACCTCGTGGCTCCGTCGTAAGTCCCGATCATTTCTGTTACTTGGTGTCTGTGCCTCATCCATACCGCTATGATTAGATAAATGTGTCTGTGACTACCTAATTGATCGTTGACACACAGCTCAAGCATTGCAAGCTATGATTAATGCCGTTCCCGCTGTACCATGAGTTGCCGTTCAATCTGATATCGCAGCCACATGACACCATGAATGCATCGCAGATTTACCCGCCACCTCGATTGCTCCTCACAGAAGTCAATTATTCACGCCTCACACAAATGCTCTTGGAGCTGTACATGAGGCATACCCCCTGCATATCATCATCACACTCACGTAAGAATGATGCACGTCCTCGAGTCGCAAGCCGTACGGTCGTTGGCACACGGGTGTATTACGGGAACTTGATCTCCGCCGCGTTCTCTTCGAGATCGACCTCAACGTGCCCCATTGTCCAATATTCTGACCTGTACTTAGGCATAACGTGGGTAACATAGGCGATAAGACACTATTTATCAGGCAGATTTTTCTTTTTTTAATTTTGTTTGATGTTCTAATACCTCGGCGAGCCCGTGCGCGTGCATGACCTCCGTTTTATTCGTTCACCTTGCTCACTCTATTTAGATATTTGCTAGCAGAAATGTTTCTTCGTGAGTATCCGCGGGATTCGCCAAGGATTGGCCTTGAATAATCAGCTGAGCACCACCCTATAATTTACGAGAATACTGTGTAGAATTTGGATTGCTGCTTCCAAGCTTCAAGATCTTCTCTACCTAAGTAAAGTGGTCAAGGTTAAAAGGTCATTGCAATAGTAAAGAGAGTGTATAAAGCTAAGGGGATGTGGCTCTTTCTAAGGACACCGATGAGTCCCACGATCGTGGTTAGACTCGTTCTCACTGAGCTCCGTCCCATGGGGTTCGTTGGGGAACCTTGTTTATAGCATTATAACGGTACCGAAGGCGTCTGCACCGGTACAGACACAAGAGGCCGAACGGTCATTCCTTACCGAGTCCAGAAATGTCGTAACCAATTTAACTTGCACGATGACACTATCGCATCCTGTGCAGTCTGCCTCGTGCAATCCTGCGGGAACAACAATTACAAAATATAACTTGCTCAGTTCGAACAGCTTTTGATTCTCCCTATCCCTACCTCGTCCAACCTTACCGGGTCTCCGAGTCTTCCGAGTAAAGTTCTCGAAAAGTCATTTTGCTCAGGGCTCACGAGCGCTCAGCTTTTCCATGCAGGGAGGATTTCTAACTGAAGATGACCTGGAGAAGTACCTCGCATCCGGAGAGTATCCAGGGACAATGCAGCCTTCCTTCAGTTACGATCGGCAACAGTCCCACTTCACCACGCTCGGTGTGGGAGGACCATCTCTCACAAATCGATGCTCTTGGAGTGGACCTCCCTCGTATGATCAATGGGTCCACCCGCGGATGCCCGAGGCATGTACTCACGAAGCGTTTTTAGCATTCGAGAAGCTTATGACGGTCGTGCCTGATCGCACCTCTAGATTCAGCAACTACCATCAGGATCCAGACCGAATCCTTCATGTTGCACCACAATCTTTGGTCCAGATCCAATGTCAGAAGCGAACTTGTGGACGCGGATGGTATCACGCCCGTCATTGAGACGCTCTCAGCGACCCAGGAACTACAACATGCAGCAAGACGTTCTTAACACCGTGCGACTTGATGTGAGCGCTAGATTCGTGTTCTGTCCCCACTAGCAAGCTACTTAATATATTACACTACAGGACTCGTTGAGTTCAGAGAGCATGACAGTGGTGGATATGCCGAATTCTGTGTTGAAGCCAGCATCATACACTGGAAATAAACCGCCAGAGGTAACCACTGGACGCCTGTAATGAAAAATCAATAAAGTCTGTCCAATCTGACTGTGAGTGTTATCTTACTGTCTCCTCGATCTCTCCACAAGTTTCATGACATTTCTGCATATTAGTCTCCACATTCTCTAGGATTGGCTGCCGAAGCCAAATCCGATGGAAAGGGTAAAGGGATCGAGAAGCAATCATCCTCCCATACTTGCTTCCTACCGAAGTTGCGCCTGAACACAGCATGGAATCGACTACGCCGTTGGACGACTACTACACTCAGGGATATGAAGAGTCGAACCGCGCGTTTATCGTTAGCTGCTCGACCGATCAGGTGGGTGAACCAACACGCTGCGGCACAGTGGATTAAATTTTGTGTTCTCAGTCTAGCCGGTCGTTCAGATCAACATGACATCTGGAGATACCCTGAGGAAAAGGACATGTTAGAGGACAAACGAATCGACCGATGTTAATCATATGACGACATAACGAACGCTTCTCATGTCAGCGCCTGTGGACATCTTGCATCTTTGGAGAAATGGACTCTTACTCTCATCACGAACAAATGTATGACAATGGATTTAGTAGCGATATAACACTGTAACTATACTCGTGGACATACGAGACTAGAGCAACGTATGTGACTCTCTCAGTATATGATAAAACGTTTCCTAGTACAGCGAATGGAATGACAGTCATGGCCCACTCTGCGGAGACGACATAACACAGAACTATGATAGTCTATTATAGTAGTGTTTCTTTATACAAACCTGAAGAATTCCGTGTCTGTTCGGGTAGCACCAGGACACGCAATGGTGGTGCTCATATTCTTGACCACTTTGTGCCTGTTCATGAGTTTTGATTCATTCTAAATTAATACGGTCATTTTAAGCAGCAGGAAGTAACCCAGGTTATATTTCCTGCAACGCCAATAGATTGCTTTTGATGACCGAATCCAAGTTGAGCGTTGCAGTATCCAAGTATTCTTGTCTGGAAACCGTCGAAGTGGATTTGACACCACGACTGCTGGATGCAACACTCTGAAAGCAATCGCAATTGTATTAGATACTACGTAGACCCTACGGATATTCACGAATTGATTGTGGCTCGTAGCAGTCTTCTCGTAAACTTGCTGCCCTCGATCCAGCTTCCAGTATCCACAACGAGCGTGTCTGGATCATTCGTCGACTGAGGAAACCGACGGAGCTCAAGCAGTTTACAGTGCAGTGCTGGACTCCTCACATCAACTTTGGCAGTGTACAACACTGTTGTATTGACTGCAAAGATGGACGAGTTGCCGCGTTCTGGACCCTGGTAGCAAGGCTCGAGTTCGGTCGACGGCGGCGACATTCGCGGTGTCCTCCAAGTTGAATTTAACGGCGAGCTCGCGAGCAGCCGTCGTGCGAGGTTGAGGCAAAACCTTTGCTGACAGTGAGAGGAAGGCGAGCATGGTAGGATAAAAAGATGTAAATTAATGCGATCTGAACCATCTTCCTGATCACCAATCTCACCGGCCTAATCCTTGCCATAACCTATCAGTCATGCCTATAACTTGTCTGAACATAGACTGTACGATGGGGGTATCAAAGGATGAAAAGGACTAGAGGGAGGTTCAGAGGTAGATAAGGACTTATGCGTTCCTGTACTGTTGGTTCAAACCGTCTCTATATGAATTCGATTAAGAATGGTCTCGAAATTCATGTCAAATTCTCGATCAAGCGAACCGTCAACAGCTCACTTCTATTCGACATCTTTCCCTGTTCGCACAGGAAGACCAGCGAACTTGGCTCGCAGCGCTTCATACTTCCTCCGCTGCACAGCAGACACACTAGGACCGACCTTATCCTGAGCGCGAACGAAATCCTCCAACACAACAACAACTCGCGGCTGATTCTCTACCAAACTTCCACCACCGTCATCTATCTGTTCAAGCGCACCGAGGACACGTCTCAGCGCCACAACGCCTGCTTCCCGAACGACAGCTGCGAGGTCCGCACCGCTGTACCCATCACATTTCTCCTGCACAATTTGCTCCGCGCCCTGCAGGATCGTCTCGGTACCAGGTTCTGTAGGTGCGAATGGAATTTTACGCGCCAGCGTCCGTATGATCTCGACGCGTTCGTCGGCACTTGGTAGGTCAACGTAGAGGAGCTTGTCGAGCCGCCCTGGGCGAACCATAGCTGGGTCGATCATATCGGGACGGTTAGTTGCGGCGATGACGTAGACAGCTTTGCGGGAGTCAAGTCCATCTAGCTCTGTGAGTAGCGTATTCACGACGCGTGCAGAAGATTCTGACTGTTAAAATAGGAATGTAAGATAAAAGTTGGAGTGAAATGTGAAGGGTGCGTACCATGCTTTCATCTCTTCGAGGGACGAGAGCGTCTAACTCATCGAAGAAAATCACGCAGGGAGATGAGGCCCGGGCACGAGAGAACACCTGTCTCACAGCTCTCTCGCTCTCGCCAACATACTGCGCTCCCATTAACAATGTTTTTACTCGAGATAGAACGTCACTGACCTTGTTTAGGAGCTCAGGGCCCTTGACACTAATGAAATTCGCCCTGGACTCATTCGCGACAGCTTTCGCCAATAAAGTCTTTCCGCATCCCGGCGGACCCCACAACAGCACACCACACGCTGCCTCGATACCTACAGCACTGAACAGCTCAGGGCGCCTGATAGGCTGCACGATTGCCATGTGCAGCTCTTCGCGTGTGCCATGCAGTGCGCCGATATCAGCCCACGTCACGTCTGGCACGGTTGCAAAACCCTCTCGCTTAGAGGAAGGCTGAACTTCCCGTAGCGCGGCGTAAAAATCGTCCGAGGTTATGCAGAGAGGGGCGAGCTGAGCAGGTGTGAGAGGAGAAGGATGAGCACTGAGGAAGTGCGCGATGGAAGAAGCAGAGAGTTGAGATGCTAGAGAGAAAAAAGGGATTGGATTTGGCGTGGTATCGGCTGGAGGCGTGGGCGGCGGATCCACTGCCATGGGAATATCTTGGCCGATGTTTTCTGGTGCTTCCGGAAGGACGAGCGTGCCGTCTGTGAGTTGTTTGAAGATGCGTTTCACGGCGATGACACCTGCTGCGCCTGTTAACGCTGATAGGTCTGCGCCTACGTAGCCGGGCGTGGCTTTGGCAAAGGCAGTGAAGTTGAAGTCGCCGTCTAGCCGGAGTTTCGCGCATAGTACTCGCAGAATTCTGCCAAAGCTTAAAATCGAAAAAAAAGGATGGCATGGACGTGAGCTTACTTGTTTCGGGCCTCCTCATCCGGGACGCCCATGCTTATCTCATGGTCAAAACGGCCTGCGCGGCGGAGAGCAGCATCTAATGAGTCTGGTCGGTTTGTCGCGCCAATGACAATCACCGGCTTATTTTCGGTCTTCTCCCAAGACATATCTGTACGGGTCAGGTTAGAGGGTGTGGAAGAGAAAATTGACGCAAAAATACCATCCATGCACGTCAAGAACTGGGCGACTATACGTCTTTCCATCTCCCTCTGAGCACTCTCTCGTTTTGGAGTGATAGCATCGATCTCGTCAATAAACAGTAGACAAGGAGCAACACGCTGGGGGTAACGATTAGCATTAAAAAATCATGCAGAATATGAGTGTACCTTAGCCTCGTCAAATGTATCTCGTAGCGTTTTTTCTGACTCTCCAGACATACCAGACACAATAGAGGGAGCAGATATGCTGATAAAAGGAACACCCAGCTCCTGCACACAATCAGTCAAATTTCAAACAAAGTAGTGGGTGCACCGACCCCAGCTATCGCATTCGCTAGAAGGGTCTTGCCACATCCCGGAGGGCCATGTAGCAACACACCACGTGGAGGCTGTACACCAGTGTGTAGATAGATTTCCGGATGACAGAGAGGCATGGCAACAAGCTCCAGCATCTTCTCCACACATGCTTCTACACCACCCAGATCGGACAACCGAGTAGCAGGGGGAGTGTGGTCCTTCGCTATGGAATTGGTAGATAACTTTGGTCGTTTACTACCGTCTTCTACTGTTGGACGGGCTGAGCGCAATTTTCGCTTTGAGGAAGGGGGACGAGTGTCAGGGGAGGTTACTTCATTCATAGCAGGTGCGATAGAAGATGAAGGAGGAATCGATATTCCTGGCTCAACTGGGTTTTCTAAGGCGAGTAGTTGGTTTGCATTTTCTGGAGGGATCTCAAGAGGCGTGTTTGGCGGAAGCGGAGCAGGAGCATTTAAATTGACCTTCGCCTTTCTGTGGGTAGACCAAAGGCTTTGCATGGACTTGTTCAAAGCATTTGAACCCTGTCTGATCCATTGCGGTTACAACATGTTCAATGACTTCAAGTCGTAAAAACGTACATCCATTGGAGTTGAAAGAAAGTACAAGAGCACAGCCACCAAAATGTAGAATATCCCCAACTCCCACGGGTTTTGTCAACGTACTTAGACCTGGACGGTCCAATATACTTAGTCTCACTCTCTCGTCCAGAGAAGTTGAGTAAGTATATGGCAGTGACTGATGCTATTCCAGGAGGCCTCTGGCTTGGCTCCCTCTGCAACGAGTTGCGCAATTTGTAGTTTGCACTAATTGTCATGCCAAACCGAATTATCAAGCTGGCTTCCTCAAAGGCCTCCGTAGAGCCTGACACCCAGTGCACGAAGGTGAGATTGGCTTCACTTCTTTCAACACACGTTGGTACATGATTTAATACCTGAAAGTTTTGTTTCAGTTGCATGATACGCGAGTGATGGTCGATTATTATATAACACCGTGTATTGCCGTGTACAAATCAAAAGTAGCTCTTTTGTACCAAGACTGATTTGAAGATTAGCATGCTATCTAAAATGTTAGGTCAAAAGTTGATCAAGATAGATGCGTCTAACCCCAACACCTATGCAAATCTCCGAATTTTTGCAGCCGGGGGTTACCTGGAGGTATTGCACCAAAACATAGACTATATCCGGTAAGTAATGACTGTGCTAGAATAATAGTAGAATGGTTTAAAAGGTCACCTGTGCATGAGCAGCGCGACTATGCACAAAAAGTATCTGTGAGCATATTCAGGCTCAAGTCATAGAACGCCCATAGTATCGTCGGCAACGGTGACCTAAACCTTCGGCCTGGGATCTAGCAGCTCTCCGTCCTCGAGCTGTCGCAGTGCCGCTTCTTTTGCTTCTTTTGCTTCTCTGTAAGCCATCGACTTCTGCCTCATTCGTTCCCTGGCTTCTTCGCTCCGCCTTGCTTTACGCCTCTTCCGAGGTCGTCGTCCGGCTATCATCTCAAGTGATCCATCTTCGGCAACAATGACCTGGGCCTGAGGCTCATCGACGTTTGGCAGTACATTGACCACATTCGAGTCCTGCAGCTCTCCACCCTCGCGTGGTTGTTGTAGCGCCGCTTGTCTTGCTTCTCTGTGAGCTATCGCCTCCTTTTTCCTTCGTTCCATGGCTTCTTCGCTTCGCTTTCCTCTACGCTTCTTCTTGGTTGTCTCCGACTTGGGTGGGTCATCATCATAAGGAAGAAAGAATTTTTTAGCTTTGGGCATCGGAAGTGTTCTAGACTTCTGGGATATTGACGCTGAAGCTGCTGAACTCACTGGAATATTTTTGCGGGACTGAAGCTATCTGCGCAACATTTCGGTACTCAGAATAGCCCCGCGTGTTCTCCGCCACAAAAAGGTTCGGCTGCATTAAGGGGGAATCGAACCCCCGGCGGGTCGATGGCAACGACCCAGGTTACCACTACCCCATTAATGCCCATGAACTCCTGTAGACTGTTAATGCTAATGTTTCAATATTCTGGCAGGCTAGATGATATAATAATATGCTACAAGAGATACAGCACTCGAATGCATATCAGTAACCCGCTATCCTCGTGCTCTTCCTCCTGCCCTTCCTACCCACATTCTCCTCCCCAAGTAAAGCCATCAGCTTCCGCTTCTCCGCCTCCTGCCCAGGATCCTCATACGTCACGCGCAGACTATCCTCACTCGGGCGCGCGCTCCCGTCCAGCAGGCTCATCGCGTCATAATACATGGGCTGCGGAAGCGGCACAAGTCGTGCCGGGGGCTCCCTAGTGATGGTCTCGCGTGATTCCTGCCGAGATTGCACCTACATATGATGGATGAATGAATACGAAAGAGAAATGAATTCTAGACTGCAAACGAACCCCGGGGCGCGGCAGTGGGCGCGGCCGCTTGCCTTTTCGCTGTTCCGGGCGCATAATGTCATCTTCTGATACCTGTCTCTTCCCAAGTAGCGTTGTCAGGCTTTCTTGTAGCTCGCGGGCAACGTCTCTTGGATTAGGCACTCGCACTGGCGAGGGTTCGCACGTCAACCGTACACCTGAGCTGGGTGGAAGCTTCATTGGCGATGGCGAGCTGGAGGAGGGTATGCGTCCGTTCTCATCCAGGGATGGGACTGGAGGATCAAGGTCTTCAGAGGATAAAAGATGTCTCCGGCGTGCAGGGTGCACAGCAACATATTCGAGTGGGGGTGAGCTACTCTGTGGTGGCAGAGGAGGCGGAGAGGTTGAAAACCGCGCCCTATCGTCACCCTCGCATTGTGGCAGAGCGCCGTCGAGCGAGCCATTCGACTCGCCGAAGAACGTCGCTGGAGGAGCATGCTCGATGTCAAGGAGAGTAGGTGTTCGGAGATCTTGCAAGAGATGTGGCTGTTTTACGAAAAACTTGCCTGTGACAATAAAACAATCAAAATGACGTCAAATATTGGATGATACTCTGGCTTACTGTGAGAATTGGTAGTATCCACCATCTCCTTTGCCTTACCCTTTGCCACTCGGTTGCCAATGTCGCCAATGAGATATTCGCTGATGTCAGGTACCTTACCCTCCTTCGCCATATCCTCTAGCCATGCCATGCCCACGACAGGGATGTTCCACTCTTTTGCCTTGTCGTACTTAGTACCGCAAGCACTCGGACAAAGTAGGTGCGTCGAACGTCGAGAGAATATCTGGGCAAGCGTTATACCCAACGCCCGCAGTAAACGTTTTGTCCAGCATAGCTCAGATTGATCAAGTCCAGAAAGGCTGAGAATAATTTGTTCGGTGTCTGTGATCATGTCAACACATAAAACGAGTGAAAGCAGTCATGACACGTACTAGGTATTGGATAAGGAAGGCTAAGAGGCCTAAATGATATATTCTCGTGCGGTCCACATATTCGCTCTTGGAAGACCGAGTGTTCGAGCCAACATTCTGTGCGATATTTGGCGCGTAATCTCTCATCAGGTTCGTTCTGGTAGAGTTTGCTCCCACTAAGCAATCTGCTGCATGAGATGCCTCATTTATATGAGGAAGTCGAAGCTCACCTAATGAGTCGCACCACGATGAAATCGACATCGTCAGTATCTTCGTCCATGACCACGCCTCCCCCGCGATCAATAGCATTGCGCACATTCGCACACTTCGCCTCCCCAAGTAGACGGAAGCAGTAACCCGCAAAGAGTGTCGTTATCGAAGAGTCCTCCACCTCAGGTTGGCGAGGTAATGTGCTCCCCTCTGCGTCCTCAGGTCCCAGAGCTGCAATAGTGGTTGTCCGCCTGAACGGCTGCCGCGTCATCGGCTCCTTTGCAGGCGGCGCAAACGACTTGGCGCGTTTGAATGACGAAATCACGGATTTCCCTTGAGGTTCTATCACCTTATCTGTAGTTCTCGTTCGCACATCAGGCGTAAGATATGCTGGTAACCGTGTCGGCGACATCTGCGGACTTGCTATTGACTGTGACTTTGAAGGACTACGCACAAGTTTGTTCGCAACTGGATCGATCTCGAAACCACGTGGACGTAAGAGACTCCCCCAGAGCTGAAGCGTCACTGCTCGAACGGGAGTGCGTGCAAGGGATGCAGGTTCCTCCTCATCCAATATATCATGTTCGTGACTTGGTTTCGGTGGGGCGGACGTCCTAAGTAGGTGGCAGTCGGCAGGAATTGCATTCGAAGGATGTGTGCTTGGGGCAGAGTCGTGGACTGGCATTGAGGTGGTGAGCTCTATTGTGAGTCAATGTATTTTCAAGTTTTGGGAGTAGATGGGTACATACCTTCGTTCATAGTCTTCCTCTCTGGCCTCGGCCGGGTGACGACGTAACGCTTTTCCTCGAAGCGTCCTCCGAATTCCAAGCAGTCCCAGAACCACTCCTCCCAAACAACGTGGATTTTTGCCTCACCACGTTTGTTGAATTTATCAGCGTAGCGCATCTTCTCGGTCTCATTGTCGCCCGCACATAGTAGATGTGTAACCTTGACAGGGCGTTCTATGGCTTTGACATATGTCCCACCGTATCTAGTGAGGGTGCGGTTTATGTTTGCACGTTGCTCAATGTCATCAATACCTGATAGTGAGAGTATGACACCGGAGAAGATGGGAAGGCGGTGCGTAGAAACAGTCTGCGGACGTGAGAAGTGTGATGTCGGCGATCATATTGTACTCACCTCTGCTAGGTCGACGTCATCTCCACGCAACCAAACATGGTATGCATCTGTTATCCACTCGGGACGCATGATGGGTATTTTGCGTTCTAGCGCGCACTGCATCCGTAGGAATAAGATTAAACAAAGACAAGAGGCACCTGTGGATGTCTCACCGCATACTTCGCTCCACCGTGATTGTTCGCTATTAAGTGAGTCACTCTGTCTGTAAAGTCGCTAGTGGATGTTGCGCCGAGTTCAAATGCTTGTTTAAACAAGGTAGCCTTCCGACATGCTGTTAACTTCACCGCCATTTGTCACAACCGCAAACCAGAATGAACGCACCTTATCCATTGTACCAGTCGCGCAAAGCGTAACACCCCTGAACGGTCTAGGACACAGGTCAATCATACTCGCATTGGGAGGGACAAGTTCGAAGTCTGAGCTATGGTCATATGGCGCGTCCATCGGGTGAGCATGACTGGATCGTGGTTGAGCAGGTCTAAGTTTAACATTGGGAACCTGGATAATCGGTCTGTGTATATGTAGTCAATGTTCGAGTCCTTGCGCACCTTGTGTGATTTGTTCGAGCGACGCATCACTCCGAATGGTTTCTTCGTAAATAATTTGTTCAAGAATTCAGCGTACATGGGTGATCACGTGAGTGGTTCAGGGTAGGTCAACTCGCGCCTTTTTAGCGGCCGGGGGTAGCTGGGTTTCCTGCATAGTCCTCAGCCATACAGGTCCATCGGAGTTGTGCTCTTTACCATGTGCCCTCTCGTTTCTGTCTTGCGCTAGGAGCAATGTTATATACTTAGTGCAGCGGACCAATCTCAGTCAACTGGCTGTGCAATCGATGTGCTGTGCAGGGCCGATGCATTAACTTTAATGCACAGTCACGGTGCGTTGTAGCATCGCTTTCTGATTCGCATCAGAGAAACATGACCCTTAGGTGCGTCGTGTGGGGTCATCCAGCTTAATGTATCGAGCGCGCATGGCGAGCAAATTTCGAGAATTTGACAAAATTTCCCGACATCACGATTCACCAACCATTTTTGACCTTTGTCGGTGTTCAATCATTCTTCACGAGTGATACTAGGGTTCGCAGCTCCCCAAATAAAATCTACTTTGGTTCGGTACTACCATCTTACTGAGAATCTTAATACTTCAGTGCCAGTCGATCAAGGGCTTTACAACGAGAAGGGACATTCATCTCCACCATATTGATGTTCGCATACAGGTACCAGGTAGTAGTATATCTGGGGAGTGTTCCATCGTTATATGAACATCAAGTTTCTCTCTCACACTAATACACCCTTCCTCGAAAAATGACACTAGTCTCAAACCATCCCAGTTGGTGGCCGATTATAAATTCGTTTCGTTTGTCCGGCTATTTTACATGTTCGTGGAAAGCCAGTCATGTTGATGGTGTCTCATTCTAACACTGATGTCGGTTTCGCAGTTGCCTCATCAACCACGCTGATATATGATTGGGGTGAGTGAAATATCATTGCATGACCATTGATATCCTTATGATACTTCTAGTACTGACGTTCGCACAAGAGGTGGGTTGGTTCCATTACCACGGGAGCAGCCATCTCACTAAAGATGATGTTTTGATAGGTTGAACTGATCTGGGTGAGTGGATACGGTATCATAAGATAACGCGATGGTACAATTTTGTCGGCACAGAGGCAACGCTGGTCCCTCATGACTGTTCTGTATCTCAGTGTAAGAGGTTCATGTTACAACTTGAAGCGCAGCTGGCAAATTGTGCTGACTCTGATTTTTTCTAGATACGCTACGTTGGAATACCATATTACATGTATGTTTGTAGGGTTAATATGACGGCGCTGTGCTAATCGGCCATCTCTCGCATTTAGCATCAATATTATGATGTGTGCGTTTCCTTTTACAATATATATGTGTCTTCTGATCTGTGGCATACAGCATCTTCGGTGACAGATGCAGTGAGTATCCTACCCCGGTACTTATAACTCCTGTCCTATTAACTGTTCCTTTGTTTGTGTAGGAGTGAGTGCGATGTTCGACCACTTATTTCAATACAATGACCAGTAGGTGTGAGTTTTTTTGGACACTTTGATTCTTCGATGATGATCGTTAATTGGGTGTTTCAGGCGCTATTTTATATTCCACATTGAATTGGATCAATGTGATCGTAGCTGCAATGCTGGGCGGTAAGCAACTTTGCTGCATTACCTCGATGCCATCAACTGAATTTCGTTCAAGTCATCACGCTCGCTCGGTTACATGCCATGTTTCAGGGATCCAAAAAGATGCTTATCATTCTCACTACAATCTTCCTGGTTGTCAACATTGCCTGCGGGGTGATCGCCATAATAGTACTCAGTTATATGTCAGGGAGTAAGCTTGAGTTACATATCAAGGAATCAGGCTCATTTGACGTATATTAGAGGAACTCGTTCTCTCCGGCACACATGCATGTGCCTATATCTATACAGAAAACGACTTACACCTGATCTCCATAACCTGGATACTCACCACTATATGGGAGGTCCTCACACTTTGTCTTGCACTCTGGATTTGTTTAAAACACTTCCGTGAGCTGCGACGACATGGAGAAGGGGGATTTATCGGGGACTGTTTCACAGTGTTGATAAAATCTCATGTGGTTTACTTTGCAAGGTAAGCTTGTACTTTAAATGCGGTTATCTTCTTCCGCTGAAGGACTCTGCCTGCTAGCTTTGCCGTTGTTTGTTGCTCCGCCCTCAGTACCCAGCTCTCTCCCAAGGTCTCGGTACGTCGATCTGTCACCAACATCCACCTGTGACCACTGTTAATCATTTTTATAGGACCTAGATTCTGTGGGAGTTCAGATTTCCAACGCTATTTTCGAAATTTTTTCGTATATCCAGATGTTTGTGCTGGGACCACGCCTCATCCTTAGCGTGCGAGTATATCACGCCAAGCTTGTGGCTGACTCCGATACAACAACCTGCATGACTTCAATCGCTTTTGAGGAGCGTGTACTAACTTACAATAGTGTGTAGCCATGGGAAATGGTAATCAGGAAAAATCGTCCGAGACTTCATCGTGGTACTTCAAATCATTTGTTCCGGTAAGAGAAATTACTCCCATTTCTTTTTGTATCACTCCCTAAGTAGTAGCCACACCCTCGGATCGAGTGACACAGTGAGATCCCGAATGTCTCATGTATCGTTGGCAAGGGTTAGGGTAACAAGTCTGATTACAAGAAAGAGCCGTGGAAAAGATTGTCGTACTCCATCCTCAAGTTTGTTATTCATTGCGCTTTGGTTACAATCATCATCCATTCAGTTTCATTTCAGCACCTTGCCAACTGGCAGCAGTGTGCAAAATGGCATTGTACAATCGAGGCAAGTGCGCTGGCAAACAATTACGTGCTGTGGGCTCCTGTCGGCACGCCACCATGATTGTGACATACAGAACAATGGCAGAACCCCATAGAGAACCGGCTCAGTCGTTGCGTTTTTGTTCTATATACAAGACTGCAAACTGGTTCTTGTATATTCTTGATCAACGTGTTAAAGAGACTCATTTCCACAAGTTTCGGACGGCCATTCTAGCAGATATTTAGAGTCCAGCTGACATCTCGACACAGCTCACGATTTGAACGAGTCCCTCTTATAAACCCTAACTTTTTTTACCACAACACTCGCTCCTCCATTAACATGCGTAACTTGATCGCCGCTTGGTATAAGAGTACTGAGGATCTGCTCAACTACTGCGAACCTCTGCTTGTATATGGAGATGCTAAAGATAGCGCACAACTAGCATTGTACGTTCTCTTCCTTTCATACTTCACATTTGCTGCAACGACTGATTGGAACTACCATTAGCCTCAGGGGCATGAACAGCGCAGTTCATTTTCTCGAAGGACGTGTTGCTCACGACGATCAGAATAGTGTAGCCTTAGCAGAAGAATGCAGCCATCAAGTAGGAAAGTTGCACTACACGCTTCTGGATGTGAGTCGACCGATTTTGTTGAGCATAGGTAATAGCTTACTGTTTGCTTAGAAAGAACAAGAAGCGAAAGGTTTGAATGACCAAAGCTGGAAAAAAAGACTAGCGGTCATGGAATGCAAGTAGTATTGTCGATGTGATGATGGGCTGCGACTGAATTTCTCCCGTTTTCCAGTCCAAGAGCAAAGGAAGCTAAAGAACAGCTCAAAGGATAACGCCGTAGGACCGGAAACCGAGAAGGTCATATACCAAGAGGGCACTTGGTTTCAATCTTGATTGCATTAGCGCCCGTCTACTTCACCTTGCTAAAGCAAGTCAACCAGAGATAGTGACAAGTTGCCGCCACTGCGATGCCTGCGGATGAAATGGCTAGAATTATCTATACTGTAGCATAATAGACGTACTTGCGATAGTATTCACATTTAGTATGACTTGTTGACCAAGTTTAATCGTCAGGCTAGCGTCCTTGATTATGCGTGTCAGTATGAACTTGTGAGCTGCGGCTGTCAGCCTGAGCGCGATTTTCATGACGCTCCTTTCAGCCCAAGTTAGGTCTGGCTCGTGTTGAATGGCGAATAAGCGTACACTTGACACGTACTTCTAAGAGGGAGAGCTCACAGCTAACCGTTTGAGCGGGAATACCCAGCCGTACCAGACCCGTGTAATCAGCGAACTGGAAGTCAGAACACTCCAGTGCACGGTCGACATACGAAGGAATCCCATTTTATATCAATCATTTAACAACAAATAAATCCTAATATATCGTCAGTACTTGACGTTTGTCGACTGGCTTGAATGAAGATTGAAGGACACTGTACAGACCAGGTACTCGATTCAGAAGTCCAAGGGTTTGCCCTGCGTGAAATGGCTCATGAGTCGTTCGGGATCAGGCTGAGATAATTATAGGATCCAATGAAAATACAAGACTAGACGTTCCTATGGCTAATCCACCACTGAGATGGTTTACTGAGCGAATTCGTCAGCAACGTCATTCGCTCTTGAGTAGGTCGTGCATTAAAGCTAGCGGGGTCGTCTGAACAGACGGAGAGGGCTGTGGCACGCTGTCGCCCTCATCATAGTCTTTGTCGTCACATCGTTGTCGCACCCCAATTTGTCATTGTGCTGGCGCCACTCTGTGTAAAGGCAATAATGGAACACAATTCCCGCAAACTGTACTCGATCCACTTGCGAGCCACCGACGTGGGGTGATGAAAGTCCTCGGGATAGGTTTTTATGTTATTTTCGAAGTAGAATGTAAAATTTCTCTTGACGCGATATACGCAGTGTTGTGTATAGCACTGTCTAGTAGGAGCACACTGAATGTCGATTTGACGCAACCAGTAGACGAGTATTACGCAGGGGGACCAGACGTCTAACTTGAAGGCCTGAAGGTGAGATGACTGCTCGATGCTGAAGCAAAACCTGAGGGTCCTGGAGCAATTGCTGGATTGGCGGCGACATTATGAGAGAAGCTTCCAAGTTGTAAGGCGGCTAGAGAACAAGGTCACGACGAGACGTTTGATGGCCGAAAATCGGAGCAACGAGATCAGACACAGCACTAATGATGAAAATGACAAATTTATAGATAGATAGTAATATTGATTCTGGATTACTCACCGCCATGATAGCAGCCGCCGTCCGACATGTACAGGAACACAGTGGGGCAGTGTTGACATATCGGGATGTACATTACTTGCTGTTGGCCATCAAATTTACATTCGGGGGAATCCGCAGCGGAATAAAAGGTCATGTGACGTTTAGGGCTGGTCCTTTGGCGTCAGGTATGGCTACGCCAGCCTCAAGAGTCAAACCCATCCATCTCCATCATTCCGAATCCGTATAGTCTAGGATTCTAAGGGAGATCCTTGTAATACCACAGACAAGGTCTGGATTTCGTGAATAGCTGTAACGTCAAAACCCTTCTCGTCTTCTAGTACTGCATCTGAGTCAGATGTGGCGGACGTATGCGTCACTTAGGAGCGAGAAGTGCACTGTCTTGTCGCGGTGGCACCTTACCATTGGATCCATATACCTGTTGCGGCCCAGCTCTTTCTCAGAAGCGAGGAAACTGCATCTTCTGTCCCAAATTGCAACAAGAGGCTTCAAGCCGATGCATCTTCAGATCCCACATAGGACGCTGGCTAGCAATGATCTGCTGGTTTGATACTGACCTAGACACATACATAGCACCGATGGTAACATGGTAGCTGGTTCCCATACTTCCTTCGTCACAATGACCTGTGACCCCTCTGTGCACGGTCCTCGTCCCGACGTCTTACCTTAACAAGTGACTTTTGGTCATGATGCCGGCATCAATTACATATTTGGACTTTGCGGTGGTCGAGGCTCTGGTTGGTGGGCTTAAACAATGCACAGAGCGCTAAAGGTTCATGTCTTGTGCCACAGCCGTCCAACGGCCACATCCGCAATGCGCGCATCCTGTGCTTACAATATATATAAAGTGAGTTCTGGCTTTTGACCTCTCATTGTATTCCTCTACAACGACTGGAAACGATGACCCTCTCCTGGAACAGCCCTAAGCGTCCAAAACGCGACGAAGTTACCAAGTGGCACGATAGCACCAACGTTATTCTCGACTATTGCCTGGGCTACCTGGAGTATGGCAGCGCCACTGATCATGTTCAACGCTCTTCGTAAGTCGCATCCGGTTGATAGCTAATGGTCTCTCCTTGACTATCGTACCGTTTAGTCTCGGAGACATGAACGACGCACTTTTGACCAACACTCACCTTACCTATGACGAGCGCCTGATCGAGGCACAGACATATAATTATCAAGCTCAGTACCTTAGCACGAAGTTGCAAATAGTACGTTGTAGCTATACTTCATGCTCGGTATGGTTTCATTTATCTTTGAGGTATTTTAGCTGTTTAACCGAGAGAATGGCTCGGATTATAAAGCGTGGGCTCGAAGATATGCTGTCTTACACGGTATGAGTGGCCATTTCGTGGAATTTTAGGATACTGATTGAATTTCTTCCGTCTAGAAAAAGGTTATGGAGCAAGAACAGTTGCAGCTGAGGACGCAGCGTCAACGGATCCCTGTCTTGTCACTATCGATCCCCGAACGTTTGTCGTCTCCCGTCCATCCTCTTTTCGGTGACAGGATTCAGACGTCGCACTCCGCTTGGACCCTTGACTTGAGCGACTGATACCCCATTTCTTATTAATATACCTCCTGTATCGGCGGATGTGTCGAAACATACATTATTTGTATTTGTTATTAGTATGTATATTGTTGCCATGGCCAGTGACAGTGTGAAAAACGCTCGTCTTCTTCGTACTACTACGTAAGCTGTCAGTGCATCCATCTAGCGCCCAGAAGGTCCCCCAATAGTATTGGGGGGACCCGAGCCTGACCCGACATCGTTTTTGTCTTCAACATCGCTTGATCAATAGCACTAGTCGTAACACGTTTCACAACGACGAAATAACATTTCCCCCGACGTGGTTATAGGATCCCGCCTATTGAAGCGCTGCCATAGAAACACTACATACATAGTATTGTCTCAACAGAACAAGGATGACAGTGCGGCGCAAACGGTAGATGCTTCGACTGTCTGGGCGTGCATCCATCTCTAGTGACGGTTCCTAGCTAGAAGAACGGTCCGTACAAGAGTTACCAAACCCACTTTTGTGGGCATGATTCCCTGCTACGCTGTGTCCCTTGGGGCCTGATTGTTTTCGCTTCTGGAGTTATTTCCGCTGAGAAAGATATAAGGTGCGCGCTCAGGCTGTCAATCTCCAGTCAACCCAACAACCCTTTCTTCCCCTCAAGCTCATCACTTCAAGTTATTATGTCGATCACGATTATCCAGAAGTTTGTGTATCATGGAGCTTCTGTGGAGTATGCTTCTGATTGTCCGATGGGCACCCGGGAGATGGTTCAGACCTGGTATCACCAGACTAGTGAGGTACTGCGACAATGTACTGCGCTGATGCGATACGGCAATGAGAGCGATGTTGCACAGCTTAGCCGGTAAGAGTTGTGTCTTTTCTAGCCAATCCACAGCTATCTGACTCAGATGTTTGCAGCATACAAGCAATGAGGACCGTCATGTATCAGCTTATTGATAAGAGAACGAGAGAAAGTCTCTCGAGGGCGGTGTCTCTGGGTGATATCTGCCTGAACCTGTCGTTCGAGCTATACAATCAGCTGCAGGAGGTGAGTTCACTGTTTTGCTCATGGTGTGTCATTCTCATCTTTGCTGTCTAGAGAGAGTCGTGTGGTCATACTGGAAGATCTAGACGAAGCTCAACTTATTCCCCTGTAAATGGGACTTACGCACACATATAGCCGAAGAGGCACGGGACCTTGCGAGAAGTCTGGCTGCCTGCCCTAGGTAATGAGCCTCTGATGATGGTCTCCGATGTCTTGTTGAGTTATATCATTGCAGCGCGTTTAGGGTTCAAGAGCTACATCTTAGCAGCGGAGAGCTGAGCCAGCTATGCCTTGAAGGGGAGGCCAGACCCGATATCACAGCATGACACGCCACAGTTGCGTCAAGTTACTGTTCGAGCGGTATGTATACACGAGTTTTTGCCAATTTATGGCACCTGTTCATACATCGCGTGTTGCGTATGTAGTATTTAGAAGTATACTAGAGCGTCACCCCATGCCTATCTTGTGCATAGGGGATGCCAGCTGGCTAGCGATAGATAGATATCACTGTATCATGATTCATGAATAAATCAGGAATAGACAATGAACATTTGATTTGCCACGCACTCGACGTGCTGTAAAGTGAGAGTCCAACTTGATTGCGACAGTGCTCGACATCGCGAACACTGATCGCGACATGGACCAACAAGAAACTCACAGGAACCAAGCCTTGAAAGTCCTTACTGGATGAATGACCAAGTAATTGTTCTGCCTTCTGTTGGTCGTATGACCTGCGTGGTCCAAGATTTAGGTGCAAAGAGTTGGTCATCCGGTATCAGATCTGCACGTCATCAACTGCGATACCATCTATATGATATTGATAATGCTTCGGGAGACGTTATAGCGTGTGGGGAAACTGGGCGTGTTTATCTCGGAAGCTTTCGAAAGAGATGAAATCGTTATTTATTACTTGGAGACAACATTGTCGCAAAAGGGAACTATGTCGACCCATGGCCAAGGACTGGGTTATCAGCTGGCACGTGACTTGGATTGGGTCGACTGTCGTGAGGCCACGTGTGGCAGGTGGTGTAGTACTATGCAGAGTGAAATTCGTGATGGCACTGAGATAGCTGGGTTTGTGTTACGAGCTCGCCACTTACCTGAGTTCCCATGAAAACTGTCTGGCTGCCTGTTGGCGTGACGGTCAGTCTATATGCCGTGATTAATCACTTGTTGTTCGACAGTCTTGACTACCTTGACCGCGATTAATGACGTCATGGTACCTCAACGACTCGATCCGAGAACCCGAATGATCTACAACAGTCGACACAAGTCAAAATTTGTTCTGAACACAAGCCACATTTGGCGTAACTCAGCTGGACAGTGTTCGTAAACGCTTGTCTCGGTTTACAACCGCGTTGTTTTGGTGACTGGCAGCGTGGGGGACACCGAACCGCTTTCCGGATTAGGCTAGTAAGAAGATAAACTTTGGTGTGTTTTTTGAGTATAGACAAATTATACGAATTTGGAGAAAGTAACTGGATAACTTTGGATGTGGAAGCGATTCAATTAATTTTGTGGTGCATCTGTTTCACTGTACGGAAAGCGAAAAAGTCAGGGGTAGGACTGCGCAATCTTTAGTAGGGAGACAGCTATACCTCATGAGTGCCTGACTCGGCAGGTCAACGCAATCAACACGTTTGATCCGCTTAAAACGATTCTGAACCGAATCAACTGAGGCTCCAGCGTGAATACGTAGATGGAGAATCATTAGTAAGTTAGTATTTGTATATAAACTCCGCTCTCGCAAGATGATCACTCTCCAAAGCCTTTCGTGTCTCAGATATCACCTACGAGCCTGAGGTCACTTACTAGGACATCCCAAGGATGGCTGACTCCTCAAATACAGTCGTCACTCTTGCGTCCGATCTCTGGAAGAGGGCAACAGCTGCGGGCCAGGTGAAAGTTACTTCTAGAACGTACTTCTTGTGCACAACTCAAGGACGCTTCAGGGCGGCTTATTGACAGGAGTAAATCCCTCAACATTCACCACCTCAGATCCCCTGAGGTTATGGATAATACAAATGGGTGAGCATATTCTGTTACAAGTCTACAACACCATTCTAAGCCAGCTGCAGGCATAATTATCATGATGGCGCAGCTGCTGTCACTTGGTTTGGGCAGGATCAAACAGCCGAAAGTCATCGCTGAAGTCCTTGGTGGAATTCTCCTTGGTCAGGTCATTTCTCATATCGTGCTAAACAGATGCTCATTTAATCGTAGGCCCTACTGCAATGGGACGAATACCTGGTTTCACCGAGCACATCTTCCCCCCTCAATCTCTCCCATATCTCTCCCTCGTTGCCAATATTGGCCTCTGCCTCTTTCTCTTCATAATTGGTCTTGAAATCGACGGAAGCATAATCAAGCGTAGTGTTCGTAGATCTGTGTTCATTGCACTCTCTGCCATGGCCTTGTCCTTTGGTCTCGGTGCTGCCATCTCTGTGCCACTCTACCACAACTTCATTCCTTCTTCTGTCAAGTTTACAAACTTCATGCTTTTCACTGGCGTGTCGTTTGCCATAACCGCTTTTCCAGTTCTTTGTCGCATCCTCACCGCACTGAAGCTTCTAGACACAACGGTCGGCGTCGTCGTTCTGTCAGCTGGCGTGTGCAATGATGTAGTCGGTTGGAGTCTTCTGGCACTAGCGGTGGCCCTCGTTAATGCGACATCTGGGCTTACGGCTCTATGGATCCTGCTGACATGCGTGGCATTTATAATATTTCTCATGTGGCCGGTCAGAATCGCGCTGCTGTGGTTTGCCAGATTCACAGGAAGTACGGAAAACGGACCTACTATGTTCTTCATGACAGTTACCATCTTAATATTCTGGGCATGTTCGTTTTTTACGGACATTGTGGGCGTCAATGCTATTTTGGTGAGTGATGTTATATGATTCTGATATCCAATCCTTATCTAGGATGTAGGGGCGTTCCTGTCAGGACTAATTGTTCCCCGCGAAGGCGGTCTTGCTATTGCATTAACGGAGAAGCTCGAAGATATGGTGTCAATCATTTTTTTACCTTTGGTACGAGTATTTGAATTTGTTGCGTTCGACAAGACTAATTCGTTCGTAGTACTTCACAATCTCTGGCTTAAATACTAACCTTGGATTGCTTGACGATGGTCTGTCCTGCTAAATATGACTTACATTGATTATTTATAAAAATTTGCGGCAGGTATCACTTGGGCATTCACCATCGCAATTATATGTCTGGACTTTTCTGGAAAATTCACTGCATGTACGATCACTGCGCGGATATCCGGAATGAGTTGGCGAGAGTCAGGCACCGTCGGATCATTAATGAGTTGCAAAGGGTTAGATAACCAATTTCCTTCAAGTTAGCTACTCAATTGACATCTTCTTTAGTCTCGTCGAATTGATCGTACTCAATATCGGGCTTGCTGCCAACATTCTCACCCAAAGGGTGTTCTCGATGTTTGTCTTCGAGGCGTTGGTCCTAACGTTCATGACTACACCCCTCGTCTCTATACTTTATCCTCCCGAACGCCGGATTCGTGCGCCAGTTGGAGGTGTTTCACGGGCATCAACTGGAGATCCAGACGAAGACAAGAGCGATCGCAAGTTTTCCGTGACTGAGGATCAACCATGGCGCTCCCGCTTTACCGTTATCCTCGACAAATTTGATCACATGTCCGGAATGTTAGTGGCCACTCAACTGGTGTGCCTGCCTTCTCCTGAATCACCTTCCATCGCCGCTATCCGATCAACTGCGTCAACGAGGGCATCTGCGAAGATGAAAATGCCCGAGGTCAGCGTGGACGCTCTCCGTTTAGTTGAGTTATCGGACCGTACCTCAGACGTCATGAAGTCCTCAGCGGTTGACACCCTTATTTACACCGACCCGCTCCTGAGTGTGTTCCGCACCTTTGGGGAACTCAATGATATACCTGTTTCACTCTCGCTTTCAGTTGTACCTCATGACGACATGCCGGGCACTGTGGCTGACCACGCCAAAAGATACGGATCCCAGCTCCTCCTCCTGCCGTGGCTATCGCCATCGTCCAATACAAGTGAAGATCTGATTGGCCCGCATGGTCAAAAAATCGAATTGAATCCATTCGAAGCCTTTTTTGGCGGATCAAAACACACTGCAAAGTCCGCAGCTGTGATCCATTCACAGTTTGTGCGCAGAGTATTTGCAGAGAGCAAGACGGATGTTGCGCTCTTCATCGATCCGGTCGGTTCCGGCACTGGGAGTGCGAGGCACATATTTTTCCCATTCTTCGGCGGTCCAGATGATCGGCTTGCACTTGAGTTCGTAGTGCAGCTTTGTACTAATCCCAGAATGAGTGCGACGGTTGTTAGGATGTCAAAAAGTAGTGCTGAGAGTGCTGCGGTTGAAAGACCGTCGCTCGCTCATCTAGAGGAAAAAGCGAGTTTACATGTGCCGGATCTAGGATACCAAACATCTGTCCCTTCGGTATGTCATCTTGGTTTTCTTTCTCGCTTATATTCTGATGTATATTTTGTAGAATTTTGCTTTTCAAGACACCTTTTACGGTCAGGCCAACACGGAAATGCAGTTTCAATCTGAGACTGCCAATAATTTCGTGTGGGCGCGATATGCCAACTCTCAAATTTCAGATGAAACACCCTCCTCGTTGAGAGCTGCCCTTTCCCGAATCAAATTCTCCGAGTATTCATCGCCTTTACCGCTACATTCTGCTATCCAGCTTGCATCTGGGCATAAGCCTGTTCTGGTGGTGGTTGGGCGCTCGAGGCGCCTTGCGGGAGAGGATCACACATCAGAGCTGCGCCAGTTCCTCGAGGAGCGAGGCTGTGTGGGGCAAGATGTTATTAAGAAGACCATTGGCGATCCTGCCACTGCGTTTGTTGCCTCGGGATGTGCATCCGCTATCGTGGTTCTCCAGGCTCCGAATATTGATACTTGATGTGAGGGAATGTCCAACTTATATCTGAGATTATTGCTTCTTATCTCGGTGTATATACCACTGTACTGTGTATATGGTACTATCTAATGTCTTTCGATCTTAGTAGCAGCGGTTTAATACCACCGCATCACTACTTGTATAACAGTCGAGTTCACGGTTACCTTGGCGGATTGGTTCCCAGTCACTGTGGTGGCCCCCGTCCGCGTTGAAGTCTGAATTGAATTCAGTATGATACGATGAATTCGTTGTCCTTGATCGGCATATATAGGATGCGACCGGCGTCTGCCGGAAATATTTTTTTGCTCATTTAAGCCTATCTATTGCGCTGCTTCATGGCGCTCAGCGCTAACATTCGCTGGTCCCCACAAGTACTAGTGTTCATTTGCCATCACTCTACACACGCCAACTGTTCAGGCGTGCATTGCCTCCCAGGTGACATGACACTAGCCTACTAGGCTACGAGACGCCAATGCCACGGGCATTGGAGCCAATTTCAATTTTCCGCCCTCCATCTCACGAACGACCGGATGTGTAGTTATGGTGATTGCTATTACGATGCCTTGGCTAGCAGGTAAACGGGCCAGGATGTGCGAGGACCAGCTTCACCCAATATATTCGGTCATACCAATTATCAGGTGGCGGGAATGAATCGTTGAGTACAATTGCACTACCTGTACCGTAAACATGTCCCGAAATCAAATTCGTACTGCGGACGCCATATGGCCACGAGGCAAACTTCCCAGCCCTACACACAGAAGTTCACCCTGATTCATATCTGCCTCTTTGGCAATCTCATAGGAGACCACAGGAGGAAACATTTACCATAAGGCAGCTAGGCTACGTTGTGTTGGGGTGGCGATGGAACTCCGCTCTTGCGGTTAGTATTACAAGCGCAGACTACTCGAGGTTTCTGTCGCATCTATATTTCCTTCATGTCTATGTTCCCGGATGCTTGGATTTTTCGGATCTGGAAGAGTGAGACCGCGGGTCAGGTGAGGGTTTTCTCTGCGACACTCCGTCCATGCACAATTAACGGGCACTGCAGGCTGGAGTAGATACCACAGCATTCACTACTTCTGATCCACTGAGGCTATGGATAATCCAGATGTGTAAGCATCTCTTGTTTCAAGTGCGTCTGTAGCATTAAATCGATTGCAGGTATAATTATTATGATGGGGCAATTTCTATCACTGGGGTTAGGCAAGATCAGACAGCCAAAAGTCGTTGCTGAAATACTTGGTGGAATTCTCCTCGGTCAGGTCATTTCTCACATTGTGCTGGTAGTTTCTCATTCATTCATAGGCCCTACTGCCATGGGACAAATCCCTGGTTTCACAAAGCATTTTTTCCCCGCTCAATCCTTCCAATATCTTTCGCTAACTGCCAACATTGGCGTCTGCCTATTTTTCTTCACGGTCGGGCTTCAAATTGACGCAAATGTCATCACGCGTAATGCGCGCTCATCTCTACCCATCGCATTCTCCACCACGGCCTTGTCATTTGGTCTCGGTGCTGCCATTTCTGTGCCATTATACCACAACTTCGTTCCTCCTGTCGAGTTTACGTACTTCATGCTTTTCACTGGCCTGTCATTTTCTATCACATCTTTTGCCGTTCTTTGTCGCATCCTCACCGCATTGAGACTCCTAGATACAACGGTCGGCGTCGTTGCCCTGTCAACTGGCATGTACAACGACATAGTTTGTTGGAGTCTGTTGGCACTGTCCGTGGCTCTTGTCAATAAGACCTCCGGGATTACAGCTCTATGGATCCTGCTGGCATTCGTGGCATTCACAGTATTTCTCATGTGGCCGGTTAGAATCGCGCTGATGCGATTTGCCAAGTTCACGAGAAGTTCGGAGAACGGCTCTACGATATTCTTCATGACTATTAACGTGATCGTGTTTTGGGCATGTGCGTTTTTCACGGATATTGTAGGGATCAGTGCAATCTTTGGTGAGCGATTTGAGTTGTTGTGATGAAGTCAGTCTTATTTCGTATTTAGGTGCGTTCCTGGGGGGAGTTATTGTCCCCCGTAAAGGAACTTTTGCCATCTCGCTGACGAAGAAACTTGAAGATGTGGTGACGATTGTGTTTTTACCTCTGGTATGGGCGCTGAATTTTCCGCGATCAATATGACTCACCACTCTACAGTACTTCACGCTCTCCGGGTTGAATGCCGATCTTAGATTGCTTAATAATGGTTTGTCCTACCGATAATGACCTACACTGATCATCTGCTGATCCTTCCGGCAGGTACGACTTGGGGACTCGCCATCGCAATCATATGCCTACACTTTGCTGGAAAATTCAGTACCTGTACGATCTCCACTCGAGTTTCCGGAATGAGTTGGCGAGAGTCAAGCACTGTTGGATTGTTGATGTGTTGCAAAGGGTCGGTTGTCTGATTTCCTTTAGAATACGTGGTCCTAACGATCTTTTTTAGTCCGGTAGAATTGATCATTCTCAACATCGGACTCTCTACCGGCATTCTCACCAGAAGGGTGTTCTCGATGTTTGTCCTCGAAGCTCTGGTCCTGACTTCCATAATCACACCCTTGGTCTCCGTTCTATATAATCCTGAACGCCGGGTTCGTGCGCTATTTGAAGGCGTTTCACACGGGTCAATTGAAGACAAGGATGAAGATATAGGCGACTGCCGTCTTGCATGACTGAGGATCAACTATGGCGCTCCCGCTTCACTGTTTTCCTCGACAAATTCGATCACATGTCGAGAATTCTGGCGGCTACCACTACCGTCACCCTTTATCCCAAGTTCTCAACAAACTGATACATGTGTGAATTCCGCACTTTGGAGAGCTCAATGATATATGCATTTCAATTTCACTTTCTATCGTCCCGTATGAGGACTAGTCAAAAACTATCTCCCATCATGCGACACAATATGGATCCAAGCCCATCCTCTTACAATGGCTCCCGCCATCGTACATTTTGACTGAAGACCCGCACAATCCACACAGCACGGAGATCAAACCGAATTCATTAGAATCGGCCACGATTCACCCGCAGTTTGTACGTAGAACATTAGTAGAGAGTAATATGGATGTTGCCCTGTTCGTCGACTCGGGCAATTCTCTCGTCCTAGGAGTGCGCCGCACGTATTTTTCCCTTTTTTTGGTGGTCCGGATGATCGGCTGGCGCTTGAGTTTGTGACGCAGTTTTGGATCGATCCTGGAATTAGTGCGACGGTAGTGCGGATGTCGAAAAGTGGCGTTGAGCACGTTGCAGCTCAATGGCCGCTGATCCTATGCCCAGAGGAGGAAGACAGTGATTAAACGGAATACCATGGAATGCATATTCAATCAGTACGTTGCCTGCATGTGCTTGTCTTTTTTTTCTGATACAATTATTGTAGACTGTCATTATGCCAAGCATATCGTACAGACAAGTACGCTTCGAATTCGAGACAGTTGATACCATCCTCTGGGACCAATACATCAACTCGCGTTCCTCGTCCCATATATGTTCCTCAATTCATGCTGCCCTGTCCTGTATCACATTCTCCGAGCATTGGTCATCGATGTCGCTCTATTCCGCTGTCTGAAGGTATCTATGCGCCAACCTGTTTTGGTTGTTGTTGGGCGCTCACATCTCCTCGAATCGGACGATCTCACGCAAGAGCTACTGAAGGAGCTGGGTAATACGTGGCACGACGATGATACGAACACTATAGGGAATACTGCAACTGCCTTTGTTGTCTCTGGTTGTGCTGCAGGCTGCCAATGTTGGCACTGACTGACATGGCCGGACGTCCAACTGGTGTGATACTTACTAGCGTTCTAGATACCCACAACACCGTCAAAAGAGCACGCGGCAGTCATACTGTAGATCACATGTGGACTGGTTGCGGATGCTTGATATTTTAGATCATCGACACGTAAAATTTTATGACTAGCAAATTTTGAAGTTGTTACCTAGTTTCATGTTAGTTTAAATTTCAAATATTTTCTTCACATTTTGTATAACATTTGAACCTATCCTAAATATCGATAACCCCGATGTGCATGAGTCTACTTTGATCATGGAGCTTCCTTTTTTACTTGATTTCGCACCGTACTTAGTGCTGATGCACCGCCAGCATGCAACCATGCAACCATGAACTCCGATTTAAGTATGAGCGCAGCTGAGCGCTGAGCACTGGACGGTGGTATATCAAGATTCAAGCACGAACGTCACCACAAACATTCCCTATTCGCTCACAGTCACCCCTCAAATATGACCATAGTTTTAAATGGTCCCAGTTATTGGCCGATAATCAAATCAGATATTGTTTTCAACTATTGGACGGGTCAGTCTCGTCAACATGCCTAGATCCAACATTGACTTACAGTTTCACAGTCGCCGCTGGTGTTGTGGTGGTATACGATTGGGGTGAGCAGAACAGCGTTCAAAAACCGTGACTGCTGAGAATATTCCAACATTTCCAGTACTAACGCTTGGACAAGAGGTAGGTCGTTGTTATCGCTGGATGTAAACTCGCTAAAAGAAGTGACATAGATTGAACTGATCTGGGTGAGTGACAGAGTCCCTTATGAGAAGCAAAACAGGAGAATAAAATGAATTTGCGACAGAGACAACGCTGGTCTCTGATTACTGTGCTGTATTTGGTTGTTCGTACCACCTCATGTTGCGCTATAACGTGGTCGACAAGTTATGCTGACTCCAGAATGTTCTAGATACGTTATAATGGAATACCATTTTCTGTGTATGTGTCGAGGATAACAACTTGGCATCTTGCTAATAGTTCATCTCTGACAATTAGTATCTATGTTTTGGGTATGTCTCATATGCCCTGTGTTTGATCTTCTGACCGAAGGCACAGTATCTGCTCCATTCATCTCGCTGACAACTGCAGTGAGTATCATACAACCATTTCATTCCCATCCAAACAATATCTTATTTGTAGGGGTGGGTGAGATCCTGAATATTGAACTCGGCTCAAAATAATCACTCGATAGGTGTAAGTTGGAGTGTTTAATACTAATCCTGGAGAGAATGATCACTAATTGGGTGTTTCAGGCAATATTATGCACGATGCACTGAATTGGACAAGTGTGATCGTACCTTCCATGTTGGGCGGTGGGTTGCCCAGCTGCAATACATCTGTGACATTGATTTAACTCAAACATGATACAAGTCGTCTTGATTGTTCGCTTGCATGCCATGTACCAGGGATCTAGAATGATATTCATCTTCCTTGTTATTACCTTTCTGGCTATTATCATTGCCTGCGGAGTAATCGAGGTCATAGCAGTCAAGGATATCGTATGGGGTGAGCTTTACTCGTTGACTTGAAGAACGCAGCTCATTGGACAATCACCAGAGGAGTGGATAATCTCGGGCACATTTATCTGCAGTTCTACATATGATGAGGATGTCCAGCTACTGTCTGCAATGGTTTGGATGCTTTACACCGTTTGGGAGGTCCTCGCGCTATGTCTTGCGGTCTGGGTTGCCGTGAAACAGTTCCATGACCTGCGACAATTCCGCCGATCGACAGAATCGACCGTTGGGGACTGTTTTAGAGTGCTGATAAAATCTCACGTGCTTTATTTCGCAAGGTGAGCTGGTGATGTGAATGTGATTATCTTTTCTCAAGCTCCGCATGTGCTAGCTTTGCTTGTGTCACTGGCCTCGAGTTTGCTAGTTACTCTCCAGGCTTTTCGGTGCGCCGATCTTTTCCTGATATCTGCTTGTTACCATTGCTCATCATGTCTTTAGAATTTAAATTCTGTTGGAGCTCAGATACTCATCGGTACTTTTCGAATTTCATTTAGCGTGCAGATGTTTGTGCTAGGACCACGCCTCATCCTTAGCATTCGAGAATGTCATGCTAATCTCGTGGCTGACCGCGACACAGACACTAGCATGACTTCGATTGTCTTCCAGGAGCATGTACATGTACCAACTAACAGTACCGTGTAGTGACATACTCCTTGCTCAGCAGACCTTATCTCCTTGCGATGCTCATTGGTGGCAGTCGAACCATGAGTCTGCGCCGCGCGATTCATTCGTTTTCCTTCTCCATGGCTCTGATGGATCAAAACGAATCTCAGCCTCGTACTAATGGGCTATCAACTATCTGGACTTCGTGCATCATCCTTCATCGCTCCTTCATCATCTGTGCTCGGACAGCAAAATTCTACAAACACGTAGAGTCAGTTTATGCTGATTATCGTATTTCGGCTTGCCACTTGGTACAAGTGTGGGCTGGCAGTTCACTAAGTTCCAGTAGCGATGCAACAAGAAATGGGATTGTCTACATAATCCAAAACTTAAATATACCTCGAAACACCATATAGATACCACGACGGATCCTCGACCAAATATCTCCTCCCTGCAGACCACTCGGAAAAGATGTCCCTATACAGTACTGCTAGTTGATATATGCACATGCTCCTGAAAGACAATCGAATTCAAGCTATGTTCTGCGTCGGAGTCTGCCACGAGTTTGGCGTGGTATTCCCGAACGCTGAGAAAATGAGGCGTGGTCCCAGCACAAACATCTGCACTAACGATAAAATTTGGATTCTACAGAACAATGAGCAGTGGCTACATGCGACAGGTTGGCTCACCATATTCTAAAAGAACTCGATGATTTGCTTTGCGTGAAATCAAATTTCAAATTCGACCATTTGGTTACCGGGATTGCACCGCCACGGGCCCCGTCGGGCCCGGGCCCTTTCGGCATTCGTGCCTCTTGGTTACTACCCCAACTATAGCTTTCATGACAGAGCGCGCTGATACCCTCCATGTATCAAGAGCAGACGTCTGGTACCTCAAGGAAATCGCGTTTGGAAGCACGGAAACAAAGCGAAGATTAAAGATCATAACACAGAATTTCAATGGGTGCGTGTCTTGTAATATTGTGGTGCTGCGGCATGTGCTTCAGGGTCCACATACTCATCACACTGTACCATACTTATTGTCGCTTGACAGACCATGTTCGTTCATTGCTATTTGTGAGTGTTGCTCATGCTCTGACAGAGGGTCGACGCTGAGGTAGTGCACTGATGTGTAGGCAATATCCTGATACTGCGAGGACAGATCGAGATCCTACCGTATGAACGGGGAACGGTGTCGTATGAGTTCCTTGCGCAGCTCGTAGGAGAGTATCTCCTCATGAGCTGTCCGGATATTGATGTATCTGCTGCCCTCTCGATCATGCCCAGCACCACCAGTTCGTACCACTTCCTTCTAAACAATAATTAGTGAAACTAATGTGATATTAGAGGGCCTCGACCTCAACCCTGTCTTCACAGGCGCCACGTCGTTTCGACCTGCAGGGGAGGGTGGGGAGTTGAAGTTGTTCGAGCAGGCAGGGATAGAGCTCGTGCATGGGTGGCTTGTAGACCCTGACAGCGAGGAGTTCAGGGTGTTGCAGCATGTGCGTGATTATGATACTGCTGTCACACTCATTGCGGATGCGGATCATATCACGAGTGGACGGTTGTTGAGTGGGGATGTCTGGGGTGAAGGAGAAGTAGGAGGTAGTCAAGCGGGGAGCGGGCCGAGTGGTTATGCGGGCCCGAGTAGTGCTAGTGATAATTATTCAGAGCAAGATAGAGAGAAGATCGAACACGGTATGGTTTAATTTGTTATGCGAGATTTATTGCTGATAAGTTTATTAGCGCTGGTGACACAAGCGTTCTTGGATAGTACCAAGTCTCAATTGACATATCATGGGCTGTTTCAGCTTGCATCGACATTGAAACCTGGGTCGCTCGTTGCACTGTTCCGAAATTCGCACCTTTCCGTGCTGCATAAACGAGAAGGAGAGGACTCGTCACTTTACAGTTTGGTTACGGATCATGTATTTCTGCAAGAGCCGTCGGTGGTATGGGAGCGTTTAGAAGATGTCGACGGAGTTGGGTCGACGTTTGTGGACTCGGAATTTGTTCGTTCGACACCTGTGGGGGGCGATTTCGCTGGACACACGGCGGAAAGCGCATTGCATGCCTTAGAGATGGAAGGAAACCCAGAGTAAGATTTATGTGATCGTTTCCAAGATGAATTGCTGAGATACGAGTTGTACAGTGTGATATTAGCACGACAACTACAAGCGGAAGAAGACGCGCGGTCTCATGAGATATATAAGCGGAGGCAGCAACAGCAGGAGATTCGGCAGAAGGAGGAGGAGGAACGGAAACGGAAGAACGAGGATAGTGCTAGTAGGAAAAGCAAGAAGACGAAGGACAAGTGCATTATAATGTAAAATGCTATACCCAATAATTTTATATATATTACCATGTCATATCTGCGTCGGGTTGCGTGTGAGCGAAACTTGATTGCAACCAATAGATTGGATTATAATCATCAAAATCATGATGTGGAATGGGAAACAATGCCACAAGGACAACAATTACAAACAAGGAACGTCTCAGTCATCGTACGCCTCAACCACAAACCCCATCTTTACATTCCTTCCTTTCTATCCCTCGAGCTCATCGCCGAACACAGCGGACACGAACAGAGTATTCATCACTTGTTCCGATTAATCGCTTGTAACAACACTTACGATAACACTCGTCGTCGTCGACTCGTACGTCATGCGCGAATCAAATCATGCTTTTCCCGCACAGAATAGAGCCTGTGTCTGTATCACCTCCCAATGCTACGATAGACGAGGTTGGTTCAGCTCAATTATTTATGATTTTTCAAGTCTAAGTTGATTTCAGGTCTCGATACATCTTCGCCACTCCCACTATTCACCTCCTTACACCATCTTACATATCTAACTTCAACTTCAGCTCGAATACGCGAGATTATGACAATGGACGGCGCAATCGAACGTCTCATGCGCATTCTTTATGATTACTGCTTGTGTCCTCCTCCACCAGAGAACCCTGGTTACATCTACGGTCTTTCTCCTCCAAACTCACGCCCCCCAAAGCTCATCCCAACAATCAACCCTGCAAGTTATGACAAGCACGCCGCCTATCGATTTAGCTTGGCTCTTCAGAGTATCGTTAACATCGGTATAAGGGGCAGCGAGCCGATCCGGAGTCGCATCGTCCAGGCTGGTGCCCTCGAAGTAGTCGGTTGTATTCTCGAGTCATGGTTAGCTCATAAAGGATTTGCCATCGGTCCCAGCTCAAGCGCATCCGGTTTACCTCGTGAATCTCGCGAGCATCGCCTCGCCCGTCGTGCCGCACTTCAGGAACAAAGACAGCGAGAAGAAGCAACCCAGCTCCACCGCGCACTCCAACGCCAAATCGCCGCCGATGCCGCTAACCGCACGGACTTCCGTGTCGATCTAAATCAAGATGTCGGTCTTTGTGTTCCATATCATCTCATTGCTGATCCTTTTTTAGGATACAACAATGGCGGATATCAGCACCGAACCTTCCTATTCGAATGTTTCTGTGCATCTGGACCAAACACCTGCCCCCGTCCAAGTACAAGTGGCTGCGCGCGAACGACCTTATTATACACGACACTCGTCATCATCATCTCATGAGGCAGATACATCTGCTGAAACATCTATTAATCCTACACCTCAAGGTACAGATACACCCACCGTAACTGTCCTGGTCAATGCTCGTGAGCGCAGTGGCACCATAATTGCTCGCCGTGTTTGGGATGATCCTGTAATCGCACCTACCACAACACGTGCAAGGGCTCATCGTGTCCGCCCTACCACCACATCACCTGACGAATCCACTGACAACTCAAGAACTGAGACAGAAACTGAGGATGATGGTGACGCAGACATCGATATGTCGCAGGACACTGATGACGGTGCAGCTCCCCCTGTATTGGCACCCCGTGTACGCCAGCCTGCACGATCGATCACTCTCACTCAGCGTCCACGCCGTGCTGTGGGTATAGTCTCAGATGTAGTCCCAGGACCTGCACCTCTCCAGGTAAATGCGGACGCGCATATTATCATTCACCATGAGCAGGGTGGAGATGGAATGGCAGTGGGTGTGGAGGACGGTATTGTATCATTGGAGCCGAATGATGATTTTGCGATGGGTGCGCCTCCTGGTGCACCAGGAGCCATGGATGAGACAATTCCTGCGCGAGGTCTCCGTGGAGTTGATATTCCTTTGGCTGATCGGAGAGTTCGCACTGCCCCAGATGCAACGCCCCGTGCCACGGCTGTTCCCCTTCCCGCGGCTCCTATTTTACCGAATATTTCGCATAGCGAAGAACCTGCCCGCGAGGGTGCAGCTGCAAATCGTGGCGAGCACCCTACCCCGACTGCCACCATACACACAATGCGCACTCCCAGCCATCACCACCAGCACCGCGATCCCGACCAAGGTCCATTCAGGAACGAAGACGTGCTTTTTAGTCTCCAGCTGCTCGCTTATCTCAGCAAATATCCGCATGTGCGACAGGCATTTTATAAGCAACGCCCATCATTCCATCCTGCGGCTTCTAACCTTAGTCCTCGTCCTCAACAGCAACCTATCGCTGGACCCAGTGGGACGCGGAATATTTCCGCTCCTGTCACCGCCCTTCCACCTACGCCACCAGCGAAAGAACAATATGGATTCTTCCGTGCACTTGCATCTGCTACTGCACGGGGCAAGGAGAAGGAGAAAGCGCCGCTTACCACTCCGGTGCAGCCCCAACGTATGACGAATGTATTTTCTCTCGTAGAGCGGTTTACTTTCCGACCCAGCATGACAGAGAGCGAGCTGCCCAGCCCACCACCAAAGCTTCCTCCCGAAATATCCTACTGGGCGGGTGTGATCATGCGAAATGCATGTCGGAAGGACGATAGTCGGGGCGGAATACGGCAATGTGCAAACAGTGAGTAATATGTTTCCTACCAGTGAATTGATATTAAGTGAGTATAGTGCTGTGTGGGCGCTGGGAGACCTATCCGCGAGAGTTTGCAAAATGTAGACGATGCCGAAAAGCGAAATATTGTGGCAAGGAGTGTCAGAGCATGGCATGGAGCGAAGGGCACAGGTTCTGGTGTAGTGTGAAGGAGGGAGATGAAGCTGAGGAACCTACGGAGCAACAACACGGTACGGACCATGGTCATGGGGAGGATGATGGAGAGACGCCTGCATCTGTCGCTGCTGCTGAAGCTGCTCAGGCGCGCGCGGAGCGAAGAGCAGAGAGGGAACGACAATTGCGGGAGCGCGAACGGATTGTAGGAACGATTGCTGCTAATCATATCGTTCAGCAACATATGTTGCACCCGCCCGTGAATCCTCCACCTGTCGCGGCCCAATTGACTGTGCGACCTCGCGGTGCTGTTCTTCCTCCTACCAATCAGCCTCAGCCTGTTATTCCTCCACCACGACGAGGGAGTCCATCGGGACCTGGATTTGGAACGATAACGAATCGAAGGAGGGCAGAGACTGTCTCTGGCGCTATGGATACGGGTATGCTTAGGGAGACAAGGATGATGCTTTCTGGGTGGCAACCGCCTCTGAGGAGACGTGGTGGGGAGGTCCGGGAGGATGGGGGGCGTGGGCAGGAGACGTGGGATTTGACGCCTCCTGGTGGTGATGATATGGTTCTGGGGTGAAGGGCACGATGCTCGGCTCATAGATGCTTTCACGTGTACATTTACGTGTGCACACAAGCACGTTACCCCCCTCCTACGCATGCGCACCCTACAACGCGCAACCCTGCCTACAACGCGCATTACTCCGTATAACTGCCCGTCTTTCTTTCATTAGTGCATCCATATATACATAGTACATACATACCTGCATTACGAGCAAGTACTACCAACGTACGACTATTATATTTTTTTCTGCCTGGCATTGCAATTGTAGTAGATTTACATCTCATCAAATCATAATTTATTAATGGGAGGTGAAAGGTGTTTGAGCTATAGGGTGTGTTTGAATTTCACGAGATAGACTTGAAAAAATTGTTGTTTCTGGTATTTTCGGCGAAGTTCCAAGACGCGTCGCGTCCATGAGACCACGTGGCTGGTGAGAAGATGTTTGCCTGGACCAAATAAAACGGCCGAAAAATCGGCAAAGTTCTGTGTGCACAACTTTTTCTTTAGCTTTGCCCACCCGCTTCGTCTCCAGCTTTCTACTTCAAACCATGGTGAGTGAACGCGAGATGATCGATGCGAGTCTACGCGAATGCTGACGGTCGACGTGTCCCAGGCTGCTCAAGCAACGTTCAAAACCATTAAAGCTGTCGTTCCTCTGCTCGACCGTGTGTTGGTCCAGCGATTCAAACCTGACACTGTACGTATTAAAAAATCATGACGTGTTTTATACATCATTCTGACGCGGTGTGGTGGAGCAGAAAACAGCTTCTGGGATATTCTTACCCTCATCTTCGACCACTACGCCCTTACCCGAAGCGACTGTGATTGCCGTAGGTCCTGGAGCGCCTAATAAGAATGGGAATATCGTTCCTACTCAGGTTAAGGCTGGCGACCGGGTGTTACTTCCTGGTTGGGGAGGGAATTCGATCAAAGTAGGGGATGAAGTCGGTTTTTATTCTGATGGATTGGTGTTGTTCTTGCTAACTGTGTGTTTGTAGGAATACTTTTTGTTCAAGGATTCGGAGATCCTTGCGAAGATTCAGGAGTGAAAGGATATCATGGCCGAGGCGTTTGCTCCGAGTTAAGCATCATCTTATACGTTAATTTTTTTATATGGTTTTGTTTTCACGCACTATCGCAATATATCTGCATCGGTATCCCCGCTCAATCTTAGTATGAGATCATTGTAAAATGTGGCAAAGGTGAGTTTTGCGGTGATAGATGTGATAGGTGGGGTTTGGGGACTTTCCTGTAGGGACGATAGGCACCCTTAATGCATGCCCTTCCGTACGTATATTCAATTAAGGTTACACACGTGGTACCAGCGTGAGGAATGTAATTGTATGTCATCGCCGGCCGCGAGTCAGTGTAGACTTGTTTAAAAGACTAGGTAATAAGATTCTCGACCGAGACCCGAATGATTAATGCTTGCACGATGCCATGCCTGGCACCTGCCGAATCAAGGTTTTCGCAAAGTGGGCGGCATTTGTGATAAACACGCTCCAGGCTGTTCCGAATGCTTCGCGGCGATGCGACCTAGTATAAAACCCAAATGTCCCTGGCTGGGTACCACCGTTAGGCTCTTGCATTCCCGTCCCTCCCCTGCACCGTTCATTTTAACAGGGAATCACGAAAAGTAATGTCCAAGGAGTTGAACCTGGCCTCTCCTTCTGGCAAGGAACTCAGGCTTGCCCGTTCACTAAGTAACATCGAGACGGCAAAGGACCATGGCGTCCAACGCAGTCTTATGCGCTCCGTTTTTATTGTTATCACTTGTACCACCGCGATGCTCATTAATGTAAGTGTCCTTACCTTCGCTCGCTGATCCTTTGTAACATTTTTTCACTGTAGACATATAATACCACCTCTGTCTGTATCTCCCTTCCTACAATTGAGAAGGATCTAGCTATCGAAGATGATCAGCTTCAATGGCTCGTATCCGCCTATTCTCTCAGTTCTGTGCGTTGCTACTTCTATTTGTCTTTCTTCACAACTTGAAGGTAACTTACCTCGTGTCAGGGTTGCCTTCTCTTGTTCTTCGGCAGATTGGCAGACCTTTATGGACGAAAAAGGGCGTTTATATGCGGTATTCTTTGCCAGGCTGCCTTTTCTCTTGGTTGTGGCTTCGCACAAGGTTGGCATGCCTTTCAAATCATCGCGCGTGCTCTGTCCACTCACAATGTAATCACAGATCCTCTCACTCTCGCCGTCTTGCGTGGCTTCCAAGGCATTGGAAGCGCAGCTATAATACCATCCGCAGTAAGTTCTCCTCAGATGTTTTTGATGGACAGTTACTCACTCACTTTCTCAGCTCGGTATTCTAGCGCACGCGTTTCCACAGTCAAAAGCACGTTCAATAGCATTCGCTACCTTTGCAGCGGGTGCTCCTGTCGGTGGCGCATTTGGCATGCTCATGGGCGGTGTCCTGACTCAACTAACCTCGTGCGTCATGATTGCCGATACATGTTGTATGTTCTACATCTCACAATGTCACCCAGGACGCATTGGCGCTCTATATTTTATACGGCTGCAGCGACTTCAGCTCTCACTGCGGTTTCCGGTCTCATTTCATTCGATGCTGATGTCCCATCGGAAGAACTTGTCAAACGTATCGACTGGATCGGCGCTTCGCTTATCACAATTGGATTGATTTTGATTATATTCGTACTCGGTCAAGGAGAAATCGCTTCGGATGGCTGGAAGACCCCATGTAAGCATCTTGTCATGCCACGCCGATCATGGGCTAAAATCGTCGACAGATATCATTGCCTTCCTTATCATCGGGATCATCATGGTTGCGCTATTCCTGGTTTGGGAGTGGAGGCTGGAACGAATCCTCGACGAGAATCCATCAAGAGCGACATCTATGTGGACACCGCCACCGCTTATGAGCCTCTCGCTCTGGACTAGAGCAAAGGGTCGAATGGCTGTCATTCTTGTTATTGCATTGTTAAATTGGAGTGCTTTCACTGGCTGGAGCTTCTGGGTACAGGTATGTTCATGTCTCGCTGCCCATGATAACGATATAGCTGACTCCGCTCTAGCTGTATTATCAAAACTACCTGTTCCTGACACCAGTCGAAACCATGGTCCGATTCATTCCCATGTGTATTGTCGGCTGTTTATGCACCTTTTTCGTGGCTATGGTCGCTGCTAAACTGCCCTTGGTTATCTTTATAGGCACGTGTGTTTGTGTGTGATATTAACATGTGAAACTGACTCAGAGTTCAGTCAGCGGATTGTTATTGACAGCGACTGCTGCCATCCTATTTGCCCTGATCGACCCGTTTGTAACATATTGGGCCTTCTGTTTCCCATCCACAGTTCTTATCGTGTTCGGTGTTGACTTTGTATACACCGCTGGTACAATTTTCGTGGCCAAAACCTCGCACCCACACGAACAAAGCGTGGCCGGAGCGTTATTCCAAACTATGACACAGGCAAGTAGCGTGAAGTGGCTAAAGCTGTGCTATGCTAAACTGACATGTTTTGATCAGATCGGCACCGCATTCGGTTTAACTATATCCACGATCGTGTTCAACACCGTGGTCGATAACGAATCTGCCAAGTTGGGCGTCACCGTAAACGCTAACACCCACGCTCCCATGTCCGCACAACTCGTGGGGTATAAAGATGCGCAATGGACCTCTGCTGCATTTGCCTTGATGGGTGAGTACTGCGAAATTGTCGAGAGCTTATCATTGACGGTTACCGTAATTACAGGTGCGCTGCTGGCAGCGCTTTTCCTTCACAGTGTAGGTATTGTCGGACACGAGAAGGTTATCAGACATGTTGATTCTGACGAGACCATGGCTGTCCGGCCTGAGTCTAACGGCACCGCTATAGCCAAATGAACAAAACATCGATATCCCATACCAGTCGACATACGCTACTCATGCCATCACGAACTCGTTTATGCCCCCTCAATCACACTCACCATAGGACCAAGATCAACACACCATCGCATTCAATCTACGAATTTAACGTTTTTAACTCTTATGTAGATCATAATCGCTGTACACGCACATCCCTTTCGTTTTCACTCTTTGGCATTGCTTCTGTCGTTTCTTTTATCTGCAGAACATTACCTTTTGTTAGTACTTTATGGGGCATGTTGTATAGTGGTCCCCGACTCCACTTTTGTAGGAAATAAATGTCATGCTGTCTGTCATTTCATGCATGGAGAATGGTTTCTGATCACCTTTCTAATAAAGTCAAGTGGGACAGACTATGAACGTCTACGTCTGCTTACTCTCTTACTATCTCTGCTACTGTATATAGAGTTACGACCATAGCTTCGCGCCCTTTTGGGTGTGACCATGTTCTCTTAGCTTCACCCCTACAACCCAACTCATTTGGGTACACATGCTCGACACAGTGGTGGGAAGGTGGGTAAATACCTTGACCCATCTCCGAGCGACCCCTTTATATGGCCATATTTCACGTAACCGGTCTCCATAAGGAGTCAATGGATTAGGGCAAGGCCTCTTGCGAAATCCAACCTTCCGACTCAATACTCTATTTGCTCTGCCTGGGCTTCTTCAGTTTTAACATCATCATGGGAACACTAGTGGCTCTTCACTATGCGACCGTCGGTCGGCACTGGCACAAATTTTCAAACTCCGTGCATCGCATCCTATTAGCTATGCCACTCCGAGTCTTCTAGTGTGACTCTGACTGCTTCGCCCAAACATCTATGCGCACCGCACACGCCTATTTGATCTTTCAATTTCCTTTCGCTCCCTCGCTAGGCCTCTCTGCGACGTATTGCATATCAAACTCCACACATGGAAACAAGCACGGCGTCTATAAAACCCCTCGACCTAGCCTCGACTGAGACATGATGATTAATATACTTGCGTGATGTTTTTTAGTAGTATGATGCGTTCGTGCCGGACGACTGCTGCCTAATCAAGGCTTTTCTTAGCTCTTGCGATAAACAAGCTTAGTAGTATTCTGCGGCGATGCGACTTATAAAATCAAGAATGCATACCATCCTTATCCTCTTGCATTCCCGTTCCTCCCTCACAGTTCATTTTAACAGGGAATCACGAAAAAGTAATGTCCAAAGAGTTTAACCTCGACTCTCCTTCTGGCAAGGAATTTAGCCGTTCACTAAGTAACGTCGAGACCGCAAAGAGCCATGGCGTCCAACGCAGTCGTTTGCGCTCCATTTTCATAGTCATCACTTGCACCGCCGCAATGGTCGTCAATGTAAGTGACCATCATACACTTCACCCACTGATCTTTTATGACATCATCTTCACTCTAGATATCTAATACCACCTCTGTCTCCATCTCGCTCCCTACAATCGAGAAGGACTTAGTAATCGAGGAAGAGCAACTTCAGTGGCTCGTATCCGCCTATTCCCTCAGTTCTGTGCGTCGCTGCTTCTATTTTATCCATCTTATCATGGCGGCTCACCTCGTGTTAGGGTTGCCTTCTTTTGTTCTTTGGCAGATTGGCGGATCTTTACGGACGAAAAAGGGCGTTTATGCTTGGTACTCTTTGCCAGGTTGCCTTTTCTCTTGGTTGTGGCTTTGCACAAGGTCGGTGTGCCTTTTAAATGTTCGCATGCTCCGTTCACTCACAATGTCGCAGATGGTCTCACTCTCGCCGTCTTGCGTGGCTTCCAAGGCGTTGGTGGCGCTGCTACAATACCATCCGCAGTAAGTTTTTTGAAATGCTTTTGATGCAAAAGTACTTATTCATTTCCGCAGCTCGGTATCTTAGCGCATGCCTTCCCTCCATCAAGAGCGCGTTCAACGGCATTCGCTACCTTTGCAGCAGGTGCTCCCGTCGGGGGCGCATTTGGCATGCTTATCGGCGGTGTCCTGACTCAACTGACCTCGTGCGTTATGATTACTGATACATGTTGTATGCTTCACATCTCACGCTGTCACACAGGACGCATTGGCGCTCTGTATTTTATATGGCTGCAGCGACTTCAGCTCTCATTGGAGTTTCCGGTCTCATTTCATTCGATGCTGACATTCCATCGGCGGAACTTGTCAAACGTGTTGACTGGATCGGCGCTTCGCTTATCACAATTGGATTGGTTTTGATTGTATTCGTACTCGGTCAAGGAGAAATTGCTTCGGATGGCTGGAAAACCCCATGTAAGAATCTCATCCTGCCACACCGATCATTGACTAACATCTTCGACAGATATCATCGCGCTCCTTATCCTTGGGGTTATCATGGTTGCACTATTCCTGGTTTGGGAGTGGAGGCTAGAACGAATCCTCGACGAGGATCCATCAAGAGCGACATCCATGTGGACACCGCCGCCGCTTATGAAGCTCTCGCTCTGGGCTAGGGCAAGAGGTCGCATGGCTGTCATTCTTGTTATCGCATTCCTCAATTGGAGTGCTTTCATTGGCTGGAGCTTCTGGGTGCAGGTATGTTCACGTTCCGCTGCCTCAGGAGAACGGTATCGCTGACTGTGTTTTAGTTGTATTATCAAAACTACCTGTTGTTATCACCGGTCAAAACTATGATCCGATTCATTCCCATGTTTATCGTTGGCTGTTTATGCAACTTTTTCGTGGCAATGGTCGTCGCAAGACTGCCCATAGTTATTTTTGTAGGCAAGTGTCTACGTTTGGAAGATTAACATGTGAAACTGACTCGTGGTTCAGTCACCGGATCGCTTTTGACGGCAACCGCCGCCATGCTATTTGCCCTGATCGACCCATCTGTGACATACTGGGCCTTCTCTTTCCCATCCACAATTCTCATCGTGTTCGGCGCCGACTTTGTGTACTCCTCTGGTACGATCTTCATCGCCAAAACCTCACTCCCACACGAACACAGCACGGCCGGCGCACTATTCCAGACTATGACACAGGCAAGTTCCGTTAAGCAACTAACGCTGTGTTATGCTAAACTAACATGTTTCGGTTAGATCGGTACCGCATTCGGTCTAACTATATCCACCATAGTGTTCAACACCGCGGTCGATAGCGAGTCTGCCAAATTGGGCGTCACCGTCAACGCTAGTGGCACCAACGCCCCCATGTCCGCGCAACTCGTGGGATATAAAGATGCGCAATGGACCTCCGTTGCATTTGCCTTGATGGGTGAGTAATGCGAAATTGTCTTATTTTGAGAGCGTATCATTGACAGTTACCGTAATTATAGGTGCGCTACTGGGAGCGCTTTTCCTCTACAGTGTTGGTATCGTCGGACACCAGAGGGTTATTAGACATGTTGATTCTGATGAGACTATGGCTGCTCGGCATGAATCTATCGACGACGAGATACCTCCTAGGCCCAATTAAGCAATATATCCATATCCTATCCTATCGGGAGCGACAAACATTACTCATGCCACCACGTTTCATATGCCTCCCTTTGCATTTGTTCAACCGCACGCACCTCACCATTCCACATTCCACACTTTTACCATGAATCATCTCGATAATAGATACCGCGCTCGTGCACGCCGTCGTTTTGATTCTTTGGCATTGCATGTTTTCGTTTCTGTCTTACGTGTTTCAGCAGGAACTCTAAGTCCAAATTCAACTTTATTATTAATGGTCTCTATGTGAATAATTATTGTACCTACGCATCCCTTTCGTTTGACTCTAGCATTGCATGTTTTCGTTTTCGTTGTTTCTCTAAGTGTAGAACATTACCCTCCGTTGGTACTTTCACGCGGCATGTAATAAATTATGCGAAAGTTTGGCTGTTCTAGCTTCAGTTTTCCATGCGACCACTTGAAGCTGCGTTGACAAGGATAATTTCAGCCATGCACAAAATTTTTGAAGACACGAGAATAAGGATGCGTGGCATTCAGGGGTAATAGGGATAAGACATCATGTCAGTCAAATGCCAGGGGTGTAATCATTGGTCGTGCCACTACAGCGCATGTACTGTTCTAGGGAACTTTTGCCAAGTAGCATGATTAACTCTCTTAGTCTCTACTTTCTACAGGTTATGAGCCCTGGCTTAACCTAAAGCCAGACACAGAAACTTTGAACACACTCAGGTGCTGCTCGCCAGTCTCATCTTATTCCTTTCCACGACGGTATTGTCATGGGAAAACATGATCATATTCCTGAGCTGCTTGGAGTGGAAAATTATGTTGGTTGGGCCACCAAAATGCAATATGCACTCACCTGTGAAGATCTTTGGTGCCACATCAACATGAAGGACAAACCAGGAAATCTTTTCAGGCAACCTTCAATTATGCCTGTGCCTGTTGATCCTGTCAACCCCACAGCCGCCAAGACAACAGAAATGCGTGAATGGTTACCCCAGGACATGAAGGCTAAGGAACTCATTACTTGATGACTCAGTTCTCCGGTAGCATCACTCATTCCCTGTTCGCACACTGTTATAGCACACAAGGCATGGCAAATCTTGCAAGAACATTTCAATCATACTGACATGAGCGCCCAGTATCTTCTTTGCCAACAAGTACAAGCACTCCATATGAAAGACTCTGCAGACACCACAAATTACATTGTGCAACACACTGTTTTCCACAAATGTCTACTTGATGTGGGTGCTCCCTGGGGAGAAACTGACACAATCTACCATATGCTAATGGGCCTTCCTCACATGCCTATTTGGCAGCAGTTTAAGTCCTTACTCGAGCAATGTATGCACAATGAGTCCATGGCCACTGCATCCGCCACTGCTACCAACCCTGTTGTACGCACTTTTACCTTTGAAAGTTGTGTGTCTCGCATCATGTCTGAAGCTGCAAGACATGTTGTAACACAACACACTTATTCCTCTCATCCTGGTTCTGAGTACGCTAATGCTCCTACCACCTCCACTGCGAGTGGTACCAACTCCATGACTGGGCTGTGTATGCACCAGCACAACCCACAAAGTATATTCTGCACTATGCCAGGATGTAACAAAGGCGATCATGATCATGCCCACTGTTATGGAAAGGGTGGAGGGATGGAAGAGTAAGCACCATGGATGAGGAACAGGAAGAAAGAAATGGCTGTTGCAGCAGCCATGACACCATCCATTTCCTCGTCTGTTCCAGTCATACCTGCTTCTGTCATTGCAGCAGTTGTGGCTGATCTCAGCAGCCTGATGGAAAACTTATCCTTTGCCTCCATTGTGGAGGATGAAGTGTTGTGTGCTGTCAACCTGCCGTTCACTACAATCTTGGACTCTGGTACCACCGTCAGCATCATCAAAGATCAAAGCTTCTTCCACACATACTCCACAGTAGACCCTGTGTCAGTATACAACACTAATCATGGCATCCTGCAGATGACTGGTCATGGTAATCGCATGGTGTGGCTTATGATTGGTGGACAGCGGATTTGTATATGCTTGTCTAACTGCCTCCATGCACCTGATGCTCTCCTCAATCTCCTGTCCATCAGTTGTATGAATGCTAAAGGGTGGGACATGAGTTTCCGATGTGACATGACCTGTGAACTTGCATACAAAGGCATTTCTCTAGGAGCTATCCCCACCACTGGCAAGCTTTATGCACCAGACATTGAATTTATTTCTCCTGCTGAGCTGTCCCCTCATCACCATGTCAACTTGAAGTTTCTGCATTCACACACGTCCCGCTCACACTAGACCTTTGGCATGCACATATTGGCCACATTGGAAAGGAAGCTGTTCTTCGACTCAATCGTGTAGCTAGAGGTGTCATGGTGGAGTCAACCACCCCCCTCTCACACTGTAAATCATGCATCTTAGCTAAACATCCTCGTCAGCTGTTTCATACATCTGAGACCACATGTGCCTCTCACTTCCTTGACCTCATTCATGTTGACATCTGTGGTCTCATTTGGGTTTCCTCCATTGCAAAGCCAACTATGCCATATTCATTTTTGACCATGTCAACAATGAGGGGGTGAGGGTGATCTGTGTGATCATGTGGCATGTTGATGATGGTCTTGCAGGTTCCAACAACCAGATGTTCCTTGACCAAACAAAAGCACAGATAGCTGAGCGCTTTGGCATAATGGACCTAGGAGCAGTCACTAATTATCTTGGTGTGCAGTTTGTTCGGGATCGTGGTACACATGAGCTTTGGATACACCAGGAGGACTACATCACGTACCTCCTGGATAAGCATGGAATGACAGGATGTAATCCAGTCTCTCTGCTAATGGACCCTACCTTTCCTTTTGGCCACCCAACAGATGTCCACCCCCATGTTGACAACCTTCAGACAGAATACCAAAAACTTGTTGGGGAGCTCCTTTATTTGGCAATGTACATGTGTCCCAATCTTTGGTCTCATTGGTATTGACTTGTTTAACTTGAGGTGATCAAGAAGATCTGCCAAACAATAAAATACTTCAAGAACTCAAAGATTACCAGTACTCATCTATGTCATTGTCATAAGGATTTAAAAATTACCAAAGGACTTGTGTCAGTTGGCAAAACACATTTTGGAACCATCTATCATTCTGGAGAGTCACTTTGTTGTTGCCTCAAACCTATCTGACAATTATGCACCAAAAAGGTTATCAACATACCAGTATGTCATGTAGTGAACTGTGGTTTTGCGAGATGCTCAGAAGTACCTTACAGGAAGTCAACAACCACTTTATCGAAGGTTGTTTCACTACCAAAAAATTTGAAGTCGAACTTTGACAACTTCTCATAGTACTTGCTCCAATTGCAAAGGCTATAACATGCCTTAAATCTACTAACCCCACTGTGTTGGACATATATCTCTTCTGGCTTGCCATCATGGCAATGATACACCAAATTATCACCAAGAATATCACTGACTTGCTATCCAAGGTCACTGAGAAGATTTGACGAGCTGTCAATTACCGCTGTAGAGACTTGCGTCTCCACAGACACTTCCCTCCGACTTCTTACACTTTTCTTACACACTCCAGCTCTAATCCTAATATTCTGAGTTGAGGGGTGGGTCTGTTTCTCCACTGACATATGAGCACTCAGGGGTGAGATAGAATGAGAGGGAAAGACACATGGTAGTTGTCAAACAACAAGACAAAAAGCTCAGTCCATCCATTCATTCATGATTCAAAGTTAATGTCAGGCTGTTGCAGCAGCTTGCCAGCCTAAATGAAAGAGTGGTTTTCATTCAAAAGGTCCATTTCCTGCAGGGATAATCCAGCATATCCCCCTGTGTTCGCTGGCAATAGCACTGGTGACTCTAGTATTGAACCTACTAATCACCTGTTAGAATTGATGTTCAAAGGAAACAAGTGACAGAGGAATATGCCACATTATGATTTGCAACTACCAGGCTAAGATAATATCCTCATTAAGCAGCTGTGCATCAGGGATCAGCGGCAGGACCGAGCAATGCTATGTGAACTTGAATTGTATGACATACGGCATCCAACTTAGACTGGTGACCAGCCCATCTAATGAGGCAAACCGTTGATAGACAGACTGGTAAATCTGGGTTTAAATTTGGATAGTGCGCACTTTGGAGCCATCACATGACCCATAGCCAATCCGAAAACTAAAATTTTGTTGAGAATATTCGAGATATTGATATTATTGAAATTAATGTTTGAATATTGACGTGACGGTTGCATTGTTAATATATGTGTTTACTCTACAACTCCAATGGACGTGAACTCAATCATTCAAGCTGTGCATGAAGCATCTCTGGAAGGACTAGACTCATTTTCTCGCTCGCTGATACAAGAACGGCTCCCTACCAACTACATCAAAACCCTCAGTAGCCAAGATAAGACAGATGTGTTATGTGCTTGCCTGCTCGTGTACATCCTCACAGCTACAGCCATTGTTCCCTGACAATTTCAGCTAGAAGCCATTCTTGCAATGTTGAATGGCCGCGACAGCATAATTACAGCTGGTACAGGCTGTGGAAAGACCTTGTGTCTCATAATTCCTACTTCGTCTGGACACTATCAGTGTGACAATTTCACCTTTGAAATGTCTCCAGATCACACAGGTGAGATTCACATTGATGTTGACTCATTACATGTGAGAATGAGCCTGTGGTAGGTCAATGAATGCATGAAATATGGTATATCTACAATATCAATTAATGAAGACACCCCAAATGACATGTCACTTTGGCAGGTGAAGTTGACTCACCTACTGTTACTAGTTTCTATGTATGGGGGACACTTGAACTCATTTACTATCAATATACAGTCAATTAGTGCTGGGAAGTACGAGCATTTGATTGTTTCACCAGAGCAACTGTCAATGTTCCATGGTCATCTACCACATCTTGCACAGCTCATTTGTCAAGATGGAGCACTCGTCAAAAGAATCAAATGAGTTCATATTGATGAAGCACATAACATCTACACAGCAGGACTTGCAC